CTCACGTGAGTAGGGCTTAAATAAACAGAGTTGCCAGGAGGAGTGGCCTTATCTGAATGTAGGTCTGTGGAATACAGGATGTTTACTAGCTTGCTGGTGAGAAGGAATCTTCCTAAGAGTGCGAGGTGGAGCGTGATGCTCAAACTGTGACTTGGATTACCTCCGATGTACCAGTGGTCTGCAAGTGTCACTGAGAGAGCCGGTGAGATAGAACTTGTTAAATGCTTAGTTGTCTTCTTATTGTAAATAAAAAGTTATACAAGTAATCCAGTGTGATTTTTCATTCATTCCTCATCCTCTTTAGATCCTTTTCTATTCCCTCTTTAGATAATTCCACTGATGGGAGCTGTTTTTTTTTTTGTTTTTTTTAACACAATGCCAATCACTTTTTAAGGAGATAGTCCTCTTCATTTAACTTTCTCTGGCAGGTCCTCCCGAGATCCTCTGTCTGAAGTGACTTAGAACAAGTCTGCTCTCCTCCAGCCTGCCCCGGGGTGTGAGGCTCCTCACCTCTGAAGAGGGGCATCATGTCTTCCTTCAGTCTTTTCTGGTCCAGGCTATATAGGTCCAGTTCTTTGATTTCTTCTTTGAGTGGTAGCATTTTTGAACCCCTCTACATCCTGAATGCTGTTCTCAAAATACTCCACTCTATCAATGATACTTTTAAAATTAATTCTTCTAAATTGAATGGAGTATTCCATGTGTCAAGGAAACAATGAATGGGGGCTTTTAGTGATATTTGTACTTTTTAAAATTCTCTAGGTAAGCTAAGATTGATAAGCTTCCTTTGTGAGTCTAGTCAGTGTCTAATTTTTCAGTCAGATTAGCTTTATTTCCTATGTGAAAAACACATTGGGGGAGGGATTACAGAGAGAAAATAATGATCATCTCACACATTGTTGTTCGGTTGCTGGTACTACCAGCTAAGTCCAAAAAAGCAACAATATCATTACGTAGCTTGGCCCTATTAGAATAAGCTCTTTGTGATCTATACATCCAGTTATAGAGGGGTGAAGTGGGATCCTGTTAGAACAAATTCCAAATATTCTAATTGTGAAGACTTCAGACACTTAAATCTTTAAAATTAAAGGAAGTGATGGTATTTAGATATAATGTTTGATTTTGATAGTTGACACCAGGAATTGATTTATAACTGATCATTCCACTGGCAACTGCTTTGTGTTTTACACATACATTATACTTTGTGGTTTATTTTTGGACCCAATATCAGTTTTATTTTTGTAATTGTCAGGAGTATTAGTAAAAATTAACAAAAATCACTAACATATGTAAAATCATCACTAAATTTCTTCTTCACGTGGTGTCATTCTAAATGTTAGGAATATAATTTGACTTAATTTTCTGGTGTAACTTATTATTTAAATGAGCACAAGCCAGGTCAATGAAAAGAAGGAAGTGAGTAGCTTATTCATAGATAATAATTCCATTCAAAATATGCAACCAAATCATTTGTTGTTTCCCAGGCCAACCTCTTCCTAGAAAGCACATCCATCCATGTTAGTCCGCCTGGGCTGTTAACATCTTCAGTAGCTAGACAGTTACCATTTGGGAAACAGCGATTTTTGCAGGCAAGATTCATCAATGGATGCTAAAATCTGTGGGTGAAAGTATGTTGAGAAATTGTATTTATGTGATTTCAAAGTCTCCCCCACAACAAAAATGTATAAAGGGGAAACTAATCATGTTACAATGGAGAACCTAGTAGATACAGCCACAACCAAGTGATCAGATTTTCCATCATCAGTAGTGAGACATAGACAGTATCCTGTGCCTTCTGGCGTGATGCACCAAGCACGGCACGACAGTACTTCTTGTTGTACTTGCTAAAGTACATAATCTGAATTTAGTCACGAGGAAGCACTGCACAGACCCAAATTAAGGGACATTCTACAAAATAACTGTCCAGTGCTCCTCAAGTGTCAGGGTCATGAGAGTCAAACAGTCCCATATTGGAGGAGACGTGACAATTGTGTGTGATGTGCGATACTGGACCAGAAAAAGGACATCAGTTGGCTCTATATCATTTAATAAATCTTGTGATGGTTATTTTTGTGGTTTTGATTATTATAACTGTGGTTATATGAGGTATTAACGTTTGGGGAAGCTAGATGAAAGGTACACAGGTATTTTTTGTACTATTTTGGAATTTTTATAAATCTTGAAGTATCTCCTTTTTTCCTTTTAAATCCTCACCCAAGGACATGCTTATTAATTTTAGAGAGAGGAGAAGGGAGGGAGAAAGAGAGAGAGAGAAACATCGGTGTGAGAAACCTCAATTGGTTTCCTTTCCTACGTGCCCTGATTGGGGACAGAACCCACAACCTAAGCATGCACCCCGACTGGGAATCGAACCTGCAACCCTCTAGTTTGTAGGATGATGCCCAGCTAACTGAGCCACACCAGCTAGGGTTCTTTTTTTGAAAGGGAAAAAAATTATTTATTTATTTTAAAGAGAGAAGGATGAGAGAGAAAGAGATTTGTTGTGCCACTTATTTATGCATTCACTGGTTGATTCTTGGATGTGCCCTGACCAGAGATCAAACCCACAGCCTTGGTGTGTCAAGCCAGCACTCTAACCAACTGAGCAAGCTGGCCAGGGCTGAAGGTTTTCAAAGTGAACCTAAGCCACAGCCACAATGTAAAATAATTGAGCTGAGCTGAGAAACTAAGACTTTCATGTTTTTATCTCGTGGTATCTCTTTTGATTGGTTGAGGTAATTTTCTTTGCCTCCTAAATCTCCACTGTGATCTGGATAGCTGAGGTTTCTTATTAAGGAATTTTGGGATAAGCCAGGCATTGCTGGATTGGATGGCAACTACATTTTGAAAGGTTTTGTTTAATTAATTAATTTACTTATTTATTTTTGTACAGAGCTGTAATTACATCTTTGGGTTTCCAATGACTCTGTAGGTTATTTGAGCTTTACTGCTGTAGCACCAGAATCTCTAGCTGGAGACTTAGCTCTGTAATTAATTTACTGGTTTGTTTCTGTTTTCATTATTATGTTCTGAATTCAGGTTAGTCCCATGAATTCTTCTGCTATGTGTCATGTATTATTGAATTTCATGCTTGTTGTTGTTGCCTAAGAAGAGCTGATAGTTTATAAAAATATTTTATTTAAAATGAAAATATTATACCAAATATTTTTCTCTCAGAAAAGACAGTTTGGAGTTTTTGTTAATATAATGAATAAGTAAACTTATACTGGCATAAGCACCACATGGTAACATTTTTATTAGGTAATAATTGAATGGAGGAAAGTAATACATGGAAATGTTTCTGTTAGCAGAAGCTGTAGTTAATATATGACTCATAGATTCTTAAATCTAGAGGCTGTTTTGACCAGTGTGGAAGAGAAAGAGAACATGGACTTGGGAGTCAGGAGACCTAGTTTTGCATCCCAGATTCATCGCTGCTTATTGTATCTTGGACAGGTCATATAACTTTCCTGAGCCTTAAGTTTCTCACCTGTAAAACTGGAATAATAAGAGCATCTTGGAAAGGTTTTGTGAGAATAACGTGAAGTAGCATGTGATGCGCCTGGCTTAATGTGGGCGTTCCATGTGTGCTTCCTCTACTCTGAACCCCCCTCCCTAGGTTATAACTAAGCTGTTTGAAGTTGATGAGACTCTCTTTTGCTTGTAGAGACCTATAAAAAGATGATAGCATGTGTCAGTAACCTCAACCAGTATTTCATAAGTCTTTTCCTAGGGAAATTTTTCCATATCTCTTATTCCAGAGAAATTATTTTCTATGTTAACCTCATTAGCTATTACTTCAAAATCTTATAGTCAAGTGTCACTCATTTGTGAGATGTTCCTTCATGTTTTAGTGTTCCTTTCTGAAATCCTTGGCTACAAATAACATTAAATTTATTTTAGGAGAAAATCTTCTGTGAGACAAAGGGACAAGAAAGTGTACAGAAGCATTTCCATGTGTAGTTTTCTTTCAAGTTTTAGGTTTGAGTTGGCTCTCTGATCCTCTGAGGGACCAACTATTCCTAAAGTTTCGGTCATTGTACCTGTTTCATTCTAGTTTCAAAAGTACTTTCATTTATTTTAAAATTTTCTGATTTTGATGTAATGTACTGTTGTTTTGTAAGTGAATATCATTCTTTTTAGGAATTACACACTGAAGTGTTTAGAACTGAAGGGGTATGGCTGCAACTTAGTCTCAGATGGTTAAGAAAAAAATGATGTATGTGTGTACATGTGTATGTGTAATTGCTATCTATATAGAGAGGAGGGGAGAGGGTGGGGCGGGGAGAATGATGTAGTAGCTGTGGCAGCGTTAACAGTTGGTGAACCTGGGCGAAGGGAGTTCTTTGTGATTTCCATATAACTTTTCTCTAAGTTTGAAACTATCTCAAAGCTATGTTGTATTGAGACTTATTCCTGTACGCTGAGGCAATAGGAGTGGCAGTTTTGGAAGGAGTGAGATTAGAAGGACTTGGGGAAGTAGAGATAATAAGGAATGACTGAGTAATTCAGTAAATTCACTGGCAAAAAAATTAGAATCTGTTGTTCCTCTAATATTACCTTTTTTGCCTCAGACAGAACAGAATTCATTTTGGGTAGAAGGCTTTGTACAGATGCTGCTGCTGTATCAAAGCAGAGAAAACTAATGGGAAGTGAAATCAGGTGATAAAAAGTAAGAAATTCTTAAACATACAAGGATAAAAAGGATGTATAAGGCAGAAATATTAGTACTTTAAAAATTTGCGGTGCTCAGGTAATCTTTCTTATACCAGAGAGATACAAGTTAGCATTCTACCCTACTAGTTAAGAGATATAAATTGATCATTTATTTTAAATTGCTGTTTGAGTTCAAAGTTGATATTTTGTACTCTTAATAAAACTTTACATGATGTTTATTATCATTTTTGTCGTGCAAAAAGAGTCTTCTAAACTAAAAAAATTTTTTTGAACCTTCTCCCTTTTCTTTCATGTCAACGATGACATTTCTTTGGGGAACTCAGAAGCCAGCCAAAGGTAAGAGATTTGTTGTATTATGGGATGCTTGTAAACATCCTAGGTCCATATTTTTGAAGTACTGATAATTGTCCTCTCAGAAGTATTTTCTCTCTGTCCCTTTTGTAAAAGTAAAGCGAGCTCTCAGCCTATTCACAAATGAAGCTTATTGACATAGGAGGGACTGGAGGTTTGTGGAAAAACTGTATTTGTACTTTGGCCAATTATGGCTGGTCTCCAGGCAGCTACAACACAGATTCCTTTTGTGCCCTGCTGTTCACCATAGATTGGCTCAAAACTGGTCATTCCGTACTGTGGTCAGGACTGTGCTAGGCAGACTCATCCTCCCAGGACGGCTGGGGACACATTCTCAAGCCAGCAGAAACCTGCCCTGGGCCACGGCTTCCTCACATGGCCACGCTTTCATCTTAGATCTGAGCCCAGATTCTAAAGACACTTCAGCAGGCTGCGCCAGCGCCTGTAGCTCAGGGAATGTACAGGTGTGCCAGAGTAGGCACCAGGACGGTTTGTGAATTGACCGTTCTTTGAAGTGACTTGGGACTTTCCAGGAAATTCAGATTTTTATCTGCATTCTTGGAGTTTTGTTTTTGTTTTAGAGTCTATGGCTGACTCTATTTAGAGTCCATTCTCTATTATTGTTGCTAAAATATGTATAGACATGGCTGTTGGGGACTCTGAATGATTTAAAAAATAGTTCAATATGGCACTCATTTCTTTATGTATGTAGAACTAACTCTGTTAGTTTTATGTCATCTTTTTTTATGTTAAGGTGCTGGATTATTTTTGTTTTCTTACTTGTTGATGGAACAGGGGCTGGAGATTACAGTAAAGATGTGAGGAAACATTACATTGCCGTTTTAAAGCTATTCATGTTTTATTTAATTCAACTGCATATTAATGTTGAGAGAAAATGTGTTGACATAGAAACTATGGAAGGACCAACACCACATTATTAACAGTGTTTACCTCTAGGATGTGGTATGCTTGGTGAATGGAAGGCCTTTCTTTATATTTTACTTTATGCTTCTGTGTTATTTGACTTTGTTAAAATGAATGTGTGTTTCTTCTCTGTTACTTGAAAAAAGTTTTATTTTTTAATTTTTAAGGAAATGTTTATTTAGAAAGAAAAGGGCTTGTCTGCTTTAGGAAATCCGTGGCTGGAAGATCCCTATAATAATTTATAAAATTGCTAAAATTTAAAGAGGACCATTCAGTGTTGTTAGTAAGAAAGAACTAAGGATTCATTAGTTTCCACCTTTGTACTAGGCTGTGGGGCTTTCAAAAAATTGGGAGGGTAAAGCTAATTTAGAGCAGTAGTAGAGAACCTGGTGGCGAGCAGACTACTGGCTGAAAGGCGGGATTCAAGCCCCAGGTTCCCCTCCTGCCAGCCACCAGGTTTTGACCTCCCTATGCCACAGTGTCCCTTGCACCTCAGAGACCTAGTGGGGAGTGATTAGCTACAGTTATATTGTTACCGTTACTTTAGTGACAGCTTTCTTTAGTGAATTGAGAATAAGAAATTGAGTTGTTTAAGGAATCCCTAAATTACAAAGAGAGAGAAAAGAAACCGACTCGTAACGATGGAGAGAGGAGTGCCGTTCAGAGCCTGGCCTTTGTTAAGTGCACACACCTGGTGATAAGACTGGAAGGGAGGAGATCGGGTTCCAAGAGAAGAGTCAGGACGGTCTCTCCTTAACCTAGCTAAGAACAGAATTAAATAAAATGATCAGAGATGAGAGTTGAAAGAACAGAAGAAACTTAATTTGAGCTTCACATTTTATTTAATCTTACCCTGCTGAAATGATTCTCACCTTGGCTGATGAATGTAGTTTGAAAAGCAGCCCTTATCCAAAATTTTGCTACACAGTCCTTTGGGACCACCTTCCACCTTCGTTCTTCTTTTCCTCCTCTCTCTGTTGGAGAATAGCTCACATAGTGAACCAGCACCATTGTTGATAGATGTATGTTTAGCTTTGGAAAAAATGTTGAGGATTAGTATGTGCCCTGTGGTGCTGTAGCTGGGTGGTGCCATGGCCCTGTCCCGTGGGTCTGTGGTCATCCACAGGGCTCCTGCTTGCCTTCCTGGCCTATCTTCTGCATCACCGCCCCATCCCAGGGAATGCACGCCTCCTCTGCCTGCTATTTTGCACAAATTATGGGTGGTCTTATCCTTCCCTGCTTTGAAGGTGTTTTTATTTTTATTTATTTTGAATAAATTAATTAATTTCTAGAGACCAGGCATTTAAAAATTTTTGTCAGTTACAGTTGACATTCCGTATTTCAGGTATACAGCATAGTAGTTAGACATTTATATAAGAGGAAGTGATACCCCCTCCCCGGTAAATCTAGTACCTACGTGACACCATACATCGTTATGACAATACTATTGACTATATTCCCATGCTGAACTTTATACATCTCTTAACTGTTTTGTAACAGTCATTTTTGTACTTCTTCACCCTTTTTGGAAGTGTTTTTAAGCAGTCATCCTGTCGGTTCCCCCAGGGCCCCCTCTTGCTCATTCCGCTGTCGTCCGGGTGCACCCGCCCCCAGAACTGGCCATGCACCCGTCTCCTCCTGCAGGGCTTCGTCCTGCAATCTTGCTCTGGCTCCCACTCTGCCTCACTCCCCGTCAGTCTCTTTGTAGCTGTTTTTCAGGGATTCTCAATTTTTGATCCAGGTATAAGCAGCGATTTCGCTTTCAAAAATTTGCTCTTCTTTCCCTCTTCTTTTTCCTTTTGGGCCCTTCTCTTCCCTCTCTCCATCATTATGACTTAATTTCAGGTGGGATGGGGGATATATGGTATATTTAATTTACGACCCTAATATCACTTCCTTTGTTAAAAAAATTAACTTTTAGACAGAACTCTGGTCTGGATAACCTTGTGAGTTCACAAAGAAACATTCTCCTGCCAACTCCAAATTCATAGAAGGGACAGACAAAATATTTTAAAATATTAAAGTCACACCATATTAAAAAACAATGTATGTAACTTTGGAGACCAGCAGCAAGTTGGGACTGAAGCAGCATATTTGCTGGTCCTTGGGATCACACACAGGTTCTTAGAGGTGGTAGAAGTTTAACTCTTGCAGATTACAAAGGGTGCTGATGTGTGGTGGAGGGCTGGAGAAGCTCACCACATGAAGACTGACTTGGGTGCAACGCTGCCGTGAATGAAGGCTTAAAGAAATGGGTTTTGGCCGCCAACACTGAGCTAATGTCTGTGTAAACAGGAGGAGTAGAGATGTTATTGAGCTTTGGGAAGACCAAAATCTTGGCTTCGGTAGTTGAGATTGGCATCATGGCAAGTCATATAAAGGTGGCCAAAGGGAGAGGGAAAAAAAATAAGCCCTCTGTAATCCATAAAACAAAGACTGCCAATGCACTTGTAAACTACGATATAAGGATACAAGGGGAAACCTGTCATCAGGAAGCAATGCAACAAACACCAAGACTGGGAAGCTTAGAAATGCAAGCTGAAGTGAATTTAAAAATAATTACACTTTAAAATCCTTAAAGAGATGAAACTATAAAACATGAAATCCAAAAAATGAAAAAACCTTTTAAAAGATTCCCCCCAAATGTGCCCATTTTAGAAAGTGGTAAATGTAAAAAATCTAAAGAAATCATCTGTGATGTCCCACCAACTAGCATTAACCACTATCAGTAATTTTCCAATGTATATTCTTCCTACTCTATCTGTGTAGATTTTTGTACAAATATGGGTTCACGGCCCAGACTTTCATAACTTTTACATTAATATATAAACATTCTTATCACTCTTTTACAGTCTTGAAGCTATACAATATTGCACATAGATGTGTTGTAATTTAAAGAATCTGCTATTTTATAGCTATTTTTAACTTGCTAGAGTAATCATCTTTATGTTTTATTTTTTTTAAAATATCTTTATTTTCTCTGAGGAAAGTAAAAATATAGAGACTACATAAAAGCACAAAGAAGAAAACAAACAACACTAATCTTATCATGCAGAAATATGCTTTCTGTATATGTAACTGTGTGTGTATATGTGTGTATAATAGCCATCATATTGTACATATTGTTTTGTAACCTCTTTTTTTATTTAACATTGTGAAGTTTTCCATGTGAAGATTTATATTGTCTATAGGGTGCTTATCATGCATTGTAAGACTCTACTATAAATAATTTAATAATCTTCATTGTGAGACAGAAAATTGTTTTTATTTCATCGTTATCAACAATGTTGTCAATATTATGACATTGTTATAATATTATAAGCATGTTAAGGTTTTGTTCTTAATACACACTATGTTATTTTTGTTTTTCAACAGGTGTTTGCATATGATCATTGCTTCTGGTCTATGGATGAATCTGTCAAAGAAAAGTATGCAGGTAAGAGCACAGCATCCTATTAACTACTGATAATACAGAAAAGATGTTTTAATATTTTTTCCATAATTTATCATAGTAGTATTTTGTATTACTTAAAAACTATATAGTCAGTTTCCTCTAATCTTTGCTATCAGAGTTTTTACATTGGCTGGGAAACGGGAGCTTCACAGTGTACTGTTCTTGGTTTAAGATGATACAGTTAGATTAATAGTTTGAGGTTGTCTTACTCACACGCATCCCCAGGCCTTACATGGCACCAGTGGCACACAGTAGTCACTTAGGTTCCCTTAGATGCTCTGTGATGTGGTTAGAGGGGCAGCTTGGTATGACAAAGGAAGAGCCATGGAGAGGCTGGAACCTCGAGTGTAACCCAGGCTCTACGCCTGACTCCCTGTGTGACTGAGTAAGTCACTTAAGCTTTCGGTGTTCTGTTTTCTCACCCTAACGAAGAGGACCATACCACGTTCTTTCTAAATTTACTCTAGAATTCTATTATTCTTTTACTTTCTTCATTGATGACTATCTCATGGCCCTTTTCACCACAAGTAGGACTACAGTGACAGCCTTTTATTTCCTTTATTCCTAACTGCTTACGACACCTGTTTCTAAGCAATCTCTTTTAAATATTGAGTGTCATATTGTACTGGCTTTTATCATGAGAAACAGCAATACTATAGCTGTTTCAAAAAGTTAAGGTTAATTTGGTCTAGCTGGCCCGATGATGACTTTAAGGAATGCTTCAGAATCGGAAGTATGATGATGTATTAATCTGGTAAATTAACTAGGAAGTGAGGCATAATGGAATGCTATTTATAGCATTTAAAACATAACAAACAGAACAGCATCTGGGTCTCTCATATTTAAAGTGTGTTCAGATCCGAGTTCTAGTTCGTGGGGTCAGAGGCGTTTGCGCTCCAGCACCAACAAGCAGTGCTGCAGACAAAAGGTGGATGTCCTGTAATTCGATTCAGTTCTGACACTGTACCTGGAGATGGCATCAGGTCCCACAGATTAAGACTGCCCCCCACCTCCATGCCCCACTCAGGCACAAGTCACAAGTCCAGGTTGTTACCTGTGCTTCTGACCGACCAGCTATAAACTGGAGATTCCAGTGATGCCCCCCTTAGACTAAAAACACCAGTCACAAGTTCAGGTTGTTACCTGTACTTCAGACCAGTTGGCTATAAATCAGAGGTTCCCATCACCTCCTCCTTGGATTCAATTAATTTGCTAGAGTAGCTCACAAAACTCAGAGAAACGTTTTACTACCGGGTGACCAGTTTATTATAAAAAGGTATAACTCAGGAAGAGCCAGATGGAAGAGATGCATAGGGCAAGGTATGGGGAAGGGACGTGCAGCGCCCACGCTCTCTCCAGGTGCACCTCTCTCCCCAGATCTCCACGTGTTCACCAGCCTGGAAGCTCTCCAATCCCTGTCCTTTTCAGTTTTTATGGCGGCTTCATTATATACGAGATATGAGTAATTAAATCATGGGCTATTGACAATTGATTCTCTCTCCAGCTTCTCTTCTCTCCCCAGAGGTGGGGGTTGGCGACTACTGAAAATTCCAACCCTCTAATCACATGACTGGTTCTCCTGCCAACCAGCCCCCATCCATAGGTGCAGCCCAAAAGTCCCTCATTAACATAACAAAAGACCTATTTATAACTTTTGACACTTAGGAAGTTCCAAGGAATATGAATGACCAAATATGTATTTCTTATAAATCACAATATTATCACAATATTCAAGACTCAAGGTTGAATGTCATAGTTGATTTAGTCTGTAGAAGAGTATTTGACCCCATTATTTATATCTATGATAGAAAGCCGGAAGAAATTTTCAGTATCTTCTGCTCTCTCCTAGTTGGTATATATTTTAGACTCTGTAATTTAGAATTGCCACTGAGAAAAGAAAAAACAAACAAACAGAATCCCTGGAGAATTGCTGCTAGCCACTGTGGACCACTGGTTCCAAATGTTTGCAACAGAATTAAAACCAGCGACCCATGAATTTAACCACAACTATTTTTTTTATAAAGAGACTTGAAATTTTGTTCCAAAGTGGTATTTTCTGCCTGGTAAGGCCATTTCTGCCTTATAAGCTTGTTTAAAAAATAAAAAGTAAATGTTTCCAAATGAAAAAGAAATTATCATTGAGGAAAAGAAGGGATTTATATATGTGATTGGTTTGACCTCTAGTACCTACTGAATAATGTGTTAGCTGAGTGTTATATAGTTAATTTCCACCTAGGTCCCAAGATTAAGATGTATACTCAGAATCACAGTTTACTAAATGAGCAGTTCATTAGCCTTTTGCATTGCAGAAGATTTTAGTCAGTGTTTATTAATTCAAGTTCATATTATCAGTTTGTCTTATGTGCTAACTAGAAATATCCTGAAGAACATTATCCTTTGGAAGCGTTCATCAAGTTTAAAAATCTTTTTTGGAGATAAGCTGAAAAAAAAGTACATTTTTGAGGCTTTGTTTTTTTGCTGTTTTTTTCTTTAATTGTTCATGTGTGGTTTTGGCTTAAAACCTCCTTTTTCTCTCTCTCTTTTAGGTCAAGATGATGTTTTTAAGTGCCTTGGGGAGAATATTCTTCAAAATGCTTTTGATGGCTATAATGCATGTATCTTTGCCTACGGACAGACTGGTAACATTAACTTTTTTTTTTTAAGCCTTAAGGTTCATAACAGAGAATATACCTAAAAGGATACACATTGTTAGCATCTTATCGATTATCATTGATAAGGAGCATTTGACTTCTGTACCTCCGTGGTCAACAGGAAAGAAAATCTACTCAAAGTGAAAGAGTCACTGTATTAAGGGTATATTGTATGGCTTGTCCAATTGAAAACTATCCTTCATGGATGAATGCTTATGTATAATAGCCATAAGGCAGTGTGTATGATAGTATAAGGGCAACGGCTGTGATCCAGGTTATCCCAGCTCCAACCTTGTTCCTGCCGTTGACCAGCTGTGAAGCTTGCACCCCAGTTTCCTTGTCTGTAAAATGTTAATAACCTTCCTTATAGGGTTGTCACAATGAGTTTACATGTAAAAACTTATAGAAAAGGCCTGGTACATAGGAAGTGGTGTATTAGTTTTAGGTGTTATGATACTGATAAAGTACAAGTGACCAAAGCTGCAACTTGTATTTATAAGTGTGTTTACAAAATCACTGCTATAAAAAAGGAAAAAGAATTATACTAAGTTAGGCCTATGAGTGCTTGAATTTTTTTTCTTTCTATTTTCTGGAGTTTCCTAAGTTGTCTTTAATGAGTAAGAAGTTTTGATACAGTGGAGAAAATAACTTCATAGTAGAAAAAAATTACTCTGGTTTCTACACCATTGCCAAACTAGGTTACTTTATTCTGGGGCGTATATGGATAACATATATTTTTGGTAGATGGTTAGTGGTTGAGAGCAGGCACAATAATATTATTGATCAATGGATCTTCCCAATTGATTTTAGAAAACTGTTTTTCAGTTTTTTTTAAGTAATTTTTTAAATTCTGAAGATGTTTAAAGAAGGTTTTTCTTTTCTTCCTAAAGGATATTTACTTTTGACTTTTACATGTGCAGTAGGAAAGTTTCTGTACTTAATTAGTCTCATTATTATATTTGGGTATATTATTTTATTTTGGGTATTTTCCTAAGTGCTAGTAATTTATTATGAGTGCTAGAAAGAGGTTTATGTATTCCAGCTTCTCAAAGATACAGTAATAACTATGATTTCCCTTTTTTAGGATCTGGAAAATCTTACACCATGATGGGTACAGCTGACCAACCTGGATTAATCCCAAGACTTTGTAGTGGACTCTTTGAACGAACTCAGAAAGAGGAAAATGAAGAGCAGAGTTTTAAAGTAGAAGTGTCCTATATGGAAATTTATAATGAAAAAGTCAGAGACCTTCTTGATCCCAAAGGGTAAATAACTGTGAGACTTTAATATTACAATACTATGGACCAAAACAAACTTAATAAATTGGCTTAAATGAAATTTTTTATATTGCATTCTAGTAGAGAGTTATCTACCTAGTTATTTGTGATTTTATCTAGTGATCTAGTTATTGTTTTTGTGATTTGCTGTTAGTTTCATCAAGTGACTTCCTGCCGCCAATTTTGGGCTTTTGAAGTTTGGGCTGAGTTGGGCCAGAGAAGTGTGGTTGAGCAGCACGCATTTGGGTCACACTGCCTTTCTCATATGCATGCAAACCCACAAACAAAGAATGTATAATGAAAATTAAGTTACTTAGTACCAGGATAACTGGACTCCTTAATCAAGTAGGTTATTAGAATTTTTCTAACCAAGAAATTGCAGGGGGAATTCGGCTGTTTGCTGGCAGGCTGTAAAGTGAGAGGGAGGCATAGAGATATGAAACCTGGACTTTAGGAGAGTTCATTTTAGAGGTCGAAATTATAAAAAGTCCCATTTTATGGCGTAGACATTGAAATAAAAGTGGCTCAGAAGTATTAGGAAGCCTTAAAAAATGCTGTTGTCATCCTGCAGTCATATGTGAACCTAATGAGGAAGATGAGGTATCTGAGGAAATCTGTTCATTGCACAGAGCATTCTCTGAGTTCAGATTTTAAGGAAGTGCAACAATGGAGAGAAAAGAAACAGATAATAACCACAGCTTGTGATGTAAAAACAGTGTTTGGGAGGTCAAAGGGCCTAATGAGCCAAGGCTTACCAAAAATGCGGAGGATGACGAGGGGACATTTACTTACGTTTGGATGGTGAAGGTGATCAAGGAAAGATGGTCTTAGAGGCAGTGAATCTTAGTCAATCATTGCTCAAATCAAAATGAGTGCCTTCGCCCAGAGGAGGAAAGAGTCAATAGAAGGTGCTTGATAAATTCTGTGCTAAGTAGGAGTTTGTTCACAGTGAGGTTAGGTGAGAACCATTCAAGCACAGGGGACAGTTCGCGCCAAAGTGCGTTCAGAGAAATCTCTAGTTTGGAGAGTGACCCAGCTGCCCGGTGTGGTTGGAGGGCTGTGTATGCAGGGAAGTCAACACAGCGCAAAAGGAGACCAGAGGAAGGAAGGTTATGGCCTAAGCGCCCACACCTTGCTGAATATTGTCCCTTGTACTTCTTCGGGCTGAACCCTGAATACTTTTCTCTCTCACCTTCATCTTTGTAAAGGCTATCGTTTTCTTAGAGATCCTGCCCACACCTACTCAGAAACTCTTAGCTGGCTTCATTCTTGTGTATCATATTTCACAGTACTTGTGTGGCATAGCTTAAACTTTACCTACAATTTTTTCCTAACCTTTCATAATTTTTTACACATTTTTCTTGGTTTAGCAGTTAGCAGGTTTGGGCTTTGGATTTTCCTAGCTCTGGATCTGGGCCCATTAATTGTTGCCTATTGAACAAGGTCCTTGTGCTTTCAAAGCCTCATTTATACAGAGGGTATGATAATGTTATGTAATACCTCAGAGGGCGGCTGTGAAGATAGACTGGGATGATACACTCGAGGTCTTAGAACCTTTATGGCTCATAGTTCAAGGACTTGTCAAGTGTTAGTTGTTGTTGTTGTTGTCCCCCCATGGAAGTTCTGGAGGTTTTTTGTAGTGTTTCTGAACAATTGAAGTAAATAGATTAAAAACTATAAAAGTGATACCTGTTCATGAAAGACGAGATAACTGTGTCTTGTTATTCAAGTACTGATTTTATTAATTCAGCAGGTACTATATGTAATAATGTAATTATGTGTTATTCAGGAGATAATACAGTATACATTATCTTTAAGATAAAGGGTAAAAGGGAAAGGAAAAGGGTAGAATATATTCTGAAGTCAGAAATAATTTTAATAATTGTTCTATGTCTATTTTATGTATAGTTATATCATAACAAGCAAAGCTTTTAGTGGTTGATCCAGGGTGCTAAAAGAGTCCAGATCACTAGAAAATATTGTTACATAAAATAAGAATCACCTGTAATCTCACCCCAGCATATATTTTTATATTATATGATTTTATTGTTTAAAGAGTTTTTTGAGCTATAATTCATGTCATACAATCAATCATCAGCAGATATTCCTAATATTTTTAGTTGATATCATTAACTATGCTATGTGCTCTAGGTTTTTGGCAGATGTCCTTCATTGGGTTTATTAGTTCTTTGTTTGCTAAGAGGCTCTTTTTTTTAAAAAATCATGAATGAGTATTTAATTATATTGAAAACTTTTTCCTACATTTATTGAACTGACCATGTGTCTTTTTTTCCCTCATTAGTCTATCAGTATGGTAAAGGCCATGAATCTTCTTCCAGTCTTAAAAAAACCTGGTAGCCCTGACATATGCCCAATTTTAAGTTTTTAAATCATCATCAGCTTCATTATTTGTTGTCTTTTGTTTGTCTTTACTCACAATCGAGGTTGGTCTGTAATTTTTCTTTTTTGCGCAGTTAACATTTATTGAGTTTCTGCTCTCTGCACCACATTCTGTGAAATGACAATTAGATTATTTGTATTTATTTGGCCCTGCATTCTTTGTGGTAGTAAATAGACATCCCACAGTGTACCCTTTTGAGTGATGTGATATTTTACCACATTGTGAAGTTTTTGTTACTAGTCAAGCTTTTAAATTTTGGTTTAAATTCTTCTGGGATCAAGTCAGTTGGTTTTATTTATTTGGGATCTTTGTTGAATTTCAGTATGTATTTAGGAGCACAGCTGAGTCCTTTAAAAAACAGGGTATTGTTTAAAAATTGTTCTTTGTTTTTAACAAACAGAAGCCGTCAAACGTTAAAAGTCAGAGAGCATAGTGTGTTGGGACCCTATGTCGATGGACTTTCTAAACTGGCTGTCACAAGCTATAAGGTAACAATCTCCTTTATGTAAACTAACCAAATTCAGTGTAGCAATTTTTTGTTTAATTTGTGATTATTATTATTATTGAAATTTAAAAATTACAGAAGTATCACTTAAATTACTTTTTACAAGAATTTTTACTTAAAAAGCTGTGTATGGCTGTCAGGACAGTTAAACCATAAATGAAGGTGTACATTTGCAAGATACACCTGTTCATTTGTGGTGAGACACCCATTTTTTTCATGTTTTACGAACTCCAAAGTTGTGATGTACTTTACAATAAATGTCAGCTTCTTGTCTTCCCTAGTAGTGCATAAAATAACAAAATTGCTTATGATTTGGTGGATTTAATGAAATAAAATGTATTGAATTAAGTGGATGGAAATCAAAGCCTGTTTCTAATCTGAGAGAATCGCTTGCTGGCCTTTAGTCATTTCTGTTCATTTTCAAACTTCACGGCTGTGCTTTGTGTGAGTCCATCAGGCTTTGTGCCTTGGGGAAATGGGGGTGGGGTGACACACGGTGATGTAATGGACATTGAATTAAGAGTCAGTGAATGTTGATCTAGTGACACTTAATCCTTTTGTACCACTCCTGTATGACCCTGTATCATTTACTCTACTTCATCTACCGTCCTTGCCCTAGTTTTTTTTAAAATGGAAATTAGTTTTACTGTCTTGACTATCTAATGAGGTAGGTTCATTTGTTTTCTTTGTTCATTAATTCTATCATTTGATCATTGATACTTCATTTAGTAAATATTGAATACCAATCATGTGTCAGTTGTTGTGCTAGGTGCTAAGGATTTAAAAAAATGAATGAGTCGGTCTATTACCTCAAGCTTCTTACAGATATTATACAGGTATTATAAAACTACATGGTTAAAGTGCTGTGATAGATGTATATTCAGCGGTCAATGTAGTTTCAAGAAGGGGTACCTAACTTAAATGGATGTGTAGGTGTCTGGGGATCATGGTGTCTGGGAAGGCTTCTTGGAGGAGACTGAATGGGGTAATGCACGTGAAAAGTCTTGGAAAACTCTAGAATGTTTAATATAAACAATGTTTATATAAATGTTAGGTATTGTTAGTATATTAATAATCACAATTTGAGAGCATATTTATGCACCATTGGAAAGAGATCAAGATTGTTTTTAGAGCTCCGAGATCGAAAAGTATAAAAAGACCTTTTGTTGTCTAAAAAATTAAAAGGTCAATACAGAGTTCCTGCATGAAACAACAGATTAGAGACCAATGAATAAATGTAGGCTACATAGGATTAGGCTTTTACATTGAACTTCAGGATTGTCAGATTTAATGGGTCTAAAATGGATTTAGAATGAATCTAGAAAACAGATTTTTTTTTCCATGCTGGTACCTATCTGTATCTCTTTTTGCAGTTAATGTTTTTAAGTTGAGGTGCTTTATTTATACTGACTTTTTCCTTAAATATTATTCTTAACTTATACAGCAAAATAGAACCTTAGGATTTTCACAGGTTTTTATATGTATATGTCCTTTAGGATTAAGTATGGCTACATATAACAGAAACAAAATAACAGGATTTAAGTTCCTTTGAATATGAATTATTATATTTTGATCATTCTGTGTCCTCAGTATCTTAAAATGTATCTGGCACATAGTAGGTGCTTTCAATGTATATTTGAGTGAACAAATGAGTGAATGGTGAAAGGGCTAGTATGTTGATCCCAAAGATGCTATTAGGAAGCTAAATTTCAGCCAGCTCTTTGGTAATGCCATTATTCTCATACTTCTAGAGAGCTCTTAGAACCAAGGTGCAATAGCATGCCTACTCCCTTTAAGGAGAATTTCCAGTGACATGTATTATACTTTATCTTTCATTCACTAAAACTTAGTCATATGGCCAGACAGAGCTGCAAGAGCATCTGGGAAATGTTGTCCCTTAGCTCTGCTGCCATATGCTCAGCTGAAGATGGGACTCTTTTACTGGGAAGAGGAGGAGACTAGATAAAAGAAGGCAGGTAGTGGACTCTTGCATGCATCATCTTTGTTGTTCCTCAGTTAAGTCCTTGGAAGTAGATGATGTTATAGCTCAGTATAGTTACTTATGAAACTAAAACTCAGATTGGTTAAGTAACTGTTTTAGAGCATATGACATTTTTTTTAAATGCAGATCACATGATCCTTCAATATTGCATTGTGCTGTCTTCTGTTTTAGCAGTAATGACAGCAGAATAGTGCAGAAAATTAGTCTCTTGAAGTTTTTATTTTTAAAAATAGTTTTGGTAAGATATACTCCAAGGTGGTAACGTAATGCTTTGCCTGCTTGAGGGGGTTACAAATTATTTTTGCTTGTTGCTTATTCCTGTAATCTAATTTGATTTAACAGTTAACTTTTATTACTTCTGTAATTAAAGAAACTAATTTTTTTTTCCAGATTTCTAGGTTAGATGAGGATTGGCAGGGCATATTTGTCAATTTTGTGAGATTCTACATGTAATGTCTAAACTTTTCTAATTCTCAGTTGAAGCTGACATTTTATCTGCACTCACAGAAAATAGTGTAATTTATTTGTTTTCATGGGCAGTATTGGCTATTGCACTCTATGGGGTTTAATGTTCATTGAAATCAAAGTCTAAATTTCAAATATGTCTGGCTAGTAGTGCAACTTGTATTTTTGTAGTATAGCAGTTTTAATATATATTAGACGGATAAAGAAATGTGTGTCTGTGACTTGTTTTCACTTAGGATATTGAGTCTTTGATGTCTGAGGGTAACAAATCTCGTACGGTTGCTGCAACCAACATGAATGAGGAGAGTAGCCGATCCCATGCGGTCTTCAAAATCACCCTCACACATACTTTGTATGATGTGAAGTCTGGGGTAGGTGTTCAGATATATGACTTATTAAAAAGAATTTTTGAAGTAGATCATGGTTTATCTTATTTCCTTCAGGTGTTAGATGACTTAAAATCCTAACCAAACATGTATATCAATTAGGACACAGGGCAAGAAACAAAAGCCATGCTAAGTAAGCAGAGAGATTTAAAGGAGTGATTTGAGTGATTGCAAAGTTGTTGGAACATGTGAGGAGGAGAGGGTTCTAGACTGAACCTCCAGGGATAACTCCCAGAATAACACAGACTCATTGACCAGGATGCTACCTCTGAGGCCACCGCTGTGCGGCGAGCTAGCTAGAAGTTCCAGGCACGCCCCGTAGCTGTGATCCAGGCAACAGAGGTACTTCCATGATCAGGGGTCATACAATCCTGCTTCCCAGCCGAAAAACCCCAAAAGGGGCAGAGGATGGCCTCTGCTTTACTTCTGTTTTCCAAATCTTAATCAAGTGTATCTCACTGATAGAACCTAAGTCACATCCTGAACCCTGGCCTGCAGGGGAGTTTGAGAAATGTAAATTTTAGCTCTATACCCTCTCCAACTGCAGGAAGGCAGAGTAGAAGTTATACAAGCAGACGGTCCAGAGTCTTTGCCACAGTTTTTTTTTTGGTGGGGGGGGGTTTGTTGGGTTTTTTTTTTAGTTTTAAACTATGATGGCTAATGGTATAAGCTAATGTTAATACTCTAGCTGATTCAGTGGAGGTACTTTTGAAATATCACCTTCTGCTAAGCAGCTAAGACTCATAAGGAATAAATTGCACCAGGAAAATTGTACTTTCAGATTGCTAGATTTACGGAATAAATATGGAGTATTTGGTCTTCAGACTTGTAAGAATAACCAGAACCAGAGATGTATATGCTTCTACACAGTGAAAACTTCTCTGTTGACTTATACATTTGTTTCCCTTTTTTAATATGAACTTTTGCATATTTTGTTATGATGCATGACCCCCAGCAAATCAGTTTCAAATACCAGAAGCTAAAATAATCACCTTGGCAAAGCACTTTATTTTGGCAGGATTTTATTTGCTGAAAGCATATTTTTATTCTTTTACAATCACAGCAATATTAGTATAACAACAAAAAGTTCTTTGTTTCCTATTTCCTTTTCAGCATAAAACAAAAAACATACTGAAGACTTTTTTTTTTTTAAACCAAATGCACTTTTGATTTGAGAAGCTGGAAATCCTTTCATGGCAACATGTTTATTTATGGAAATAAATATAAATGTATATTTTAAAGGAAAAGTTAAAAAAATGATCCAGTCTATAGAAATGGCATTGATTTCCTACATTTTGTATTGCTGTTGAATAAAAAATATTGAATGTATGATTTAATATAAAACATTTTTTAAATTTTATTTTTAATTACAGTTTGTATTCAGTAGCATTTTGTGTTAGTTTCTGGTGTACAGCATAGTGGTTAGGCAGTCATAGACTTTACAAAGTGTTCTTTCTGTATTTTTAGCACCCACCTGGAACCATGCATAGTTATTACAGTATTAGTGACTGTATTCCGTGCTGTACTTTACATCCTCATAACTGTTTTGTAACTACCCATCTGTACTTTCCAGTTCCGTCACATTTTTCATCCCTCTGACAACTGCTAGTTTGTTCTCTGTATCTGTGAGTCTGTTTCTGTTTTGTTTATTTTTAGAAAACATTTTTGATAAAGGAGAGTATCAGAATATGTATGTGTACCTTTATATACTGTCTTAACTAGAGAATTATATAAATTTAATACGTGGAATTATGAGATAAAAAATTATTATATATGAATAACAGGAAACATTTTAGAAAGTGTTGAGTTCTTGAGGGATCCTTCCACTGTATAAAATTAGATTACTTTTTTATGTCACTAAGAATTGCAAATATTTTTTCCTTAGAATTATTGGTAAACATTTATGAAATTTTAAGCATAGTTTCAAATTATGTCAAAATTCATAACTTATAAATAATGTTTTTGTATACTTTTCTATGACAATTTTATTGGGTTCCCTTCGAAATGCCTCATTTAGGGAGACACTGTTTTTCTGAGATAACTTTAACTCGGTCTGGATTGGTTAGAGCTTTGTATAATTTTGTATTTACTAGATTGTACAATTTTCTTGCACTCGTTTATAGCAGCACAAACTAATTTTGAAATAACAGTGACTCTTTAATAAAGGATATCCATAGTAAACTTATTCTGTAGAAATGGTATCACCTTTTGTACTGCTTAACTGCGTATTGGTATTTATCAACTAACTTTCTAGACATCTGGAGAGAAAGTCGGCAAACTGAGCTTGGTCGATTTGGCTGGCAGCGAGCGGGCCACAAAAACCGGAGCCGCCGGTGACAGGCTGAAGGAGGGGAGCAACATCAACAAGTAAGTTTTTCAGGAACTTACTTTTTATTGCTTTGTTGATTTAATAGACAAATAGGTGAACTTATGTGGTTATTAAACGAGTAAGATTCTGGGCCAATTAAGGCTACAATGAACAATAGTTTGAAATTTTTGCAGATGTATATTTTTTATAGGCTCAACCTGTTTTATGTTTTGGTCCGATGTTTGATGGGGCCGAGTAGTACGTTCTCAGTCCAGTCAGAGGTTTCTCAAGAGCTGCCTTCTTGAAATTTGGGGCCTGACGATTCTTCATCCCTGGATCCTATGTATTCTAGGGTGTTTAGTGGCACCCCTGGCCACTACCCACTAGGTGGCGGTAGTATCTACTACCTCTCTCCCCTCGCCCTCAGTGGTGATGACCCAGATTTATCTCCAGACAGTGCCAGCTCTGCTCCCTGAGGGGGCACAGTCACCTCCAGTTGGGAGCTGCTGGTCTAAGCTATAGAAATAATAAAGATAATCAGTCTGCCTTTCTGAACCTGCGTGTCACTGTCTGAACAAACAATAGCATGAGTACCAGCTGCATCTGGCTTTCCCTTTTATGACTGCTGTGGTGCTTATTTATGCCAAGAGGTTGGGCTTTATGAAGGAATGTTTTATTCACCAGTTCTCTCATATGGTTATATTTTATACCTCAGGCTGAATTGTTAGCTCCTGTGGGCAGGATTCTTTTCTATCTGTGTGGCTCCCAGAAGGACACATAGTGAGATAAGGAGTCACCAGTGAACAGCAGACCAACCAGAGATTATAGGACAACATCATGCAGATTCTATGTCATTATTGGATGATTATATATATGCAATTATATATATAGACATAAAATTTTTGCGTATAATTACTTGTATTATATTTGTGGCTTTTTTTCTTAAAGTTATGTGATATTTTTGTCATTATCTTGACCTGAAGGTTTATGGCTTACATTTTTATTTATTAAAAAAAAACTGTGCTAAGCAAGTTTATTGCTTACAGTAGCATAAGACGGATAGCAGCTTTTAGAATTTATGTATTTGTAAATGGAGCGACTAAGTGCTGACAGCAGTGCCATTTTCATGTTGGTTCAAAGGCATCTCGATGTTCAGTCTTTGTGCTGAAACGTGACACTTGATCTACTCAGTGTTTTATGATTATTATCATTTGTTGCACATACAGGTCTCTCACAACCCTCGGTCTGGTTATCTCAGCCTTAGCAGATCAGAGTGCTGGCAAAAACAAGAATAAATTTGTTCCATATCGTGACTCAGTTCTCACGTGGCTGCTCAAAGTAAGTTATTTTTTTCCTTCCTGGTCTATTCTTGGTGGATGGTAATAGGAAGAATAAAGAGAAGAATATTACTCCTTTTCAGTTATCATTTCATCTATCACTGTACAGATTTATAATCATTAGGCTCTTAGATCATAATTATAATTGATTAAGCACAGGTTTCTTCCTGATTCAGCAGAATCTGGACGCAGTGGGAGTTTGGGGCACACTGGCTCTGAGATTTGGGGAATAGAAGAGAGGCCTGGTACTAATCTGATAGGCAAGTGAGTCATAAAAAAGGAGTTTCCACTATCTTACAGATTCAGCTGGACTGCTTGTCTTTCTCGCGGGCTCCTTTTGTTTGACTGGCATTTTGGACCTTGTATTTCTGTTTAACTTCAAAACTACTCAGATCATTTTAATTTGCTTTCAGCTTTTTAAAGGTGTTGTTCAAGAGTATACAGTAGGTCACATAGTCATTCATTAGCTGATTCGATGTTAATGAGCAAAATGGAAATGAGAAAGAAAAATAAACTGTATGAAGTGCTGAGGAAAACATAAAGGAGTGTAAAACACTTTTTCCCTCCAGTTTAGAGTCTAGCAAGGGAGATACGATATTTACATAAACTATTACAGCATGAGTTAGTGATCCCATAGGAGACAGAGGAATGACTTGTAATAGGAGTTTGGGGAGAAGAGAGACTATTTCCAGGTTTCCTTTAATCTTGGCGAACTGGGTATTGGCCTGGGAGTTAGGGGTATAAAATCTAGGGACAGTTTAACTCCTTATAGAGTGGCCAACCTGGAACAAAATATTTTTTTACTACTCTTTTTTATAGTTTTTTTTAAAACAGAGAAATAATTTCATGAACCTTGTTAAGTCTTGTGATAACTTATTTCTCATTGATCAAGACTTATATATTGAACACCTGTTACTCACTGTGCCAGGGTTTGAGAATATAAAGATGGGTTAAACATAGGTCCCCAAGTAGCTTAGTGGAGGATACAGTTTTGACTTAGTCCATGACAAATTTAGAGAACTGTGTTTGTAAAGGGAGTAGGATTTTCTTCTAGTTTCCACACTCTCTTAAAGGGTTTCTGGTATTCAAGTTTACTTTCTAAAACTCCGCACACCATCTGAACATGATTTATTAAGTGTAATTTGCCACAGTAGAAAATCAGGTATGGTACTTCCTTTGGCAAAATGCAGTAAAATTGACATTCAAAACAAAAGAATACACAAATTTTTTAAAGAAGGACTTTAAATTTTATTTTTCAATTACAGTTTATATCCATATTATTTTGTATTAGTTTCTGGTGCACAGCATAGTGGTCAGACAGTCATATGCTTTACAGAGTGCTCCCCCCAACATTTCCAGTACCTACCTGACACCATATATAGTCATCGCAATATTATTGACTCTATTCTCTATGCTGTGCTGTACTTCTCCACGACTATTTTGTAATTACTAATTTGTACTAATTAATCCCTTCATCTCTTTCACCCACTTTTGAATAAGCCTTGAGTTAAAGAGATGTTACAAAACATTTCACTACTAAGGAGGTAATTGTACTTACCTTCATGAGTTAATATTAACCTTGCAATCTCATTTGTTTAACTTCCATAAGAAATCTCAATAAGATCCTATTTCTTCCTCAAACATTCCACAGAAACATTTCCTGATTACTCATGATCATTCCCTGGATGTGCCTGATTTTAAAGACAGAATATTCATTGTCCTGTTGTTTGTGTTGATACTTCAGTCCATTTAAATAAACAATAAGAAATATCTTCTGTTAGCTGATACAGTTAAAATGGCCTAGGTGTTTCTTCAGTGGCCATTTCATAGGCTGAAGGCCAGGAAAGCTTGTTTCAGGAGAACAGGTACCATGCTAAGTGCTTCATGTCCATTGTCTGGGTTACTCCAGGAAGGTAAATGGTGGTGTTCCTAGAGTACAGATGAGGCAGTAGAGACAGAAACAAGGCTGGAATCCAGAGCTTCGCCACCCATCTTCTTTTGCCTAGACAAAAGGTTATCAAAGGTTTCTTTTGATTAGAAGAAGCACTTGACTATTACCAAGCATTGATAGAAATGATTGGAAATACTTGAATAAAACAAAACACTTTCTTAAAAAGCTCACTTTATCTTGTGTTTAGTAAAATTAGGTTAAAATTGTTGCTTCTGTGTGTTAATTATCAGGCTAAAGAAAGGAATACTTTTCTTGATTTTTGTCTTTTTTTTTTTTTTCTTAAAATCTCTGTGACCTTTATTTTGTTTGACTTTTGCAGCAAGATCTTAAGTAGGGGCATTTTTGCAAAATGTATTTTGGGGTTTAAACAGCTTTCTCCCAAGCTGTTTAACCCATTGTTATGCAAATCATCCTCCTTTGAAGTGGCTTTTATGTTCCTATTAGTTTTTCCTTCTTTAATTCTTAATTAGTCTAACTTTCCCAGACCCTTGTTTGACCTAGTATGATCCTGGTATTTGCCAAAGTAACTTTTATTAAACTCATAAACTTGCTCATCGTTTATAAGGTTTGCAATATTTTATAAGTTTTTTGCTTTGTATTTGCATTATAGTTATGTAGTGCTCTTGATGTTTATAACACCTGAGAGTTGGAGAAACTTTGATACACTTGGTCCAGCATAGATGTGAGTGCTCTTCTCTCAGGGACAGTAGAGTGCTTGCTGTCTCATTTGGTAAGCAGTCAGTGGAGAACCATTTTGTATTAGGAGGATTTTGGCATCTCTGTGTAACCTTCTAAATATGGATCTCTAAGAGTCAAGTCATTTCTGGTAACAAATGCTCTGTTACTGTGGCAGCTAGGAGTAAGTAGCCAGCAGGGAAATAAAGGCTCCCCACCATTGCAGTCTAACAGAGAACTGAATACAGGAGGCTAAAAGCAAAGGAAGACGACCCAGTAGTTCTGAGCCTGGTCCAGTGAGACTATGACGGTGCAGTAGCGGGGGAGCCCTTGAAAGCCTGTGTGTATCATCTCCATTAGGTGGGAAAAGGAAAACCTTGAGACTGTGTACTCTTGTCAAAGCCTGGAAAGCCTACAGCGCTCAAAGAAAAGCCCATAAAACAACTTTGGTTAATTGCCTGCCCCCTGTCACGTATGCAAAATGAACAAATAGACTCTGGAGCAAGATAAGGATTTGGGCCAGCAGACCCCCACCCATACCTATGTTTGGGTGATAGTCATGTCTCCCCGAGAGAGCTGGCACCACCTTTACCTGTCAATCAATATGTAACTCCCTCACCCGCATCCTGCCAACTATATACATCCTCAGAACAAAGGACTCTCTCAGCCTCTTGGCCCTTTGTGGCCACCTGGCCTCTTGCTGCCCCGCTTTTGCCACCTTTGCTTTTGCTCTCCCATTAGAACTTAGCACTGATAAACTTTGCTTGCATGCTTCGTAGGCTTGCCGACCTGCAATTCTTACTGTGTGTTGGTAAGAAGAACCGAGTGTCTGTAACATTCCAGTGATGATTATCTTTTGAATTTATCCACTTTTTCCCATTCTTATTGCCCCTTACATAATGAAGGTGACCCTGCCTCTTGCTTGGACAATCTAAACCTCTCCCTCAAGCTTCCATTCTTTCTTTTTAAAAAGATTTTATTTACTTTTAGAGAGAGGGTAAGGAAGGGAGAGAGAGAAAGAGTAACATTAATGTGCAAGAGAAACATCGATTTGTTACCTCTCGCATACCCCCAGCTGGGGACCTGACCCCCCAACCCAGGCATGTGCTCTAACTGGGAATCGAACTGGCAACCTTTTGGTTCAGAAGCTGGCACTCAATCCACTGAGCCACAGCAGCCAGGGCGTCTGTCAAGCTTTCTTAGTCCATTTTGTTCTTTACAGTGAGGTTGCAATTTCTTTCTAAATTAATACTCTTATTAAACTTAAATCTCTTTAATAATTCTCCAGAAGCCCTTAAAATAAAGTCCAAATTCTTTAATGACTTGTCACTAGGCCCTTCATCATCTGACCACTCCCTACTTCTCATTATTCATCTTCTGCTCTTGATATTATCAATTCTAGTTAAGTGACTTCTAGGACTTTGCTCTTACTCTGGAACATTCTTCCCCCTCTCTTCAATTTCCTCCTACACTGCTCTCCCTCCCTTTTACCTGGGTGATGCTTATTCATCTCAAGGTCTCAAATGCCACTTTCTTGGGGAACCTTTCCTAACCTTTCAAGATTGGGCTTTCTGCTCTTTCTATGTTTCCTGAGACCATATTGTATTTATCCCCACTTTAGTTCTTATCATATAGTGTTTGCTCACCAGCATCTATGGTAAACTCCATGAAGAGATGAATGAATGGATATTTCAGCTCTGCTCTGAGCTAGCATTATGACCTTTGGTAAGTCTGTCAGTCTTCCTGGGTCCTAATTTCTCTTCTGTAAAATGAAATAATTTGATTAAATGACTTGAAAGAGTTCTTTCAGCTTTAAACAGTTCTGACTTCCAAAATTAAATTTCTTTCCTAAGTCCATTTAATTTGCAGTTGCTACGTTGGAAACAAAGCTCAGCTGATTTGCCTAATTAAACAATTAAAGAGTAAACAAGAAGCTTTATACTTTCTCCTTGAGTAAGTGCCAGTTCTTTTGTTGCCATTTCCTTTTTGCTAATGGCCTAAGGCCATTTTTGAATATAGGCATATTGTTGTCGCTCAGGCACAAGGGCTTTTAAAATATCAAGGATCTGTTGTTTGCCAGGTTTCCTTTTCTCAGCACAAATTGAAGCACAATGTGCATGCTTTTCTCCTTTGCCACTATTGTTACACATTCCTTTTACCCAGTAGCATTTGCTGTTCATGTGGGCTCATAGAACACTGTGGTTCTCCAAGGGCAGCACACCAGCGAGCGCACCACCATGGTGCTGCTTGTGCACTGAGTTGCCATTTGAGACGTAATTCCTGTGATCTTTATGTACGGCATTGGAATTTCATTAATGTGCATGGGATTCTTCTTGACATTTTTCTGGAAGTTGCCAGCCAAAGCTGGGCACCAACAATGCGAGGTCAGCATCTACAAGTGAAGAGTGAAGCACACACTCATACAGGCTTCACAGAAATCGCTTTTGCTTCCTAAAGCCCAGATTACTTATATTCCTTCCTTGCGTTGAACTTCGTTTCCTTCAAAGATAAAATGATCTTAGCCATGTTGTCTGTGGAAAACCAGTTTTTTAGTAATGGATGAGTAAGTGGACATATTGTCTGTGATTATATTGAACTGTTAAGAATACTTAAGGAATTATTTTGTTTCTGGCACTAGTCAGGTCACTTTACTTACTCCTCAGATCCGAACTCTGTCCATTGCCAAGTGTTTTGTTGTTACCATGTTGCTGTGGGTAGCCGTGGGGAGTGGGAATCCGTTGGACTGGGAGGCAGAGTACGATGGGACTAGAATATTGTTCAATTTGCACATTCTGGATCTTTAGGCAGAGTATTTAACCTTCTTTGTCAGAACGAACCTCTGTTTTTTCATTGGTAAAATGGGGTACTAATAATCCAATTCACCAAAGGCTGCAGACTAAGTAAAGTCTATGCACAAAGATTGTGTGAATCACAGATTGCTTGAACAGATTTTAGATATATTGGTATTGGAAAAACTTTATATCTTCAAAAGTAAAAATTTTATGTTGGTTAATGCTGTCCAAAGGTAATGTTGGCTTACTGGCCTTTCTCAATATCCTCTCTCATCTTGAGACTATGTTCTGCGATATTCTGTTACTGAAAGAGGGACTGAGTCTATTTTGGCTAATTCTTGTGATCCTGGGATGATATATTAGTGCATAAGAAGTTATCTGTTGCTGTGTAACAGAGTAGCCCTAAACCCTAACTGGTTGAAACAACAGTCACTTGTTATCCCACAGTCGCTATGGCTCAGCATTCTAGGTGTGGCCTAAAAGTGGTTCTGGCTGGTGGCTCTCACCTGGCTGTGATCAAAGTGTCACCGGGGGCTGCAGTTATCACGAGGCTTGACTAGGGTTGGAGCCGCTCACCTAAGCAGTGGGTGGCAGGCTTCAGAAGCTGTGTTTTCACACTCCCTCCTGTGGTGCCTTCAGAGGACCACCTCACCTCATGGCAGTGGTGAGGGAAGACACCCTTGACAGAGCCACAGTCTTTCCATAATCAGAAGTGACGTGCCATCACTTCTGCTGTATTGTTTCTTAGATGCAAATATGCAAGCTCTGCCCACACTCAAGGGAGGGGAGTGATACGGGGGTGTTACTGCCAGGAGGTGGAAGTCATCGGGGCCATCTTGGAGGCGGCCTGCCGCGGCATTGTGTGGAGAGGTGGTGAGAGGAGTGGATTGATTTCCCAAGTCTAGTTTTGTAATTCGGAGTTGTATTTAGTTAATTTTAATATTCTCAAGTGACAGTAGCATTTTGAACTTGTTGGAGCCCGTGCTAAAGCCCATTGCACTCTACTTTTCAGTCCCAGTGTGATGAAGATGAGTAACATCTGTTCAGCATCCTTGACTAGACTGTAAAAGTGGTTGTGTAGAACATGAAACCTATTTTAGTGGTTTTGAAGTGGTGTCAGAGGAAATAAAATGAAAATACCTTCAATTTAGCTTTTATTTTATAAGACTGTAATTGTACCTTTTTATGGTACAGGTATGTTTTTAAAAAATTTATAAGGTGCTTGATTGCTTGTAACAACAACACTTTCTGGGCCATTATTTAGGCTTCTCAGAGATTCCAAGTACATGGTGTTATGGAGTAGATTATAGGTAATCATTCTTTGATCAGGTAAATAATATCACAATTGTTCAGTTCCTCTAGGGAAGATTTTGTAGGCATTTAAGAAATTATTCTTCTTTATTCTGAGTAGTCTGCTGACTTACATGGTATTGTGTTGTCTGTTAAAGGAGAACAAATTGTCTTAAAATTAAATTTTATTAAACTAAAATAAATATAGACTTTAGTGTATTTCTCTGTCCTTTTTCAAAACCAAAATTCCCTTTTGCAGAAAAGTAGCTTGGCAGAGAAGAAAACACATGGGACAGGGAGTCAGTGTACTTGTACTTTAGTCCCGGCCTTGTCCTTAAATATGTTTGACATTGGGATGTTGTCTTATCATTTCTGACTTCTGCTTTCTCATAGAATGTTTTCTACCAACTCTAAAATGCTGCTCAATTTCTCTTTCTATAGGACAGTCTTGGGGGTAACAGCAAGACAGCCATGGTAGCTACTGTGAGTCCAGCAGCTGATAACTATGACGAAACCCTTTCAACTCTGCGGTATGCAGATCGCGCCAAGAACATCGTGAACCACGCCGTGGTGAATGAGGACCCTAACGCACGAATTATCCGGGATCTACGGGAAGAAGTAGAGAAACTCCGGGAGCAGCTAACCAAAGCAGAGGTATAAAAGGCACAGCTCAGTGATGCTTTATGGGTCTAGGAAAATCTAGTAAAGCTAGAACTTGAATATTCTGCCCCTTTAGCCATAAGTGATGAGTCATTTACTTAAAATTTTTAAATATCCTGTAGAAAGAGAAATTTGAGATGAGTAATAAGTAAAGGAAGGCAGATTGTCTTGATTGGAATTTAGAGTTTTTACGGGTGTTAAAAGAGTTGAATGGAGGAAAGAATAAAAGGAATTGAGAGAATGTTTTATTCCACAGTATAGGCAGAAGACAAGAGAGAAGAGATGTAATAGAAGAAGGGAGAGTAAAAAAGAAGCCTGAAAAAATGTATATAATGTATTTTTAGTGCAAAAAATGGTGAAGAGTGGGTACAGGCTAATTGGAAGAGGAATCAAATAGATTTTTTTTTTTCTTCAAATAGATTTTTGTTGTTATCATTTGTTCACTGCTTGAAGTCAGAATGGAAATCTTAAGGAGGTCTTTCACAACTTAATAATCTAGTTTTTCCATGTTGTGGGTTAATTTTTTAGAAAATATATTTTATAGCCCATCTATTTATTGGTACTCTATTTCCACTATTATTTGAATATTCTGTTGTGGTATTTATGCTCCATTACTGAATTTGGAGCGTACACAGTTCTCACCTACAACTGAATGCTCAGCCTTGTCAAAAGAGGAATAAAATACCAGAGTCATGATGCCTACTTTCATTAGCCTCTCTGTTCCCGCAGTTTCCCAGTGCTGCGGGAGTCTGTCCTGGGGCTGGGACCAAAGCCCTCTTCTTTGTCACACCCCATTTTATGGTAGTCATTTCGTAAAATACATGGTCAAAACAATTATCCTGATCATATTTTTGCCTGTTGAATTTTACCTTGTTTTTATAGTAATAATTTTAAAGTTCATCAAGAGCCTTTTAAATTTTTTCTGTGTTCTTGATATTAATAACACCATCTAGTTTGCAACTCATACAATTTTAGTCTGTATATACTTGAATAAAATACCTGAAGTCATCAGTAAAGACTAGAATGAATTATGTATGACTTTAGATATATGACTGATTGGAATTTTAAAAATAAGCCCTTGATAACTTGAACTATCAAAAGAAAAAAATTTGCCTTCCTTTCAAACGCATCTAGGATCCTTGGGTTTGTTTGTGGGACCCACACAGTGGGATTGCTGGGGTCAGTGGCAGTCAGCTATGTCTCAGGAAGATCAGAGGCTTCATTGAGAGGAGACAGATTGTTACTTTTGTTTTTCTGGATGTATCTAGTCCTTTTTTCAGTGCATTGTACAGACAGTTCATGAAATAAACATTTTGCTTATAGGCAATGAAATCTCCAGAACTAAAAGAACGGCTGGAAGAATCAGAGAAGCTAATCCAGGAAATGACTGTGACCTGGGAGGAGAAATTAAGGACGACTGAGGAGATTGCTCAGGTTCGTGTTTCCTGATCTAAAGAGAGAAACCTCATGGCTGTTTGTGCAAGGCAGCTCAGGCAGCACTTCTGGCTCTTTTTGATTTTTTGCTTTGAAGATGGCAAGTCTAGCACCATTAGTAAGAATCTATAGCCAAGAGTTTATACTTTATGAAGTTTATGGGAAGGATAAAAAAAAAGACATAATTATAATTAATTGTTCATTATGTAATAAATAATTTTTAGGGTCATAAAAAAAGTTTTTAATGAAATAGCTGCTTTATATCCCCAGCTGTGAACATCCAATTCTATTAAGTGCTTTGTAGACCCAAGGAAACTTACACAAACCACAAAATTATTAGTAGTAGATATTAGGCTATAAGATTTATGTTTCCATATGACAACTCATTAAAAGTAATATGAAATTCCTAAGTCTGAGGTAACTGTCTCTCATTTTTTAGAACACTTAATATAGGTAAGAGTTGTGAAATGTTAGGGTGGGAACATTAACATTTGGAGAAATCCCTAAAATGTCCAGCTCAGACACAAAAGACTTCCACTGTGGCTTTCCTGTTAGGTGGTTCATTCGACCTCTGTTCTAAAACTATGCATGATAATGTGTAGCTCAGTACCCCTTTGAGCTGTTTTTTTACGATTGGACAACTCTAATTGTAGCTATTTAATAAAAGTCTTTTATTCTTTTATTTCTGCTCATTGGCCTTAGTTTGTTCTTCCAAAACTACGAGAAAAAGTGTCCCAATTATATGTAGCAACTAACAATAAGAATAGCCAAAATTTATTGGCTATACATTTGTGTTGGGGCCTGTGCTAAGCACTGTTAAGTGCAGTATTTTATTTAATTCTCCCAACAGCCCAGGAGACTGTTATTACCCAAATAGTTAAAGTCACCTCTGCCTCTTTCCCTCTTTTTCTAAAGTTAAAAATTATAGTGTTTTCAGCTGTTCCCTGTATTAGCAAATATGCTGAACTTGCTACTTCTTTTTCCACCCAGTAGATTCCATCTTTAAATGTGCTGTCCAGAACCAGTCTATACATCACAGGTTGTAGGACACTAGGACTATTGTGTAGCATGAAGTGGGTGTTATAGTAGAACAGATTAAGATTTAAGTCAATTTTAAAACTTTTTTTTGTTATAATCAATTTCAAAACTGATAGGAGTATAATAAATCCCCATGGACCCATCGCCCAGTTTCACCAAAGATCAATACATGACTAGTCTTATTTTACTTACATCACCGCATTGGGTTATTTTAAAGCCTATCCCTCAAATTACAGAGAAGAGAGAATACACCAGTGTATAAACTTTATTTCTCTTTAAATATTTCACTTTTGTTTTTCATAAATTGTCATTCTAATGATTGTTCAATTGGGAACTAATTTATGTGAGCCTTTTAGACCTGTCCAAAAGTAAAACATTGACTTGGAAGTGCTCTTGTACTTGGATTGCTTTGCTAATGCAAAGCAAGGTAGGTCTCAGTGAGATCGCTATGTCAGTGAACCTTACCTTTGGGATCTTTCCTTTCCTAACTGCTCTTGCCCCCTCTCAGATGTCCCTTTTGGGAATGATGCCTGGATTCATCCAACACCTTATCTTTCCAAGCCCACAGACCTCAGTGCCGCTGAACTTGCTTCTCCCCTCTCACTAGATCTGTTGATTATTGACCTCTTTCCAAAATTGACTTGCATTCCCCAAAACGTATTTCTGGCATTATAGCCAGAAATTGTTAATAAAGTCTTCTGGGATAAAAATGGCCCATGGTCAGATGACTTTGAGAACATCTGGGTCAACTAAGTTAAATAGACTCCTTTTTTGAAGGACTTTTCCCATGTCTCCTCCAGGCCACCAGGCTCTCCAGAAGTCCTCTGTGCTCTGTAGCGTCTTCATCCAGTAGGCCAGCTCCCATAGGTCGTCCCTGCCATTGAATTCTGTGGCAACTGTCTATGCCCTTTTGACCTTTAAGTCATGCAATTCTCTACTGTTGTTCAGAGTTTTGTTTTGTTTTATTTTGTACAGTTTTATTACCTAATGGGTACTTAAGATTCTCAAGAAAAAAAGGCCTTATCTTTTTGCTTTTCAAATGTGTGCTCAATACATTTTTGAGTAAACAAACAGAACTCAAGTTGACTAATTTCTAAGCCCAGTGATTTATCTGTGATATGAAACAGTCTCTTATTTTAATTTTTTTTTATTCTCATTAAAAAATTCACACGTGAAATCAAAACCTGGACATAATCAGAGTCAGCAGTTGTGTCCTTGGGCAAAACCTGTTTGCCACTTTAAGTCTTTTATTTAATGCCATGGTGAGAATTTATGGAGTCATACTAAGAGTATAAGTGAAAGAAACTATACTATTACAAAAATAGTATTTACTTACAGAAAAATATAGAAAGATTATGATGAAAAAAATTTAAATTAACTGGGATCCAATCATCCAGAAGGAACTGTGGTTAATATCTGTGTACTTTCTTCTACGTTTTTTCAGTGCATAAATTGATATACTAATTTATATTCTGCATTTTCCACTTAGTATTAGTTTGTGGACTAGTTTGTTTAAAAAGAGATATTTTTATAGAGAAATGTTTCTTTATGTTATTGGAATAATTCTTTAATTACCTACCAAAATTTCTATGTGAAATATATTTCCCTCAGAAAGGACTACACAAGATATGTCAGAATTGCTTTCCTCATTGTAAGAACATGATGATGCTGAACACTCTAATGTCTCCTGCTAAGTCAAAACTTCTGAAAGAATTCAGTAGTGTTTTTTGTTGGAAGAGAGTCTTGATTCAAGTACCCAGAACCAAAATGCCCCTACTTTTGTGTAGTATGCTTCTAGGTGAAATGGATTCACCAGGCTGCAGTGGCCATGTAAATTAGGGTGGTGTCCCTAGAAAGAGCACAATTTTAAGGCTGTAATTTAATTGTACTACAAATGTATTGTGTAGCCCTAGTTAAATGACTTAGAATGTTTTGTCTTCAGAATCAAAGGTCCTTGGTGGCTTTATTACTTGTTATTTATAATAGTTCAATTCATATACTATTCAAAGTTCAAAGGTCATTACTACTTGTTATTTATAATAGTTCAATCCATATACCTAAAATATAGAGCATCGGCTGCAGGATTCGTATGTATCCCCCATACACATACATTCATGTATTGTGTGGACTCAGAGACTGGAGGCACAGCAAAAGAAAGGCTCATATCCTTATGAAAATAGTACTTGAATGCATATGCAAGTTTTATTTTGGTAAATTTGTAAGACCAACGTTTTGAGAGCTCACTGTGTGTTATGCATTGTGCTGGGAAGACACAGTGGATACATGTGATTCAGGCCCCCATGGAGAAGTGGGCAAATGAACAGTGACCAAGTGTGAAAACAAGTATGCTCCAGCTAGAAGGTACAGGTGTACAGTCTCTTAAGTTAAAGAGAGCATTCCTGATGCTTTCAGGGGCCTGGAAGATGTTCCATGTAACTGTAGGACAGGCTTTGAAAGTAGGAGTGACAGGATGTGAAGGTGGGAATAAGTTGGATGGGTCAGATCGAAGGGCCTGGTGGACTTTGCTCAGGGAGTTGGGCTTTTATCCTTGCTGTGTAGTCACTGAGGTATCACAGGAGAGTGTATTGAAAACTTGGCTTTTTAAAAACACTACAGTTGAGTAAAACAAATGTACATTTGCTCATATGTAGAGAATTAAATGGGAAAGATGAATTCAAGATGTTAGATATTTTCAAGAATGAAAATTGAGAGCTCAGTAGTTTACTTGGTTGTTATTTGTAATGGCTTTATTTTTCAAAAAAAATTTTAATTAACAAAATAACATTATATGGTTCAGAAAGAGAAAAAACATAGTAATCTATAACACCATGTCCCAAGCTAAAATATTTGAATTATAAAGTTATTCAATAATTACTCTAACGTAAGAACTATTTCTCACTATGTCAATAGCTGTGGAGTTAATATTTCTCTAATCCATTTACAGGAACGGCAGAAACAACTTGAAAGTCTTGGAATATCACTTCAATCTTCTGGAATTAAAGTTGGGGATGATAAATGTTTCCTTGTTAATCTGAATGCTGATCCTGCTTTGAATGAACTTCTGGTTTACTATTTAAAGGTGAAGTAATTGGCTTTGCTGTATTTCCTGCCATGAAATAGAACAGTGATTCACAACAATTTTTTTTTTTAAACTTGGAGAACCACGCTTATTCAAAATAATGAATTAGCCAATTGTTTTTATTTGAATAAGCTTAAGTATAGAAAAACCTTGGGTTTCTGGAATAGTTTTTCTTTTTAGTTATTGAGTGATGTCATTCAACCTTGTAATATTAAAAAAAGATATTCTGGTATTATTTCTAACAAATCAAGTAGCTTAACTACTATTGTTTCATGTGATTTATACCAGATTAAGTAGATAACTTTAAAGCTTAAGAAATGACTGTTAAAACTGACTCATTAGTAGATGAAAGCTTTTATGGTTTATATGAAGCATGCCTTTTTGTATGTGGTTTGTTAGCTCATAAGGGGAAATGTTTTAAGACAGTTATATTCATAGGATCACTTGATGTAAAATTTGTATTTCCATTAACTCTTAGGAAAACTAAAAAATCTGGATTATCAAATTATAAAAAAAGATTGGGAGGGTGAGAGTGTGGAAAAGGAAAACAGCAAATACTGATACACATTGAAAGTGATAAATAGTAGGATATAGGAAGACAATAGACAAATTTATAGATCCTGATACTACATAAATTACGAGGATATATATGCCCAGAGCATAAATGAATTATATAATGGACAAATGATTTTAAAAGGAGGTTAATAAATAATATGAGGAAAATTTTTCCCCCTCAATATATGTGGGTTTAATTAAGGTGGCTAGGAAAGTAAAGATAATGAGCTGATAAAGTTGGAAACTGCTTTAAAATTAGAGAATTGTGTTGTTTCATTTCTAAAGAGATTAAAGAATTCATGACCCATTGGCTAGTTTCCCAGGGTTTATCAAAGGTATCTGGCATAATTGCTGGGTGTGTTTTGAATACCATGTTTTATTACACTGTGAGTTAAGTCATGTCTTTTGATACTTACAGTCACCTGCATTCTCAAGTACGGTGAGTAGGAGAGGGTTGCCCTGTGTTTCCAGTCCTTATCACTATTTAACAGATGTTCAATCCCAAGTCCTTTGCCCTTCTCTGCAGATGCTTCCTCTATAAATGGAAGTTGGGCTACCTCACAGAGCTCTGGTTAGGATTAAATGAGATTGTATGTATAGAAGCACTGTATAAACAGAAGCACTATACAAATATAAAATATTCCATATACCATTTTCACATTTGATATTCTTTAGGGTACCTTATGTACATCATTCTTGTCTATTGAAAAAATATGTATTATTGCATTACTTAATGTGCTTCTAGACAATGTTGGCAGCATTTTGTGTTAGAATTTCAGCGGTAGATATTCACATGTTTTAAGAAAGATGCAGTACTTGAATAGGACTTAAATATTCTGCTCTTTTTGTTTCTCAGAACTCTGCATTCCTTCTCTTTCTGATGTGGTAAATTTCCAGTCGGAACACACAAACACAGACACTCAACAAGAGAAAACCTGACTCATATCTGTTCCTTAACTAAAAAGTTAAACAAAGAAACTATTTAAAGACTTTTAGAGAGTATTCAAAATATTTCTGGTCATCTTGTGAGGAGGTGTTGGGATTCTGTTTCAGACTGTGTGGTCAACCCTGTTCTGGCAGAATTTAAGGCAGTGTTGATTTCCTCACTGTCCCGGCTACCCCACGACAAGAGTATATTCATGACCAAGCACAGTCAAGAGGATGGTCTCAGTGCAAGAACAGCTTTTGCTTCTGTAAAACTATATTATGATGTGGAACAGAGGAATTCGGAGGCTGAGCATTTTGTATTTTTTGCTTTCAGATTCTCAAGTCAGTTGAGATGCTGGGTAGATGACCTCACATCTCTGGGTGACTTTTGGCACCCCATCTGTAAAATGAGGGCACTAGATTAAAATATCTGTAATGTTCTTTCTAGTTCCAAGTTGTATGTTTCTCATCCAGAACAGAATCCTCCATTTATTTGTTCTGTCCAGAACTGGCAGAGGTAAGGTTTGGTGGGCAAACCGTGGACAGATCATAACTCACAAGATAATTTTGCAATTTATTTGCATGTGTAGGCAGTCCTTGCTTTACATAGTTCTAATATATACAAATTCTAGCCCCCTGATTTAGTAAATAATGTTGACACTGCTGCCATTCATAAAATTCTAGCTTTTGCAGCCAGAGGAGCATAGCGAAGGTGAATTTATGGAGGTAAACAATGAAAGCGGTTGTGATGATAAGGTGAAGATGTCTCAAGGGAGTGACGCCAGGCAACACTTAGATAAGGAACTCCTGTAGATATTTTGCAGCACTGAAAGCACAAGGGATAAAATGATAGAAGCTTAGAAGGGAGTACAGCAGTTTGCCAAGGCATAGAAAATAAGCTCATTCCGTAGTATGCGTGTAGAAAAGATGGCAAGCACTGTTCAGACTTGGATAAGTTTTTACAAAGAAATTAAATGCTTTAAGTTTCAGTGTCTCTAATGTTCTAAATTACAGCATACTAAATAAATATGTTACAATTTTTCATCTTCTTCTACATTATAACAATAAGAGAATCCTTAATTTTTTACAGACATTTTTAAAGGTCACAGAATAATTGCAGTTTTCCCCACTGATTATTAAGATCTCCTTGCACAATTATTTTTATGGTCCTGCTCTCGTGCAAAGCGAGTCAGCCAGGAGCTGTGAGGTAAACCTGGAGATTTATCTCAGCGTGAGCCGGGCTTCCAGAAGAAAGAGCTGCTGCCCTCACCTCAAAAACACTATGGTAGTAAGACGCTTTTTTCCCCCTAAAATATTCTATAAAAACATTAGAAAAAGAAGGGGGTGGGAAGTTAAATCCAAATTCAAACACAGAGATGATCACAATTAATATTTGGTATTTTTATTTGTATCCTCTGGTTCTATTCCTATACATATACGTATGGATTTATATGGATACATATTTTTTAACTACAGAAATGGTATCATAATATGATTGATTCCATCCTCTGAATCATCAGCCTAACTTTTCAGGAAGGTTATTTTGCTTCTACAATTCTGGGTCTACTCTCTTCACAAGGCGGGTATTTTTAAAATAATTTTTTAATTTTCAATTTTAGTTCACATGCAATATTATATTAGTTTCAGGTGACAAGATGGTGATTAGACATTTATACAGTTTATGAAGGGATCACCCCAAAAGTCCAGTGTCCACCTGAAACCATACACACAAGTAGCTGGGAAAGCAAGGGTGACTCTGAAGGATTTGGGGATTTTATACTTGTACATACTCGATAAGGATTTGTATCAGTGATTCGGTAGCAGCTTCAAAGCACGTGTCGACCCCGTGGCATAGCTCCCACTGAAGGTAAACTGCATGCTGTTATCTTAACCAGTGTTCCCAGTCACCAGTTGAGGCGATCAGAATGGCAGGGGCAGCCGCCAATCAATGTTTATGGAGCTGTGGGCCAGGCTTCAAGGGACCCAAGCTGGATAAGACACAGCTGTGGTCTGTTAGGAACTCTTGGATGGCAGCAGTGTGGCTCATCAAGTGTAGTATTTGAATTTGTAAAATACAGATACCTTTCCTTTCTTCTCCACCTCCATTCCAGAAAAGCTATCTTGAGAGGCTTGGTTCTGTTAAGTAAGGTGGAGTTCTTTCTTACAGAATTTTCATTATTTAGATATAAAAATAACAAATACTGTTTTGTTCATTGCCCCTGGCATTTGCTTACCTTCAGAAATTGTCTGAGAATACTGGTAACGCTGAGGGACTGCACAGGCTTACTAATATGCTGCTTTCCCCGACTGCGGGATAGGAAAAACCACCCTGTGAAGTGTTGCTAGTGAGTATGTCCTGTCTGTCTCCATCCATCCACTCCCTTCCCACTCCTTTTAGGACAGTTGATCAAAGAGACATTCTCAAAAGAGCCACATAGATAGTTAATTCATAAAGAAAGCAAGGTCTCAGTAAATTCATAGAATAGTTAACTGATCATCTCCAGTGAAATTAAATTTATATGTGGGAAGGTTAAAAAGCCATTTCCATCTTTTGCCTGTTTCTGAGATTTTTAAATATGGTATTTTAAATACCATATTTAGCAGGTGTTTATTAAAGTTTACTCTAAAAGTAGTATTTCTTTTATTTTATTTTAGAATTTTTATGAGTTTATTTGAGCCAAACTAACAACATGTGCCAGGGAGCAAGCTCTCAAATGCTCCCTAAAGCTAGCATACTAGCGGGGATCCCAGAGAAGCAGAATTTACTTATAAAAAATTGTGTATTCTTATATGTTTAAACTTCAGTCACCTTCCAAGTACTTTCTATTTGAGGCAATACACCTATTGAGACATTTTTTCTACTGCTCAGAACAGTTTTTGAACTCATCAATTTTGATGCCCTTTAGTGCTTCTGCCATTTTTTATTTCAACTCTTCCACATTGGCAAAGCATTTCCCTTTGAGAACTTTTTTCATCTGGGGAAACAAAAAAAAGTTGTTCAGGAAGAGGTGAATAGGGAGGGTGGGGCACGAGGGTCATGCTGTTTTTCGTCAAAAACTGCTGAACACTCAACGTGATGTGGGCAGGTGCGCTTGTAAATCACCCATCATGAAATGGGCAAACGCGTTGAAAGACTCTTCAAGAAAAAATTCACTGGAGCTGAACGCAGCCTCTCACAACTCCAGCTGGTGCACTGACGCAGATGGGCTCCTAGAACACTCACCTGGCGGGGTGAGCCTGGACCGTCCAGAAGATGATTCCAGTTTTTTTTTTTTGAGGGGGGGGAGGGGTTTAGAGTCATTATACCCATATATCACGTAGAGACTGAAAAGCAATCCCTGATTAACTTTTATGTTATTATGATCACCTTCCACCTTCACAGAATTTAGTTACTGATTTAGTTACTCATAAACTGCTATATCAACCTATGATAAATTAATTTTTTTCCTCTTTGATATTTTTATTGCAGTGTTTAGAACATTGTAGGAACTATCAAACAAGCTTATTGTTTAACTTGTTTAAATATCAAACAGTAAGGCTCTGGCAGAGTTGATCTTTTAGAACCCAGTATTTGAAATTCCAGCAACTCATCATCCAGATTAGAATAGATTATAAACTCAAATGAGAGATTTAAGTTGTCATTTATAGTGTAAGCTCTATATTGGGACCTTGTCTGTCTTTTGTCTATAGTGGCTCAGTACTCAACTCAAAATAGGTGCTCAATATAGTTGTTGAAAAATAGAATTTTCTAGAGTTTGAATTAGAAATTACATGTTTGAGTTAACTATTTTATCTCTGATAAATTTTAATTCAGCCTGTCAACAGCATCCACCAGGTATTGTGTAGTGTGCTCCTTGTTGGAAAAGATAAAAGAGTCCGGTATAGGTTGCTATCTAAGAAACATTCATGTAATAAATAGATAGTGTCGACCTAAGAAACCTCCAAACCTGTAGAGAATTTTTATGAGTTTATTAGAGCCAAACTGATGACATGCTTGGAAGCAAGATCTCCAGTGCTCCCCTGGGTGATAGTTTTGAAATTTCTTTTGTACTTTTGGAATGAAAGAAGATTACATGAGGGCAGGAGAAAGCAAGGTACAAGATAGTTAAGATTACTGACTCCCTCTGAGGGATCTGGAAAAAAGATTTCTCTGGCATTTCAAAGCTGTGTTAACCTGGATTCACAAAAACAGTGGACAGGGCTTGTTGCAGGCAAAGATAAACATTTTTATAGGCCTGGAAGGAGACTACCCTCCATGACCTGCCCAGTTAGGAATTTTATGATCAGATCACCCTGTGAGGTTACTTTTGGTCAGATTTATTACAGAGCCGCTTTTTCATCCACAATAGTAAATTGAGGTACTAAGTGTTATCAGGGTTCAGAGAAGGGAGAAGTCAGTCTTGGCTGATATCAAAACCTGTAAGTAGAAGATGAAATTAGAAGTACAGGGTCTAGTACAAATAACACCCTTTTTTTAATTACAAAATCTTTTATTACAAAATCATAAGCATGTAATTCTGTAACATAACAATATCATGCTCAAGCATACCATATGACATTTGGACATGGAATATACAAATTAAAACTATAAATTATTTCATCCATATTATTACCCTACCAACCACAGCCAAGCAGGCCTTAACTTCTGCCAGACCCTGTAGTTGTTGAAAGCTATTTCATATTTACATCAAGGAAGGAGAACATTTCAGGCAGAGAGAACAAGAATAAGGACAAAGACTGGGAATGAACTGGTCTGCAATTTTGGGGTGGGATACAAGGAGCTGGTTCTACACTCAAACTTTAACCTAGGCTATAGCTCAAGGTTTTTCTCCTCTCCTATCCCAGGACAAAAAAGGATTCCAAAGGTACAGTTAGAAATCTGGCTTAATTTCTCATGGGAGGAGGAAAGTGATTATATGTAGAAATGGCCTAAGGCAAGTGCTTTGGGGCTATTTTCTTTGGTGATCTCGGGCCCTTTTTCTCTTTGGACTCTTTTTATTTTTTTTCCCCAAGGGAAGAAGAAACCTAAGTGGGGAATGGAGACAGGCATGGAATAGATTCTGCTACTGAATGTCACAAAAGCATTATTTGTAGTTAACACCTGGTCAAGCCCTATTCTCCAGGTTAGGGAAGTATGTGACTGAGCAGTAGACGTCTGCCCGGAATGTCCTCTGTATTATCTACCCACCCTGAGAATTGGACAGGATACCATGGGGCAGTTCTGGATCCCAGCTCTTTCTTTCCTTGGGTACACCGCTGTAGTGTTGTTAAGAGAAGAAATGCCCAGAAAGGGGGAAGTGAAAATACTAAATGGCAAAAGACCTTTTTATAAGATTGAGATCCCAGATGAGATGGGAAGAATTGGAACCCAGAATGTAAGAAGTGTTATCAGTAAAGAAGAGGAGAGAATCATCTTCCTTTGAGTCTGAAAAGAAAGCTAAGAGAAATGATGGTTCTCTTTTTTTCTTTTATTATTTTATAATGCCTTTAAGTGCCAGGCCTTGTGTGTTAAGTGCATGGATTACAGTGGGGAACTCTGCTCCCATGGAGTTTCCATGCTAGCTGTGGAGATGACAGAGCCACGTCATCTCTGACACAGTCAGAGCTATGGCAGGAATGCAAACAGGAGAGTGAAGGGGTGGCTATTTCTGATTGTCAGTTCAGGATACACCTCTTTGAGGATGTGCCCATAAAAGCTGAGATGGAATTGGTGAGAAACTACCAGTATCAAGACCCGCAGAAGAACATTTCACACAGAAGAAACAGCCAGTGTACTCAAAGAACAGCTAAAGGGCCCATGTGGCTGGGTGTTGCTCCAGGAGAGGGAGGGGGTGGTCCCCTAGCATGGGGTGGGGGCTGGGGCACAGATCAGAGTGTTTTGTAAACCTGTTAAGAATATGACTTCATTAGACCTTCAAAGGGAAGACATAGACAGAGTGTTTTAAATAGGGGGATCACATGATCAGCTGTTGTGATGGGAGTGGATGGCGTGGAGGGAGTAGAAGTGAAAAAATAGTAGGAAGCTCCTGTGTTTCCCCAGGCAAGAGACTGGGATGTGATGGTAGAAGCAGGGAGAAATGAGCTGATTCCTAACATGTTTGGGAGGGGGGGTCTGTAAGATTTCCTGATTGACATGGGGCTAGGGGCAGACTTGTAAGGGATAGAGAGGACTTGAAGGTAGCATTTAAGCTTCTTAGTTGACTAACTGGGTGGTGGTAGCACCATTATTGTTGGAGAAAGGAATAGAGTCATTGGGTCCGTGGTGGGGGAATTGGAGGGTGAGCAACAGCTCTGCTGTGGCCCCTTCACTTTGAAATGTGTTTAGACATCCAAGATCTTCCGGACAGGCAAGAAATGATGGTGGCTGAGGCTAGGATAGTGGAAGTAGAGGTAGGAAAATAATGCAACCAAAGTCTATAGTTCCTGGTTGGTGATTTAATTTATATGTAGAGAGTATTTAAAGCTCATGGGACTGGATGAGATCACTGTGGTCAGCAGTCAGCAGCCTCGGCCAAATCTAGTGCCCTGCTGGTTTTTATATGGCCTGGGAACTAAGAATGGTTTTTACATTGTTTAAATGGTTGAAAAAAAGGAAACGAATCTTAATATTTTGAGCACATGAAAATGATACGAAGTACAATTTGAGTGCTCATTAATCAAGTTTTATTGGAAAGTAGCCACACTTACTCATTTGTGTATTGTCTGGCTACTTTCACAGAGCAGAGCTGAGTATTGCATGTGACTCACAAAGCCTAAAATATTTCATATCTGACCCCTAACCAGCTGTGTAGAAAGAACAGGTGGCCTAGGACATACCCAGGTCATGTCAACACTTAATCATGGTGGGTAGTCAGATGTTGAAGCTTGTAGAGGGAGCTTGATTTTTATGTCCGTTTTTTCAGCAACCTGCCAAAAAGTGATGCTGGTGATTAGGGTGTAGAGAATTGAGTAATTGAGTGGGGGGATTTACAGTAAAAAGAACACATCTGTTATATCTTTTCTGAGGTTCAGGGAGACCATGTGATTCATTAAATAATTTTAGTTTTTTCAGATTCCTTGTATTTGAATGTTTTATCTTTGTATTTTACTTATCTTGACTGAGACCAGGTAAGTAACTGTAGTTTTCAGATCAGTATCTTTGATCCATCATTGACACATGGCTCATGCTCTGAGAATATTATAAAATATTTATAATCAAGATTGCAATGGAAAATAATGATTATAGTATAGACATTAAAATAAATCTGTAGTTTTCTGTTTAAAGGATATAACTCAACCCAGTGCATTATCCCTTAAAGGAAATAGAACTTGTAGAATGAATTTCAGAGAAAGGCAGAATTCCCCATGCTGTTCCATTTGCTTTAAAAATCTCTTAGCTAAGTTAATATGATCAATATAAGAGGGCTTAGAGTAGATTATTTCACTTTGTGTGCATCTAAGAATATGGTGTTAATCAGTGAGTTTGATTCCTTTGTAGGAGCATACATTGATAGGTTCAGCAAATTCTCAAGATATCCAGCTGTGTGGAATGGGAATTCTCCCTGAACACTGTATTATAGACATCATGCCAGAAGGCCAGGTTATACTGACTCCTCAGAAGAACACCAGGTAATGTATTTTAATTAGTGTTAATATCACAATAATTTTTAAGAGGAAGAAAGTATACTAGTTGCAGATGATATATAGAACATTTGACCTTCGTTTGCTTTTTAAAAATATTTTATTTATTGATTTTTAGAGAGGGAGAGAAACATTGATTTGTTCCACTTATTTATGCATTCATTGGATGATTCTTGTATGTGCCCTGACCAGGGATTGAACCTGCAATCTTGGCATATAGGGACGGCACTCTTAACCACTGAGCTACCTGGCCAGTGCTTGGTTTGCCTTTAAGTTCACTTAATGAAGATACCCGCCTAGTTAAACAAGTCCTTTATGTTAACTTTTTAATCTCTTAGACCCATTTATTCATCTCTACGCTCATTACCATGGCCTAATTTAAATAAGGCCCTCATTCGGTCTTGACTGGACTCCCTGAGAGCACCCTCATGTTTTTCTGGTTCAGCACACCAAACAGCCAAGTGGCTTTCTACTATTTTTGATACAAAATTTCTTACATCCCTCCTGTTTTTCTCCTGTTCCTCTGCCTCTGCCATTTCCTTAGCCAGCTAATTCCTATCTGACCTTCAAGGGTTACCTCTGTCATTGTCCACTTTGGGGAATTCCCTGTTTGGTCTAAATTAAAGGCTCCCACTCATTATGTGTTCCCAGTGCACCTTATGCTTCCTGTTAACACTCTGTATTGTATTCTTTTGGGCTGTTAATCTTTATTACCCCGTTGGACTGTGAGCTCCTTGAAGACAGGACCTTTTTTTTTTTTTAACATTCTCTATCTCTATCCTTAGCACTTAGTCTAAGACTAGTATATATGTATATAAGTGCTCAATAAGTAATGAATGAATGAAGAGGTGTAACATGTTTAAATTAAATATTTGTCAGTTTGTTTTCTTAAGCTACAAAACTGTTACCACCCTGTTGTATAACTGTCTGCAACTTATAGGTGATGGTTAACTAATTTATATTGATCTTCTGAATGTTGATCCATTTCATCATCAATATTAAAAAAATCATAAACATCATCATTGATTTCATCTCTAAAGTTTATATATTGGGAAACTATCAAGCTTCTGGTGAAGGATACCAGTGTACCAGTGAGAAAGAAGAAAGGGCAGAAGCCGCCTGGCACCCCTAGCCAGGGCTTGCGCTTTTCCTTTTAAGTAATCTCACAGAACAGAAATTAGGCAAGGTTACTCTGAGGGTGTGACCACGGAAGGCAGAGCAGGCTACACGATCATTTTGTTTGAGCTCGGAGAAAAATCAAGGTCACTATGCCACACACAAAGTACCAGACACCATTTCTCACGTACACCATCATAGAGTCACTCCTGCTTTCCGACAGCCTCCTACATGGAGAGAACCCCCACTTCCTTAGAGCCTCTCCCGGACCCTCCAGCTAAAGCCCAAATGCTGCCTCAGGGCCTTCTCCGCGCCCTCTCACCGACGCCCCAGCCCCCTGTGGCATGCCTTGTCCCTCTGCAGGAGGGGTCAGCCCGACTCTTCAACTGCAGGAATGCTCCTGTGGTCTTTGGTTTGAGGATATTGACACAAGTTTCCCAAAACTCTCATTTTCACTTGAAAGCTGGCAATTTGCAGCTGGCAACAAGTACTGTCAGTTGTTTTCTTCGAAGTGACATGCTGGCTTTGTTTATTTTCAAGAAAATGTCTACTAAAAGATCACTTTGTATGTGTCTTTGATTCAAGTCATACCCTACTTCAGGATGCATTGACATAGCACTAGTTTATGTACTTCTCATTTTGTCACCTGAGGTGTATAAAAAGCTGTGTACTCAAAGGTCAAGATTTAGTACAAGTTATAATTGTTACTGCTTTATCAAGGACATTCACAGACAAAACTTTTTTTAGATTGTGAGGCACAACGATCCAGCGGCTGCTAGTGGTGTTTCGGCGCCACTGCCTTGATTTGTCTACCACGCCAGCAGTTTTACTCATTGTCAGCACAGATGCCGACACAGTGAAAAAGGGCAGGTTAGCCTTATAAAAATAGCTTTGTCCTCTGGGGACCCACGCAGAATGTGCTTTGAGAACTGTTATTATATTCATGCTTCTATTTACTAATCATGGCTTATCCTGCTGTTGCTTTTTAAAGTCAGCCTATGTAGGTGTTTGCCTTTAATTAAATTTCTCATTGTATTTAAGGAATCTGGATCATAAAGGCTAAAATTTGCTGATTTTATTAGGTCTCCTCTTGCATGACTGTATTTTCTGAGCTTGTGCTTTGAATAATCAGACTATAGGAGTATAAATACCAATTACTTTTAGGTTTAAAAAACCCACCGAGTAAGTGATACCTAGACAAAGAGTAAGATTTTGTGTATGTGCACATATGAAAAAGATAACTAACAGTATAATGCCGGGGAAGTGCTTAGGAACTTAAAGAAATGAAGACACGATAGGCTGGAGTAAGGAGCAACCTTTCACAGGAAGTATCAATGAGACTGGGTCTCGAAAGCTGAGCAAGATTTGGGGGGATGGAGAGGAATGGGAACCACATTTCAGTTTGTAGGACTGGTACAAACCTGGCTTTGGAAGAAGAGTCAGTCATGTTTAGTGGACAGAACATGAAGTTTGTTTGTGTTTGTTTTTGCTGAAGCTGAGAGTTTGGTAGAAGTTGGAAAGGAAGAGATAAAAAAGGCTTCCTTTTGTTGGACCCTTAATGTCAAGTGAAAGAACTTGACTGTTATCCTACGTCTAAGCAAGTGGGTTATTTGGCAGGAGAGAGGCATGATGACACTATTATACTGGTATGCATAATTTTCTATTTATTTCCCGCCCTCTCCAAAATCTCCATTTAATATTTTTCTAATCACCATTTTTCTGTTGAACTCCAGTGTCAAGATAAACAGTCAAGTTGGCCTGAAAAATATTCTGTGTATTGATAGGATACGGATATTTTACTGTGGCCAGTTACAGAAGAATTTAATGTTGGTTTCATTTCTTATTACTGATATCTGTAGATCTAGAGTCCAATTGGTTGACTGACTCTTTTTATGCAGGAGATTGGACATAGTTGTTTTAGTTGTAACAGATACTGCTATCATTTTTCTATTATTGGCTGTAATGGTTCCATACTTACTCCTTATTATGTTATATAACAAATTCAGAACTTTGCTAAACAGAGAATAATTATTATACTTAGTACCATAAGCATTTCTTTGTTAGGTAAATAAACAAAGAAGTAGATATAAATAATAAAATTCACCAAGGGCAGGTTTTATTTTGGGGAGTTGATTATTTTGTTTTTCCTAGTAAGTGGATCTCTGTGGTACTGGAAACTTAAAGGAGAAAACATGATAATCATCGCTTACATGTCTAACCTCTTCTTCCCACAGAACATTTGTAAATGGCTCGTCTGTATCCAGTCCTGTACAGCTACACCACGGGGACAGGATATTATGGGGAAACAATCACTTCTTCAGGTGTGACATTATTTATGGTTTTTAAAGAAGATTACTGAAGACTATACTCTAACACAGAAGAATATATATTGAAAAATAAACATAACTCCATAAATATTATGTATTTATTAGTATATATATTTTTACTGTATGTGCTATAATTATATACTATATACAGAGTGGGGCAAAAGTAGATTTACAGTTGTTCTTATCGAAAATAATACAATAATTAATAAATAATAATGCAAGAATAAACTGTTTTGCATACTTACAACTATAAACCTACTTTTGCCTCACCCTGTATATATGTTTGTTCACTCTATGGTTTGAGTCTGAGGGAATATGAACAATATACTCAGGAAAAAAACTGAGTTTACTTAGACATTTTTTCCTTTTTATTTCTCAGTGGAAGATGATTGTTTTGCCATCTGGTGTAAGAATTCATTAGTTTTTTTCTGATATGTTCATCTTTTTATTTGTTCATTTTTTATAGGAAAAGTAGTGGTTTTAGTTTCCTTATTCATAAAATAAGGTTTGTATTTCTTTTAGCTGCAAGTAACTGCAAACTTAACTGTAGTGACTTAAATTGATAGTTTATTTCTTTGACAAAACAAGAAATCCGAAGGAAGATGGTTGTTGGCATTGGCTAAGCTCCTCAAAACTGTCATGGCAGAAGTCTTGTCATTGTCATGACATTTTTCTATGGCCTAAAAATGGCCACAGCACTCCAGAAGTCTCCTCTGAGTCCCCAGTAACCTTCCTCTTAGGCCTCATTTGCTGTAATTTACCTCCTAGCTGAGAGGGGGCTGAGAAAGAAAGTATCAGTCCTGGGACTGCACACATTGCTTCTCATACAAAATTGGTGTTGTGTTGGCAAGGCAAGGAGGGCCGAATATTGTATAAAATTAAAATCCTAGTCTGTTTCTCTTTCTTTCACTGGTCACTGTGCTTCACATATCAAACTGACTTATCTCATGGCTCATGGAAATCCTTTGCTCGTAAGCCAGCTGATATTTAGATGACTGAAGAAAGGGTAGAGGGGTACAGAGTATGTGGAAAATATTTTTATTTCTTTCTTTCTCAAACTAAATCGAGCATAAATTGCTTGACTTAGTATCCACAGCCTTCATAGTTTGATCCTTTCAGCATTATCTCTCTCAACTTCTGCAATACAAATTGTGTGTATTCCGTGTTGTTTGATTCATAACTTCTTTTAGCTTGTAACAGCTACGTGGCCTTGTGTCATACCCTCTCTGTTGTAATTATTTGCACATGCGTATGTGTTACATTTATACTACTGGAATATAAACTGGGTCCAGTAATTGCCTTATATTTACATGATACCCCCTTGACATCTAGCAAATGCCAGTATTTATGAATGAGATGAATGTATATATCTTTACTTAAAAAATAATCTTTTTTCCCCAAGATTGAATTTGCCTAAAAAGAAGAAGAAAGCAGATCAAGAGAATGAGGACCAGGATACCTCCCTGAAGAATGATACCAGTTCTGAGCAGCTGGATGTGGACGGAGATTCCTCTAGCGAGGTGTCCAGTGAAATCAACTTCAACTATGAATATGCCCAGATGGAGGTTACCATGAAAGCTCTGGCTAATAATGGTGAGATCTGTGGTGCATTTGAGAATCTTTTCTTAAAATTAAATTTATTTTTTATTTAAGTATAGTTGGTATACAATCCTTTACTGCTTATATTAGTTTCAGGTGTACAATATAGTGAGTCAACATTTTTATACTTTACAATGTGATCGTCCCACTAATTCCAGTAATCATTTGTCACCGTGTAAACTTACCACAATTTTATTGATTATATTCCCGTTCCCCTTTTCATGCATCTCTACCTACCACCCCCGTTCTGGTAACCATCCCTTTGGTCTCTGTTTCTTTAAAGTTGATGGAGAGTTAAAAATATCTTTGACTGAGATGCTTTAAATGTTAACAACAACAAAAAAATTCTTTAGGTTGTTCTCTGTACTCTATTCTCTTGTGTCTTTGGCTTTTAATTTGTTGTGTTTATAAAAACTTGCATTCTTTCTGCCTTGATATACAAGTTACTGCAACCTTTGTTCTCATTGATAGAATTTGTCAGGTTTGAAACTTGATTATCATTGGCTCATTATTATAGTGGATTTCTGGAGCATTAACCATATTTTGGGTTACGTGTGGAACATATAATAGACCTACCTGCTTTTTCTGTAAGGAAGATAGTTTGGCATATATCAGACAGAACAGGTAACTAATTGGGAGTAAAAATTGCTGTTTATTCCAAACTCTCTTTAAAAATCTTACTTTTATTAGGATGACAAACAACAATATAGTATAACATTTGAAGTGTATTGTGTTATATAGTTGACCTTTTGTTCATTTTTTTACCTTTTTATAAAAATCTTATTTAGATCCAATGCAGTCAATATTGAACAGCCTCGAACAACAGCACGAAGAGGAAAAGCGATCTGCATTAGAGCGCCAGAGGCTTATGTATGAGCATGAATTGGAGCAACTACGAAGAAGGCTGTCTCCTGAGAAACAAAACTGCCGTAGTGCGGACAGGTTTTCTTTCCACTCACCCAGTGCTCAGCAGCGCTTGAGACAGTGGGCTGAAGAGAGGTAGGTGGTGCCTAGGACCTTTAGTATACGTGTAAGCACATGCTCATCACCTTTAACCCACCTAGGTAAGATACAGATTGGAATAATGTAGACATTACTTTAGAAAGAATTATATTACAAGAGAGTAGTACAGCTAAGAACCATTTTTGGAAAAAATGGAAATTATCAATTTATATTGACTTACTCAAAAGCTGCCTGTGTTAGATGCTGCCCTGTTTTTAGTTTGTTGGCTTTTGGATTTGAGTAAACAAGTATCTGTACTTAGAAGTTATACACTATCATTGTATTATACTTCAGGCTCTGAAGCTTGGGTAGATGCTTTTTTCAAAAAGGGAAAAAGAAAGGTGGTTATCTGGACTGAGTAGCTCTGGTAGGTAAAGCATGGTGCTAATGAGATGCAGATTGCAAGTTTGATCTTCATAGTGGCTAATTAGCATTGCACTGAAGTGTCTTATCTGTGGTTACAGACTGTACTTAACTAACCTCTTGCTATTCAAAGTTCAGTGTACCCACAGGCAGCATCCATGTCACCCCGAGATTAATAGAAATACGGCATCTCAGGCTCCACCCCAGACCTACTGAGTCAGAATCTTCAGTTAGTCAAGATCCCCAGTTGATCTGATACAGAGTCCAGGTTTTGAAGCACTTCCTAACCTAGGGCCCGTTTGGTACAGGAGCACGTGCCAGAGCTTATAACATAGCCCAGATACAAGCACGTGCATAGGCTGGTGTCGGTAATGCATTCCCTGTGTGTGAAAGACAGTTGTAAAGCTTGGTTGGCACTTTAGCATGAACATGTCACATACTATATAGTATTCTGATGTGCTGCTTGATGGTTATCTCCTCCCTTCCCCCATTTTTTTTTTTTTTTTTTTAAAGAGAAGCGACAATGAATAACAGCCTGATGAGGCTGCGGGAACAAATTGTTAAGGCCAATCTGTTGGTGAGAGAAGCTAATTACATTGCAGAAGAACTGGATAAGAGAACAGAGTATAAAGTAACCCTACAGATTCTAGCCTCCAGCCTCGATGCCAACAGCAAGGTGAGCTTACTGTTGATGGAAAAAACAGACATCATTGGCTACAGCTGCTTTATATTTCCCCAGTGTCTATTTAAACATCAGTGGGTTTGGTCTCATCCCCATCTATTCCCTCCACAATCTAGTTTTTATAGTTGTCATCCTCTCTCTAGTAGAATTCACTTCCTTTCAATTCTGTCCCTTTGTGCATATATGTCCATCCTCCATTGGAAATATCGTCTCCACTCCTCCATCCAGACCTACCAATTTATTTCACTCAACTCTTTTTCTTCGAATCTGTTTAAGTGATTTCTGAGAAGCCTTTTCGGATGAGCTTTCCCAGAGTGGCATTTTCCTTTATCCTGTCACGACTCTGCAGCCACCACCGTGTTAGGTTTTCATTTTACTTAAAACCATGTCATTTTCCACTTGCTAATAGATTGCTCTGAAAAACTGTTCATCAGCTATTTTCTGTGTGTATTCAAGATTACAAATCTCTTTTTTTCTTGTATCATGTGATAAACAATAAAATGTAGGAGGAAAGTCTCATCAAAATCTCCTAGCTTTGCCATCCATTAATAATTATTTTCTTTCTTATTTAGGTTCTTTTCTAACTCTTGATCAGGTTCATGTATGAGTTCTGATGAATTAGGTAGATTTTGTATTCAGATAAACATTTGAGTGTGTGGTTTGTTTCTCCTATAGTATTTGACACAGCAAAGTTTCAGTGAATCCTTCCTGGGTGGTCTATTCTAATTTGATAACAGGGACTACCTTTTTTTTCTCTTATAGCATCATAGCAGCAAGGTCAATGTTTTGCACAAAGTATATATTTGGCAAATATGACCCTAATGTTTTTAGTAATAAAGATATTGTAAATGTGATAGAATCATTACTTCTGGAGAATGTCTTTTAACAACTATTCTGTGTATACTTTGAAAGATTTTACTCACTTAGAACTTTATTTTGCTTGTTGGTATTGTAGGACAAACCATGGGTGTAGCTGGAATTCATGGATAAAAAAATATTAGAGGAAAGCCAATTATGGTCAAAAGTTACAGGGCTCAGCTTCTTCTAGAAGACTGAGAAGAGCAAAGTCTTTTTCCATCCTGTAGTGGTTGAGTTGAAAAAACAGAACTGCGGATAATTTTTTCCCCACTAAGCATGACTGTAGCCCTTTTCTGTATATCCTGGCTTGGGCTTTGTTGGAAGGAGCCACCCTGCCTTTGGGAAGCCAGCTCAACACCTAGAAGTGACTCAAGTCACTTTGGGCATCTCTCTCCTCCCAGACACCTGATAGCATGTTTATGGGGGCATTTTTTTGTTTGTTTGTTTTTTCTTGTTGGTAGAAATGACACACTTTGCTGGAGTTGAAAGAGCCCTTATTAACAGAAGGCTACTAATCCCCTCTATTATTGATTTAATAAATTAGTAGTATCAGATTTTGGCCAGAGAGAGGAGCTGGATAAGGAAGTATTTCTTAAGGAGATAGTCTCCTAAACTCAGGCTGCGTCTTACATGTTTTTATCCAACAACCTTATTTCTTTTTCTGTTTTTGTACTTGAAAACTCTTATTTTACTTAATGTCCCGTACACGGTGTGAATGCTGTTTTTTCTGGTCCTTACTCTTGTCCTTGTACTCACCTGTCTGGTGATTTTTGGTAAGTGACAGAAATTATTTCTTCTTCCTCTTCTTCCTTCTTCCTTATTTCTTCTTTTCCCCCCAACACCTGTCATTGTTATTTGCAGGAGGACCATGTCATGATGCTGCAGCATATTGCTCACTGCCATCTTGTCCCAGTTCTAGTATTGTCCCCCTGGAAAGGCTACTATCCACAGACCACTAATGGGATTTTTGTATTTATCCCCTAGCTGGCTGAATATAAGGTAAAAGGGCCATTAGGTGAGAGAATGATGGTTTTTCACCTCCAGAATTCTAAAGTCTTTGTTTTATTATGTAAGTTCTATTTTTTTTTTAAATTATTATAGGCAAGATGTTAAGCATCATTGGTGTATTGCACAATTCTCCAAAGTTCTAAATAGGCATTTCAGAACAGTTGATAAATTTATCTAGTAAATCTAAATTGATTAAATAACTGATAGATACATCTCTCTGCAAAAGACACACACGGGCATTTTTATTTACCACTTTGTGGTTTTAAAAAGTTTAAATATTTTTCTATATGACAAACATACTGCTTTTATAAGCTAGAAAACTTGAACAGACCCTATTTTTTTGAGGTGAAATTCACATACAGTAACATAAAATTAACCATTTTAAAGTGGACAATTCAGTGACATTTGGTACAACCTGCATCTCTATCTAATATTCTCTGGTTATGTGATAGCCTGAATAAAACATTTTTGACTTCCCATTAAACATGGTCCTGTATTTTGTGTTTTAAATTTAAACTTATATGCAACTGCCATGAAAATTTAAGTTTTGGTTGCACTTGTATATAAAGGCATTATGTTAAGCTTGTGACATTTCTGGGATGCTTTGCAATTAACAGAATAAAGAATAATAGCAGTTTCAGTTTTGGTTGATGTTGACTGGTGGGTATGGAGTGTTCAGGTTTGACTTCCATGATGTATATCTTTGTGTTTTAGTTAATAAAGTTTACTTAGTCACTCTTAAACTGTCTTTGCAGCGAGGCTCTCTTCTTAGTGAACCTGCAATCCAGGTGAGAAGAAAAGGAAAAGGAAAGCAGATTTGGTCTTTGGAAAAATTGAACAACAGGTTGTTGGACATGAGAGATCTTTATCAGGAGTGGAAGGAGTGTGAAGAAGATACCCCAGTAAGTTATTTAAGAAAAATTATGTAACTGGTACTCATCGAAGGAACCAAGCATTTGCAATGAGCTTACCCATTTTAGGGGAAAAAAGGTTTTTTTTCTGAAATAGTGGTCCTGTTTCTAGGATATTTATTTTAATCCTTTGAGTTGTTTAGCTAATCAAGAATTTTAATAACCCATTTTTTGGCACCTTTTTTTCTTTTTCTCATTTTATGTTCTCTGGAATTCTAGTAGAATTCTCTATATTCCATTCTTATTTCTGTTGCTGTTACCTGTTTTTGTCTCCTGTGAATTTATTAATAAGGCACACAATGAATGTGCCTTATTATCACTCTTCTCATTTCTCAACACATTTCATCCTGTAGATAATAAGCCTACAATATCTGTTTTGTTACTTGAACATCAGTGATACCTTAGTATTTATACTATTAGGAACATATTTTGAAGGCATTTTGATCCTAAAGTAGTTGCCATAGATCTGCACTCGGGGACTTTCATTCAGGTCAGCTGTGTACTTGTACACATTTAAAATAGAAAGATGTATTATGTATTTTTTACATATTTCAACATTGTTTTGCACAGAATTGTTTTTTCTGAGCCTCTTGTTTTTTAAAAGTGTTTACTTTTCCAGATTGTCATCAATAAAAATGAATTCTTAGTTAGATGACATTTTTTCTTAAAAATTATTTTTTAAATTTTCTTCTGTATTCCTCCTCTATTTCAATGTAGAAATAAAACAACATTAATAACAAATACAAAAAAAAAAAAAAAGCAAAATGCTCTCCTGTAAGGGAGTTACCTCCCATTAGCAGCAACGTTTCTAATGTTCTGATAAGGACAAGTAGAATAGATATAAATGAAAAATGAAGAGTTCTCTTATACATTCTACTTCATTTTCTAGTCAGTGTGTATTTTGTATGTTTTCATGGCAAGATTTCCACATAAAGAAGAAATGATAAAAGTAATGACATATTCACAGGGATGTAAAGTACAGCATACTATACTGTAATGACTATGTATGGTGCCAGATGGGTACTAGACTAATTGGAGTGGTCATTTAATAAGGTATATGATCACTGTGTTGTACTCCTGAAACAATATAGTATCACATGTCAACTATAATTGAAAAATTTTTTTAAATTAAAAGAAAGAAATGACATTACTGGGATTTCTCTCTCATGGGTGAGAAATGCTGACCATATATTCTAAAATAGGTATAAGCAGGGGGAAGGAGGGAGGGAGGAAGAGAGAGAGGGAAATACAGTGCTATACTTCAGCTATGTGTGATGACTTTATTAGAGTGCATCAAGGAGTGGTAGAATTCATTTATTTTAAGCTATTTTCTGAAGTTGTACATTCCGAATCTCTTTAAAGGTAATACGGTCTTACTTCAAGCGTGCTGATCCATTCTACGATGAGCAGGAAAATTACAGTCTCATTGGGGTGGCTAATGTCTTCCTCGAATCCCTCTTCTATGATGTGAAGTTACAATATGCTGTTCCTATTGTCAACCAGAAAGGAGAGGTTTGTTTTCTCTTCATGCCTCATATCCTGCAGAGAAAAGGGTGTTGATAATATATTGTTGTTACTATTTTTCATCAATAATAACAAGCGATAGTTGTACGTGTGGTAAGCACCTGTGTTTTCATACTGCTTCATGGTGATTATTCCAAGTACTTTGGGGTAAAGTAACTGTTAGAACCTAGGCTTCTAAATTCTCATATATCATTAACCTAATCATTTGACTTTAAAACAGAAGAAAGTGCAAAATCTGGAAAAACTGTCTACTTTCCTCCTCACTGTTACAGGTGGCAGGTCGGCTGCATGTGGAGGTGATGCGGATCAGCGGTGACATTGGGGAAAGGATTGCCGGTGGGGATGAGGCCTCAGACACCTCCTTTGATAAGGAAGCCCCTGAGAACAAACTTACGTGCATGGTAAGCCCCAGTGTCATTTAAAAATCATAGACGTGTGGTTGATTTTGAGGATTGTGGATATTTAAATGATGAATATTGGTTTTTCAAATTTTGAAAAGCTGTCTATAAATAAACCTTTAGTATTTAGTATTTCATCATATATTCTGACGTACTTACTGGTTAGACACGTACTTCCACTGCCTTCCTCTGTGAAGCCTTGAATAAGTTACCTCTTTTCTCTGGGCCATTCCACTCCAAAATTGTATGGATTTGTGTTTATTAGAATTTCTTTATAGAGAAGCCAAGTTTTTTCACACAAATTTCCTCTTTTTCTTGGGCCTCTTGATTCCTGCTGACACTGGAAATTTATCCCAGCCCTAGTCCTGTTCCTAAGCTCCTGCCGTAAGTCACTCTTTACCCTGTTTTTCCACATGCTTTTTTAGTCCTCTTCCCCTGTGTGCCTTTGCTTCTGCTATTGTCGTGCCCTACTTCCAAACCCTTTTCTTCCTGCTCTTCCCGTGCATGCCATTCATGAACTGTGCATTGAGTCTTATCTGTCAGACATTGTGCCAGGCAATGGGAATATAAAGATGCCTAAGATGGGATTCCTACTCTCCAGGAGCGACCTGTGTAGTTCATGGGTATGTGTAAGGGGGACACGCAAATGAGCAGAAGACTTCAATATTGTGTAACCCTGGTGCTCTGAGAGAGGGAGAGAAGAGATGTTCTGGGACACAAGGAGAGGTAATTAATTAATTCTGATGGTAAGGTCCGAGGAAATTTTCTGGATAAATGAGATTCAGAGTGAACCTCAAGGAGGGTGTGTTATGTAAAACTTGCTCTGTACTATGCTATGGTATTTTCACAGGAAATTGCTAGGTAGATTTTGGGTAGGTCATCACATTCCCGACTCCTGCTCAATCAGCAGAGGTAGTGCCACCTCTGTCACTCATGATAATGAAAAAAGAATCCCCTCATGTTTTCAAACACACACTAGTGGGCCAGCATGCCAATGGTTGAGAATCACAGAGGACCCAGTTAGGAGGCTTTTCAAGGAAAAGAAATCAGCCAGAGGCTTCCTGTGTATGAGAGAGAAGGAGACTGTTAAAATGTGAAGTAGAAGAGGCCCAAACTGAACTTTTACTTCATCATCCATCCTAGGTCCAGTCCTGTGTCTCAGCAGATATTTCTAGAATGGAAGTTGATACTGAAAGGACTAAGTAGGCATTAGCTGCAAGGTATGCGGAAACTAACTCTGTTAAAAGTTGGCTTACTCTCTGCAGGTTCTTGCATATATTAAGAAGGCCTCAGATGTTTAAGTCAATTATTTCAGTATGAGTGGGGAAAATCCTTAATTCACTAAAAGGTTAATCTTTATTGTAATGTACTTGATTTCAGAACATATATCCTTTAAGATTCTGGGATTATCAAAGATGGAGACATAGGTTTAATGACTCTATGGCCCCTTTTAAAGGTGATGGACTAGTAGATGCAACTGTGTGAAAGATCAGCTGTATGAGTTTACTATTAGTAAAGTAACATACAAGGATACTATCTCACTGGGGAAATTTATCCTTATCACTGAAAAAAAGTAGTATATCCTGGATAACAAGCTTTTTAAGAATATAAAGTTAAAAAATCTTAAGATTATTTAAAACAGAAAATATCAAACATGTAAAAGTAGTAAGAAAAGTGTTAATTGATTCCCATTCAGTTTAGCTCATGGTTAGTCTTGTTCCATTCATGCACCCAAGCTTCTGTGCCGACCCCTCCCCTGGGATTATTTTGAAGCAATCCCAGAAATCATATTTCATCTGTAAATAATTTAGAATGTCCAAAAGAAGAATATTTTTAAAAATCCAATAAAACCATGTCATAATAAAAATTTATACTTTCTTAAGTATTATGAAATATCCAGCCATTTTCTTTGATGGTTATAGTTGATAGGTCTCTGAAGTCTGTTTTAATCTGTAGGCTGTCACATGTGTGTTCTTGCTTCATGTCTGTCTGTCTCTCATTCTCTCTCTCTCTCTCTCTCTTATTCTCTCTTATCCTGCAATTTATTTATTATAGAAAATAGGTTATTGTCTTATATTCTCTCATAGTCTGGAGTATACTGATTTGTATTGTTTAACATGTTAAGATTTTCTCTAAATTGCTACTTAACTATACAGGCGATGTATAGGGAAGGGGTATAGCAAGGATACTGTATAGTTAGTGGTGTGTTCTTCCATCAGAATGTACAATATGTCTCATTTTCTTGTGGGGTTGTTAGCAATCATTGGTGTTTATTACCTAGATATTTCATTAGGCATTAGAAAAAGTGCTGCTATAAATCTGTCTTTCCCTCATTTATTAGCTGCAGTTCTTCTTTAGAGAGAATCTTTATATTGTCAACTATTTTGCTATTCAGAGATACAGTTTGTGTAGGAGAGGCAGGGTAAATGTTCATCTCTTCCATTATTTACTAATTTTCAGAATAATGAATTGGTTTTCATACTAATACCAAGGAGATTTTTTTGGTTTTAGTGTTAATATCATTATGAACTCTTAGATTTAAACATATTTGATGTGTTTTGATCCATTGTATTTATTGTGTATATTGAAGCTCAGATGATCACGTCTTTGGCCTGTGGGGCCTCTTTAGTTGGTTCTGCAGTCTTTGACACAACCCTAACCCTCACAGACCAGACTCTGCTAGCTTTCTCACCTTCTTTTTATGTGATGACTTGGTCTCATTGGCACATTTCCTGCCCTAGACCTGAAATCAGTCATTTTCCAAAGAACCTGATTCCTTTCAGTGGAGAGTGGTTTTTAGAGACCATATTCTGAGCATATAATAGCCATTGGTATAAAAGAAGGAAGACAAATAAACTATATAACAGTAAACAAAATATTGGTGGAAAAAAAACAAAAGAAACCAATCTGGGGACACTTAAGATAGCATGGGTAATGAGAATCACAGGCCCATAAAAGAAGTTTGGACTTATTTTTCTGGGATGAAAAAAGCTTGCACATATTAACATAACAACGCTTTCAATTACATTAAATACAATTAGTGTGTTTTAAAATTCCAAACAACATCACTGTTTTCTGATGTTCCTGGGCTCTGGTATCCTGTGCAGTGGCAAGCTGAATGAAGTTTGTGATATTCTGACACCTTGTGGTAATTTTTGGATTCTATAGGCAAAAACAAAAAGTAAAAAGCACAAAACCTATGTTCTAGACATCAAAATATTCCTCATTCCTGTTATCCTTAATTCCTGGCCACCTCTTTCCTGAGAAGTTGCCTGTAGGGAAGAGTTCAGTATATGAAATCTTGTTTTCTTGTTTATTTCAACCTTAAAATTGGGATTGATTTCTAAGAAAAAAATGGCTTTCAGATGGAATTCAATCACAAGGAGGTACTCAAGCCTGTAGTATTTTCATTCATTTCATTTTGTTGGTAATGGTCAGTCCAAACACCATTATCATTAGGTGGCATCCTGTTTTGCCTAGGAGGAAAACTAAACCTAAGAAAACTAAGATGTTAAGTAATTTGCTCAAAACATAAGTTAATAAGTGGCAGAGATTTTTATTTAGATCTGTGTACTCCAAAATCTTGTAATCTTCCCAAATACTACATTATCTCATCTTAAAGAATTTAATAAGCACTTTTAACACTTAATGAAAAAGTGATAGTTTTAAAAGTTTAACAAAAAATTAAATGCTGAATAGAGATCGCTGTATTTGGTTTAGAATAATAAAATGTGTTAGTCCATCTTTCATAACCTGTCAGGGAACTGCTCTCTCGATTTTTCAAACTCTTGTTGCCATCACAGGGAAAATTGGATAATAGCAGGAGTTCCCAATTGTTTCTTACCCATTATGGACCTGGTGTAGAAGAAAATCAAGTCATTTGCTTTGTGAGACTTTCTTTGTCATTATTAAGGCTTCCTGATGTGTTAAGACTTTTATATTTGTGGTTGCTGAACTACATCAACTTCTGCCACATACTCAGATCTATTATTGTGCATCCTCCAACATGCAAGGAAGTGACCAGGTGAAGAATAAATAAATGATCAATGTTCAGTCATATGAAAGTTGGCCTATCAGTTATAAAATCAGAATTTAGTTTAGCTTAATTAATTTTAGTGTATAGTTTCCTTCATAGTTGGAGGAGTTTTAGAATATTACAACTTACCACAAAAACTTCAGCTTAAAAAAAATCTATTTGATGCTACCTGTCAAAAGAAATATTTAGAATATTTGGCTACTTTAAAATCTATTATGGGCATTTCTTTGGGGACATTTGGGTCTGATTAGATATATTTCTAACTGCCTGTTGTTATCACAAAATCCTACACTTCTGCAGTCCAGGGCATGCATATATATATAAATAAAAAATATATATATATGTATTTATTTGTCTCTCCTCCATCAATCTGTTTGGGAAAGGCATTCAGTAAATGTTGGTGCAGAGAATGGTCAGTGTTTACCATCTTTAATCTCTATCATTTGCCCCTCCAAATCTCTAAAGTATACATTCCTTATGCCTTTATAGTTTTCCCCAAAATGCTCTAGTAGCATGTAATATTCTACTTGAGAACCTTGTTTCTTTTTATACTTTAAAATATCAAATAATATTTTTCCTTTTTTCTGACTATTTACCATTTACTGGCCTATACACTGATTTTGTTCTTCATTCATCATTCTTAATAATCTTCTGTTTTTATGATATATACATTGGCCCAGTTTGCATCATCGAGTGCTGTTGATTTTTGAGAACTTTCTTCTTCTGAGTTGATTATTACAAGATGGTGATGATGTTATAAGAAACTAGAATTTGTGTTTTTCATTAGCCTATAAATGCTTTAAAACGTCCCCCTTTATAGTCAAGGCTGTTATCCTATGTCAACCTCTTGCTAAATATGCCTGTTACCACCATTCCACAGATGCAGAAATACAGTCCCAGAGTGAAGGGGATCTATCTGGTCAAACATAAGCCAATAGTTAGTGACACAGTCAGGACTGGAGTCCATGTGTCTGTCTCAAAGTATTTCTTGGAACTTTCTGAGTTAGAAATGAACAGAACCTTCCTTTTCTTTCAGGTTAAAATACTCCAAGCCACTGGGCTGCCACAGCATCTGTCGCACTCTGTATTCTGCAAATACAACTTCTGGGACCAGCAGGAGCCAGTCTTTGTTAAACCCGAAGTGGATACCTCATCCTCTCCTGTTAGCAAGGAACCTCAGTGCATGGTTGTCTTTGATCATTGTCATGTAAGTTTGTTTTCCAGACTTGGCCAATATTTAATTTATTAAGGTAAAAACAAAATAATAAAATGAACCTAATTTTGAGTTTCTTAGGGTTGTACTATAGTAAAAATCTGAAATGTTATCAATAATATACCTTAAACTTACACAATGTTATATGTCAATTATATCTCAGTAAAGCTGGGGGGGAAACACCAAACTAAAGTGTCAATGCATTTAAGTGCTCCACAGTCAAAACTCTACTTTTGTGTGAATACATATGTGTGCTCCTCTCCAGAAGGAATCCATGTTTTGTATTAGGTTACTGGAACAATTGTCATCTAAAAAGCTTAAGAAACTAGTGGTTTAGAGTCAGTGAAGACAGAAGGGAGACCAGAGCTAGCTTTATTGAGCACCCAGTGCTCTTCTAGGCACTCCAGGTGATCTCTCATTTGCTCTGTGCCACAGTTGTATTTGACGATTGTGCCTTTTTCATCAGAAGCAGCCAGCTTCAGAGAGGTCAGTGTGCCCCGGCCAGCAACTGGAAGAGCCAGGACTGTCGGATTTTAGGTTCTTTTTTCCTAACTGTGGCACAGTTGAGCTATCTCATTTTTTTCAAGTGGGAAGTCTCTTTCTAATCTGTTTAAAACCTAGAAACACCTTTGATATTTTAAAGATCAAGGCAGAGAAAGAGATGGAGATTCTATCACTTTTAACAATAAACTCTTTTATAGCTTAATCTTAACCATTGCAAAATGCTGTCTTAAATGTATTATGTAAAGATGGGCAGGTTGGGAGAATTTTAAAAATTAGGTGATTTTTTTTGTGCTGATGATAATTATTTATTTCCTTCTCCTCCTATTATTGGGGATAGCTTACTGAAAACTGGGAAAAATCTTTTTCTAACACACTGCTACCTTATTGCATATAATAACTTTTACATCAAGACATTATAGATCATTGTTATAATTCTTAATATTGTTTATACTTTTTAAAACGGCTCCCACAATATTGCTAACAAAATAGAATACAATGCTGGTCTTTCACAATAGATTTTCAAGGTGAAACATTTTTTAAAAATCAGAGTTATAATTATTTTTAAAGTCTAGAACCTTAGACCATGTGAGCATTCATTATGGATGTAATATAACAGCAGTTCTGTTCTGTCACTAAAACATTCTTTTCTATTTCTTTTTTCTGTGGGAAAGTAAATATATGATGTTGGCTATAAGTAGTTGTAAGGTTGCCAGAAAGTGTTCCCTCTTCTGTAATTATTTTCTTTTAGGAGTTTTCTGTTAACATCACTGAAGACTTTGTTGAACACCTTTCAGAAGGGGCATTGGCAATTGAAATATATGGCCATAAAGTGACAGATCCTCGGAAAAACCCAGCCCTGTGGGATCTGGGGATTATCCAAGCGAAAACACGTAGTCTTCGGGACAGGTGAATCTTAGATCTCCGTCTGGTTCCATGTATAATTTTTACAAATGGATAGGGATTAATACTGCCATTTATAAAAGGTGTCCTTTCCTCAGCATCACCACTATTCCAGGAATAGATGGTGGTGTTGCCAGGATATTAATAGCACGATTAAACTTCTGTAGAGAAGTGAAATTTGAAGAATGATAGAAGAAAGTTAAATATATGGGTAGTTAAGAATAAAGAGTGAAATAAATTTTTGGAGAATAAGTGGCTTATCATTATGAATTACTTCTAATTAATCAGCTGTAGAGAAAAAGGATCAAGGTGTACTCTAGAAGTCAGGCTTGCTTGTTTTTCTTCTGCTCATAGTTCTTCTCAGGTGGCGTCAGTGATGGGGAGGAGGCAGGGTCATTTGTTGACCAGGATTTTAAAAAGAGTTAAAAGAAATGACCAAAAGAGCATATACTTGTACTTTTCACCTATTATAAATAAGAACCAGATTCTCTTTTTTTGGCATTTAGAAAGTTTTAGCAAATACTAAATTAGACATTGTGATTTTTTTCCCTGATACTCTTTGATGTGAGCAAAGATACTTGTCAAGCCACTAAAGCATACAGCACTACCTTTATCTATTTATGAAAAGATAATCACTGTACTTCTGTCCAACTTGTTACAATATTTAGATTTTTAAATAATCACTTTGAAATAGATTTGTAGTTATCATACATTTTTGAACAACATGAAGAACCATCTCTAGTTCTGGTGCTCTGCACGTTCAGAGAACTCCTCTAGTAATTAACTATAGAAATGTTCCCTGAAAATGTAGTCTTAGTTCTGATACTGTTTGTTTAAGTTTGCTTTTAGTTATATTTGTTAATACATACTTGCGTATTATTCATTGCACTACAGGTCATTCTATTAAGTTATTTGTTTTGGAAGTCATCATCATTGTTAATTCTCATGTGTAGGGGCCTAAGCTTCTGTATTGACATAGAAATGTATGACTTTCCAAGAATTTCGACTATTTCCTAGATGGAGTGAAGTCACCAGGAAAATGGAATTCTGGGTTCAAATTTTGGAGCAGAATGAGAATGGTGAATACTGCCCTGTAGAAGTAATTTCTGCAAAGGATGTGCCTACAGGAGGAATCTTCCAGCTCCGGCAGGTAACATTATGAACATTATTCTGAATGTTCACTTTAAATTCTTTGGTATCATAAAGGTAAATATTAGATTTTTTTTTTTTTACAGAAATGTCAGTGATAATTAAAGCTAGACTGGCCAACTCCATTTCTTGTATTAAAAATCATCCACTTCATGTGTATTTTCTTTAATTTTAAAAAATATTTCTATTTATAATATTTTAAAACCAGCTTTTGTTAGGTTTATGTAAGAAAGAGATAAGCTGGAAAGAACCACTTAAACTTGAATTGTACAAAGTAAGGCAAACATATTAAGCATCATTGGAATATTTATAAAGACAAGGAGAAGCAATGTGATGTGGCAGAAAGAACAAACCTCCAGTCTTAATGTGCTCGGGTTCAACTTTAGGTCTCCTGTGGCTCAGCTGTGTGTCTATGAGCACGTCCAGTAACCTCTCAGAACCTTTTCTCAGGTGGAACCTGGAGGTGGTGATAGCAACTCGTAGGGTTGGTGTGAAGATTAGTGATATCGTAGATGAAGTGCAGTGCCTGGTACATGGGAGGCGAGAAGTAGTTTTTCTTTCTGACACCAGCCAATTTTCTGCATGCACCAAGTGGGTGTCCTCCAATTCAGTTCAGCTTGGACCTCAGCTGCTGGAGTTAGCTCCGACCCCACAGGTTTAAGGGTACAGAATTCATCACAAGACTACCCTCGCTTCAGATACCAGGTGCAAGTCTCAGGTTCCCAGGTTACCCACACTTCTGTTTGACTTCACTGCAAAGCTGAGGGTTCCCACAACTCTCCTTCTCAGGTTTAATAACTTGCAAGAATGACTCACAAAAGTTGGGAAAACCTCTTACTGTTACCAGTTTATTATAAAGGATACCGTGCAGGAACAGCCAAATGGAAGAGATGCCTGCATGGGCAAGGTATGGGATAAGGGAAGAGGAGCTTCCAAGTCCTCTCTAGGTATGATACCTTCCCAGCACTTAGATTTGCTCATCAACCAGGAAGCTCTCCAAACCCCATGTTTTGTAAACTTTTATGGGTGTCCATCACACAGGCATGATGGAGGAAAGCATTGGCCTATGGTGATACTCAAACCTCCAGCTCCTCTCACCTGTCTCCCTGAGAGCTGAGACCGAAAGTTCCAACTTCTCATCAAGGCGTGGTCTTTCTGATGACCAGCACCCGTCTTGAAGCTATCTGGTAGCCTGCCAAGAGTCACCAAATTAAAAAGTCCCATCACTGAAAGATGGGCCTATAAACTTTAAGACTTAGGAACCTCCAAGAGTTTTAGGAGCTGTCTGCCAGGAACTCAGGACAAAGACCAAATACCTTTTTATGGTACTGCAGGAGGTGTTACAGAATGCCACTAGGTAGATGTGAGTGCCTGCCAGCGGTCAGTACGATCAGTATGGCAGGGAAGTATGTGGGAATCGTCACTTACCCCAGGCAGGTTGTAATCTGCAGAGCATCTGTGCTGCCATCTGAAGGTTAGAGAGAATATCTTCATAGAATTTACGAAGGAGATTTGGAAATACTTTTTTTTTTTTTTGCTATGCTTTACATTAATTTAACATTTAGTAGAACATTGCATCCTATGATAGTTTCCATAGTTTAGAAAAATAGTCAAATATTAGAATAGCTGTAGAAAATGAATATTTAAATCATTCACTGAAAAATATGAGAAAAGATTAAAGGAAAAAGGAAGTTTGCTTAAATATTTAAGTTCCTGAATGTTTTAGTAGGAGGAAGATGATAAACACTTATTCTCAGACCCCAGCAAATGAATTTTAGTAAATTCATTTATATATGGTCAAGGAACTAAGAGAAAAAGGAAAGTAGTTTAAATTATAGCATGAGTTATACACATAAAATAGAAATTTTAAGGGTGTGAAGAACATCTTTTTCTGAACATCTGTTAAAACTATATGTATCTTTTTTAGATGCCTTAGAAATTCATCTCCTGGAAGGCCAGACCACATAAGTTTCTGTGGTTTAGTGTAAATGGAATATTTGAGTATTTGCCATAGTTCTGACAATCTTTATTATCAGTATTCAAAGATATGTTGGGTTTATCAGGAAAGACTTTTTTTGAAGGATGTACGTCTTGACCTGAATGCAGAAAGAATCATGCAAAGCCTGGAAAGGTTTTTTGTATGTAAATGGCAAGAGTAAAGAATAAACCTACAGAGATTGGAATTAGATAAGTTTAGGTAGAAAATAACATGTGGTAGGAGCTGGAAAGCAGCAACTGAAGAGTGTGGCAGGTGACTAATGGAGGGCCTTGGGTGATAGGCTCATTGGATTTAATATATTTTAAACTTGGTCGCTACTATTCTTGAACAGTAAAATGTCCGAGGAAAACTGATTAGGTTAATATATGAAATTGCTGGTTGTATATTTAAAAAATAGTGCAATATCAGCAGTTACAAGAAGTTCAATCTAGTAGTTTACACATATTTTTCTATGGGACATTTAGCCATTCCTGGATCTTTCCCCTCCTTTTCTTCCTCTCCTTATCTTGAATCCTCCTCAAAGTATACAAGTAGGTACTTCACCTTTCACATTTGGGCACACATATAAAATAGACCACTTTCAGCCTGTCTGGGATGCCTAGTTGGTTAGAGCATTGGCCCTATTCAACCAGGTTGCAGGTTTGATTTCTGATCAGTGCACATGCAGGAATCAACCAATGAATGCACAAGTAAGAGGAACAACAAATTGATGTTTCTCTGGGTTCTCTCTCTCTTATTCACTCTCTGTCTCTTTCACTCCCTCTCTCTCCCTCTCCCTTCTTCCCTTTCTCTCTCTAAAATCAACTTCAAAAATGAAAAGAGACCACTTTGTCTCTTCAAAGTAAATAAACACAAGGTAGCTAATTGAAATGACTAAACTATTTTAGACAATTAAAATGTTTCTAAGGTACTGTTTTCTGAGGTACTCTTTTCACAAAATACCTGATGCATAGTCCTTGGAAAATATTTAATCAAAAGACAGCAGTAACCTATCTTTTCAAAACTAGCTTGGTAGGATCAGTCATTACCTTAGCTGATTTTACCGATAATGCATGCAAAATCTGAATTTGCGAATTAAAATCTGATGGAAGAGAGGAAGGGTAACTGACTTGAAATTGTATATTCAAAATCCACTTTTCAATTATGTTTTACAATTCTAGAATTTATAAACCAACTTTGAAGTCAATAATTTGGGAATACTGGGAATTTAAAAAATATATTCATTGTAAATTTACAGTCAAAACAGTAATCTGAAAATATGCTTAAGAAGGGATAGGTTCTCTTTTGTCACTCCTCATTTTTCAGCTTGGTTTAAAATTGTTTTATGTTGGGATTAAAGCAGTGGATCCAGGATAATAGTAATAATTTTTATTTCTACTTTGCTTATTTTTTAAAGCAGATTATATTACATATGCTGGTTTGGTAACCTGCTCTTTTTTGAAAGTCTAGTTAGCACCTGTCACCATACTCTTTAACTTTAAATATCATGTATATTTTTCTATAGCTATACTTTAATGGCTAATATTTTATTACATAGTAAAGTATAAGCAGCTACCAATATACATTTAATTTGTAACTAGTTTTTTGTTATTCTTCACATTGCATTACAATTCTTTATATATGTACATGTTTGTTTACTTAGAAGAGATTCCTAGAAAGTTGAATTGCGGGGTCAAGAAAAACTTACTTTTTTAAGGCAAATTGCTCTGTCGAAAGCTTTATCAACTTATATTCCTGCCAATAATGTATGTAATTACTTTGGGAAATTTTGGAAGTTGTCTTTTTAAAAGATAATTGCAAGCTTAGGAAGTGGAAATAAGTGTGTATCTTGCTAATTTTAATTGATATTTATTTGATAATTAGTAAGCTGAACGTTTTTTATTGTCTAGCTGTTTGCGTTTCTTTCATTAGAATGTTTTATTTTAATGTTTTTTGTTGAAAAATGTGTAAACTATATATTTGTGCTGTGTCTTTCTACATGCTTGAAAGGTAAACAATTTTTCATGATTAATTTTTCAATTTGTAGCTTACTGTTTAACATCTAGGGTACGATGAGCTAGTGACTCCAAGTTAAACGCTTTTCCCAACATCAGCCTGTAGGGGTCTCTCTATACCAAACTTTTATGAATCGAACTGCTTTTAAGAAACTGTTTAAATTGTCTGTGATGCAGGGGCAGTCCCGGCGAGTCCAAGTGGAAGTGAAGACTGTGCAGGAGTCTGGGACGTTACCTCTGATGGAAGAATGTATATTGTCTGTTGGAATTGGATGTGTAAAAGTTAGAGCCCTCAGATCCCCCAAGACACAGGAGATCTTCCATGTAAGTGTCTGTGCATATGATGTTCTTGGTGAAAGGCCCGACCAGACGAGAGAGGCTCTGGGGACCTGTCAGACACCTGCCTTCCACAAATTATTCCATCCGTGTTAATGTTGTTTTCCTTTGATGTCTTCTAAAAAAATTTTGTATTGTATCTGCATGGAATCATTGCACCACACTATTGGTTTTGCCCTGGTACATGGCAAACTGAGGGTTAATAAAACATCTCAGCCTCCAGAAACTAACCTCCCCCTTCACCACCCCTCTGCAGAAACCCCCTACTGCTGTGTAAAGACTCTTTGCTGGCAGGTGTTTGATTTCCCCTGGGGAGTGGGACTACAAACCCAGCAGGGAAAGCATTGTACCACTCAGAAAAGGTCAAATATGTGTTTTTCCGCTTTCCTATGAGAAGCTCAAGGTTTTACTCCAACTTCCTGAAAACTATAAAACCTAGAGTGAGGGTGAGCATAGGTGGAAGATGAAGCAGTGTATTCATTAAATTAGAAAATGTAAAGTATGGGAAAGGATTCAGACTGCTTAGTGTAGACTGATTCTTGGGTAATTGTTCCGGTCCTGCATAATGAATTCGTTTCTTTTAGGAGGAAGAGGAGGACATGGACAGCTACCAGGTAATGAAGCACCTGCTAGCCTCATCAGAGGAGCCTGATTAAAGGACTGAATTACTCATTCTTCTACTGTTACTTAATAATTACACAACTAATTTTGATTCAAATATTTTTCTCTAATTTAAACAGTGTAGGGAACAATGACTGTTTCATAAAGTCATGGACTGTAAACTCTGTTATAGTGGAGAGAAATCATTTGTGACCATTATCCTTTTCCAAACCCAGAGGTCCCCATCCAGGTTCCCTACAGATCTGTCTCTTCAGATTCTCTTCCTTGCTTTGTCTCCCCTTGGGTGGCGTCACCTACCCCTTTTCCTGTAAGAGTTGTGCCACACTGATCTTCAGTCAAGCCTCGTGCCTAGAGATTTTTCTTGTTTTAAGGCAGGCCTTTCTTCCCCACTGCATGGAGTCATACAGGTTTGGTTTTGTTTCTCCTCCTGGCCCCCCTTTTTTTAATCCCCTGCAAGATTTTGTTTGTGTCTGTTAAGTTTTATCTTGTTAGTCTTGTCAGGAGCTCAGAGCTCTTAGGATCTTCATTATGTCATCCAGTGTAGTCACTCTCCTGGTTTTGCATCATTCTAATTGGATAAAAATGTCTGCCTTCCTATATAAGTCACTGATAAAAACATTGTATCAGAGAGGGTTAAATACAAAGTCCTGTGGCACAACAACAGAGACCTCTTTTAAGCTGACATTATTCCATTAATCACTGTTCTTTGGATGTGATATTTCAGTCATTTCTGATTTCATCCAAGTAGATTCATTGTACGTTTCTCCATCTTGTCCACAAGAATGTCTTGAGCTATTTGGTTAAGTGCCTTAGTGAAATCCAGATACACACCACTTCCACAGCATTCCACTGATCTACCCAGTCTTGTAACTTTATTACAAAAGGAAATGAGGTAAGATTGGTATACAGTCAGGTGTTGACTGGTAGGGTTGTTTGGCTGTTGATAATGCCGCCTCTTCCCTCTTCCTCCTCCCGCCAAAAGAAGGGAAAGAAGCATATAAAGATTGTTTGCAGAGACTAATGAAACATGTCGAAGGCTGTAGTGAAGAACTTTGAAGAGTTGTTATGATGGTTCTAAGGGACATAAATACGAAGATTACTGAATAACGTTTGTGATTTTTTATCCAGCATAAAGATCTTGTAGAAGATCTTAGTTGTAAGAGCTTAGAGCTTAGAGTTCTATACATTTAGCCAATAGGGAAAAAAAATGGTTCTGGACTTCAGAGAATCGCCTTTCAGAAAGACTTACTCTAGAACAGTAATGCTTTAATTTCTGAAAGTTTCTATTTTGAATAGTGGTTGGAGTCAAATAATGGTGGTAATAAAGACATTAGTAATAATATTTAACATTTTCAAAGCACATTAGAGTAAGGTAAGATACAGCATGTGTTTCAGATATATTGTGTACACATTATATTTACTATCATTTCCCTTGTTTTCTTCCAGGATCGGGATTTAGAGAGACTACGAAGAAAATGGCTAAATGCGTTAACAAAACGTCAGGAATACTTAGATCAACAACTACAAAAGCTTGTCAGTAAACATGGTAGGAAAAACAAGTTAAATATTTCCCTTCCCACTGCATCAGGGCATAATTAATCCCCATTTGCATCCACGTAAATTAAAAGTAGGTGAACACATCAGCTATGGGGATGGCCAGAACATAGGAAGGCTATTTGTGTCATATCCTTTCAAAAGAACATTCATCTAATTGTGATGATGTCTTTGCGTAGGTCTCCCACAACCCCCAACTGAGAAAGAGAAAATACAGTACACAAAGTAAATATTATCCCTCAAAAATAACATTTCTTGATTTATTGTCCAGAAGCCCTTGAATCTTCAGACTCTGGAGGAAACCATTCACGTGCTCCTCAGTGAACAGAGGATGGCCTCTGTTGGAGCGCACCAACCGCTCTCACTTAGAGTTTTCTTGTGATGGGTGATTTATCTTGGATTAGGGAAGTCATAAGTTTATAGTGAACCCTCATTGACCAATAATTGAAATGGAGAAGGCTGTCGTTACACAGGGCAAAAGTATAAGTAGCAAGTGAGATAACCTTTATTGGATCCTCATGCCTGATGTTCTAGATAAAACAGAGGATGATGCTGACCGCGAAGCTCAACTGCTAGAGATGAGGTTGACTCTCACCGAAGAAAGGAACGCAGTCATGGTCCCCTCCGCTGGCAGTGGCATTCCAGGGGCCCCAGCAGAATGGTATGAATGCCACCGTGTGTCTCCTAAGGCTCTCAGTGAGCTGACTGCTTTCCGTATGAGTTTTGCCTACGCTTTAATTAATGGAAGACTCATTATAGCATATGAGAAAGAAGTTGTCTGAATTAGAGGAAGTGTTAAATTATTTTCATGAGTTGGAATAACGATGGCCTAAAACTATTTTTTAAATAATATTGTTATTGGCTCAAATAATTAAGATTTCTGAGAATCTAAATCAATATTTAGTATGAGTGCACTTAGCATTTAAAAAAATAGTTAATATGTTAATTCCTTGGGTCATTCCCTTAAAAGACCGTTCGGTCATCATAAAATTGCATTTCTAGGAGTTTTTGGTTTTGGTGCTCTCTAAAACTGTACTGTCAGCAAATTTCTGTGCTACTTTATAGAAATTAAAAATAGTAAATGAAGCCATATGGGGCCCTTAAGTATATAATTTTATAAGAAAGTAACTTTACACAAGGGAGCTTCATTTATAAACAGATCTGTGTGTCTTAGAAGACTGCGATCTAGTTTCAGAGCACGTGGTAATGATGCACGAGAGCACTGGTGAAGAGACGCAGCACATACAGTCAAGTCTGCAGCATCTCTGCTGTGAAATTATAGCAAAGCCAACAGCAGAGCTGTGATTGGCCTGACCTGGGGCAGCTCTGACTTTGTACTGCGGCTGTGTCACGAAGTACATGCTGCCCAGACGGTCTGCTTTATCTGAGATGCCATTTGTTCATTATGTTTTAGGACCCCGGTTCCTGGGATGGAAACTCATATTCCTGTTATATTCCTTGACTTAAATGGTAAGTCAGGGGGAGCTTTCTGAAGGCTTACCTCTAATGAATTAGTGTCCGTGCAAAACTTAGATTCGAATGAAGTAAGAATTTAGTCAATTCTCTAAGCCTAAGTTAGGGTTCATTTTACATGTGCCAAAGGACTGTGCTACCTGGCCAAGCATGAGTTTTCTGTAAGAACAATATTTTGTAACAGTAATAGATATGTTTCATTGTGATGTGTTCTCACATTTCATTCTACAACCCATGTTGCTATGTGTGGGCTTTGTTCTTCCATCAGTTTAGGAAGGTAAGCACAGTTTTCCTGAACTTAAAATACTTTCTTCTTAAATTCTTAGGAAAAATTTCTCTCTGAAAAATGACTAATAACTAGTGATTGCTTGCGTAGCCTATTTTCTTTTATCTGGTGTTTCCTTAGCATTACCTAATAAATTTCTCACTTCTGTGAGCCTTTATGTCATTCATTCCTATATTGCCAATCTTAAAAAATATTTTATTTATTTATTTTTAGAGAGGGGGCAGGAAGGGAGAGAGGGAGAAAACATTGACATGAGAGAGAAGCATCAGTCGGCTGCCTCTCACATGCCCCCAGCCAGGGACCTGGCCTGCAACCCATGCATGTGCCCCAACTGGGAACCCAATGGGTGACCTTTCAGCTGTGGGACGGTTCTCAACCCACTGAGCCATGCAAGTCAGGGATGCCTATTTTTTAATGTGTCATTTTTTTGTGACATTTTTCTGTCATAAAATATTTTGGATGTGGCTACATTTTACATATACTCAGTCTGAGGAGGGGAAAAAAATGAAAAGACAGATTAAAGAGTGAAAATAAGTTCAAAGCCAGCAGATTATTAAAACATGTGCAGAAAAACTATGTATTAAAATGAAGTATCCTGAATGGGCAACATTGGATATCCTTAGGGTGTTCCTTCACCTAGCTGGAAGTGAGTTATGGTACCTGAGGTTTTTAGCATCTTGTACCCCTTAGCTTATTTAGACGTATGGCAGATCCACTTCTGCTGTCTGTCCACTTAATGGGGTTTTCACATATTGCTGCAGCGCTCTCTCCTACCTTGTTCTCTTGAGGCTTGGGGTGTTAGGGTGACTCGGGCCAAGTCTGATGTTGGGTTCCTGGATAGGGGAGGAGAGGGGTGTGTGGGGGGCAGGGGAAGAAAGTGGAAAAGACTAAATCTAATGAAGACCTGTTAGTATCTGTTAGTATGGATATTCCTAGACATGATCGGGACCTTGGTCAGCCTTCGGCCTATTCTTGGTCTGCCTGAGTCCACATCCTAAAAAAGATACAAGCTCTATGATGGACAGGGAGTTAGGAGAGCCATGGGGCCACCCTCCAGTTTCTAGTTCATGTAGCCAATTGATTATTTTTTTGAACTCAACTGTCAGATAATTGGAATCACTCTCACTTCTCATTTCTTCAGTGCACTAAAAGATAGGGAGTTTGGGTTATAATCTTATCATTAACGTTTATGGACTGACCTCGAGTAACCCCTTGGGTATTTTGGCTTCAGCTGACTCTTTCATGGAAAATAAGGCATGAAGGTAGGAGATGGCATAAGATAATTTCTTGAGGCACTTTCCATCTCTAAGATCTGTGAACTGTTTAATGGTCATCATCTGTGTCGTGTAAGATTTTAGAGCCAAAAGAATGAAATTTGAGGTGGAAGAATTTTAATACTAAGCACTTTGAAATTTAACTGGTAGAGGTTATCCTTTAAAATGATCTTTGTACTTAATGGGACTTCTTTGCTTTCAGCTGATGATTTCAGCTCTCAGGATAATCTTGATGACCCAGAAGCTGGCGGATGGGATGCTACCCTCACAGGGGAGGAAGAGGACGAGTTCTTTGAATTACAGATTGTAAAGCAGCACGATGGAGAGGTACATAAAACGTAACTCGGGAGGACTGGATGAAAAGTAGTTTCTTTAACCTCTCCGTGAGCATTTTGAAACAGTCAGCAAGGTCGTAATTTCAGTGCTTACATTTTCTCAAGAAATGTAAATGAAAACGTTTCATTATGACTTCGAGAAAGAAGGGAATCACTTCCCAAAGGAGTGGACCATCCAATGACGTCCATTCACCATCACACTTCCTCTCCTGGTAAAGGTGGTTAGTGCGTGTAGGTCAGGTCAGCCGTGGTCCACTCCCTAGGGAAATGCTACTGAAGCAAAGAGGTGAAATGACACTATGCTTAGGATTTGCTTTGAAATTCTTCAGTAAAGACTTTTTAAAACGGAAAAAAAATTAATGAAGCCAGTGTGGCAAAATCCTAATAGTGTGTGAATCTGAGTGATGTGCATACAATGGGGGCTCATTTAAAAATTTGTAGTATATTAGAAAAATTATAAACTATTTTAAGGAAGGAAAGCTGATGTGATGCTCTGAAGGACACATCACTCAGGAGTATGCCTGAGATGCAAAACCTGAATCTAACAGTGTGGGGACAATCAGACAAACCCAGCTGTGGTACACTCTGTAAGACGGATGGCCTGCACCCTTCTTTAATAAGTCAGCATAACGAGTGATCAAGAAAGGCTGGAGAAGTAGACTAAAGGGACCATGGCAACTAGATGTAGTTTGTGGTCCTGGATTGGAACAATTGAAAAAATTGAGTACAGACTCTAGGTTACAATATATAATAGTATTATATTGATGTTAAATTTCCTAAATGTGATAATTGTCCTATGGTTGAGTCAGAGGATGACCGTGCTCTCACACGATAGTTGCTGAAGTATTTAGAGATGTAGAGTTATATGTCTGTAACTTACTCTGAAGCAATTTAGCTAATAATAATAATAAGTGTGTATGTGTTGTGAGGAAGAGGAAAGGCAAAGTGGCAAATCTTAACAGTTGGTGAAGACAGATGAAAGATATAAGGAGGTCATTGTACTGAATTTGCAAGTTATTTTTTTTTATGTTTGACAATTTTTCAAAATAAAAATTTCAAAGCCAGCCAGCCAAGAACATTCTCCTCTGCACTCCGCAGACTAGGGTGATTGAGGCCACATCCTCACGTTCAACTGTCTTGCAGGTCAGATCTCTTAGCACGTAGTACTTCAGCCCAAGCCAAGAGGTTTCCTTGTGAGGCTTTAGGTTTTAAGGAGAAGGTGGAAAAGTGTGTTCTTGCTATCTTCTGTGCAGGTGAAAGCAGAAGCTTCTTGGGACTCGGCAGTGCACAATTGTCCTCAGCTGAGTAAAGGCACACCTACGGATGAGCGAGTGTTTCTGATTGTGCGGGTGACGGTCCAGCTCAGCCATCCAGCCGACATGCAGCTGGTATTACGCAAACGAATCTGCGTCAATGTTCAAGCCCGTCCGGTGAGTCGTTAGCCCTAGTTGAAGAAAAGACTTGAATCGCACAGCTGACATGAGGGCGGGGCTGTGGAGTGATTGCTCTGGCCTCCTGCCCCCATAGGCACTGGGAAGCATCAAGCTGTTCTTTTCAAGGGAACTGTTCCTGTCCTGGAACTGTGCTTGCTTCAGTTCCAGAACATGTCATCCTGACTTCCTCTCAGACAGCATTAAATTGTTACACCGAATCTTTTCTTACTGCATGTTCACACACTGCAGCCATTTTCTGGGGTGTCACAAAGTCCTGTCAAGGCGCAGTTCGCTGTATTTTTGACTTTTCATCTGGGTCTACAAGATGAGAAGGTTCACTGCAGTTAGCCTTTGTGTTTCTTAGTCTTTGCTTTCCATACCTTTCATTTCTTTCAGTCATCTCCACTTGCTGGCAGATTCATAAATTTAAAAAGTGTACTCTGTCAAGCTTTGGGGTAAGAGGTGAGTAAGAAGCAGGCTCTGTCCTTACAGAGCCAGTGCCCACTGGCATGTGTAGATGTATGTACAGGCGACTCTGCTCTGTTGCGAAGGTGCCCTGAGGCAGGTGCTCCCCATGTGCTGGAAGGTTGCAGAAGCACAAGAGATGCGGCAGACGGAGGAAGCGAGGGAAGGGTTCAGAGAGAAGGGTAACATGTGAACTGCTTTTTTACAGATGAGGGGAGAGCTGTTGGCTCTTCCGTGGAGCGGAGAAACACTTGTGCGGAGGCAGCGAGGGAGGCAAGGGTGTTCAGGGAGGGCTCCAGAGGCCGGGGCGGCGGCTGTCCCCGGAGCCAGATCACGAAGGACCCTGTGCCATGGGAAGGGGTTTTCTAGAACAGTTTGAGGTGGATAGAAACTATTTCTGTCATTGGTCTTGCAACTCTAGGATTTGGAAGGCTGACTCTAGGGATTCTTTTTAACTCTCTGTGCTCACCCTTCGGAGGCCTTCTCAATATACTGACTCAAACCAGGACAGATGAAAATAAGTCTTTTCATTTAAAAGAGCACAATCACGGTTGATGGAGTCCTAGATGTAATCTCCATCCCTAAAAGTTAATCTTTAGTTTGAAATGTCACACGGATATCAATCTTTGGAATGAAGACTGGTGGTGATGCCATTAAAATTGCAGCTCTTTAGCTGGGCATCCAGCATCAGTATACCAGGTCATCAGGTTAGCCATAGATGCCTACGGTCTGCCTCCCATTCACTCTTCTCTCCATCTCCCTTTTCTCGGGAGGCTTTAAGGGACTGAAAAAGACGCTCTGTTCCTGGGGAGCATTTCGAAGAGTTATTTGTCACTTCAGAACTAGAGATCCTGGTTGCCAGCCACTAAGACTGACCTGGTACCAGCACCCCAGAATTTTTAACAGAAAGGGTGCATCATGCTCTTACCAAGTTTTTTTTATTTTTAAAAAAAAATTTTTTTGTTGTAGGGACAAGGACTTACCCCATTTCCCTGCTGGTTGAAAAGATTTGATAATATCAAGTTGATCCTGAATGAAATAATAGTACTTTAGGGCATGGGAGTTTGCCTCCCAATTTCAGATATTTAATTTCTTATAGCAAGAACAGGGACTTCCTTGGGGCCCTAATACATGCGAGTCAGCTTCAGTAATTCCATAGACATAGAAAGCAAGGGAGGGAGATAACAGCAGCACCCACCCCGCCCCCTGCACCCACTGCAGTGCTCCGACCCCTGTGCCTGGCAGTGGCTCCACGCCGCAAGGCTGATGTCGAGAGAGTGAATGGATGAAATAATTGTGTTTTTTTTTTGCATTCTAAGAAGCTAAAATCTTTTTAAAAATTAACTGAAGATTACTAAATCGGATAGAAATTATTCAGTAGGTTTGTAAAAATATGTATTTCTAAACCAGGCAGCTTGGTTTTTCTATTTTCTTTGGAGGTTTTCACATATTTCCTGCTTCCTTTTGCATGAGGGAAAAGGTTCAGTGTTAGTTTAATATTCTCTCTTCTTATCTTTATTCACCAATTGTATTCTGCCCTCATCCCTGCTCTCTTCAACCTCTACAGGATGTTCAGTCTTAGCAGCATCTTCAAATGAGTCATCTATGCATTAATTCAACAGTTCAATTCTTAACTGTGCAAGGAGCGCAGTCAGCATAAACAATGACCATGCACTCTTAAATCATTCTTCATAACGATCCTGCTTTGGTCAAGAATTTAATGCCTGAACTTGTCAATATTCATGGTACAAGATGTCCATCGTGCTGCCAAAAAAAAAAAAAAAAAAAAGTGTAAGAGTCACCAGCCCTTGCTTACATCTGAGCTAGAAGGTCATTTTATTGTGTAGAAGTCAACAGCCTTACCTCTGTAGCCTTTAAGCAGGGTTGAACCAGAGGCCTAGTATCAGCTTCAGAGGGTAGGGTCTGTTCTTTCCACATATGGGGTAAAGGACCTATCATCCGCTGTGCACATGTAGACACAAAGGTATCTGAAATGGGTTTTGTGCACTGAGACAAAGCTGAGAAACCTGTATTTAGGGATTTGGATTTCAACTTGTGTATATTGGAAATATGCTGCGTTTCTTTTTGGTTGGAGTGAATGCAATATCCTTTATGCTGTTGTTGCTCTGTTAATGTAAACTCAGTTTTTGAGATGGGAAACCATACCTTCTATTTTGTTTTTCTAGGGTTTTGCTCAGAGTCTTCTGAAAAAGATGTCTCATCGAAGTTCCATTCCAGGCTGTGGAGTGACTTTTGAAATTGTCTCCAATATTCCAGAGGTAAAGGATCACATGAAATTTGAATTTAATAAAAATAAACATGTAAAAATAGCTAACCCCCTGTAAAGTCACCTACCCAAGAAATATGCTCTAAATGGAAATGTATATTTAGGGAAATGCTATAGATTTTTAGAGGAATTTCCTAATCTTGACCCAGTAAAATGTACTGTGGCTTTAAAGGTTCTAGTTTTAGTATTTTGTTAAAAGAGAGCATTGTTTTGAAAAGCAAATCAACTATATTCTAATAAATAATACATTTTTTAAAAGACAAGATAATATTGTAACTCTCATAGGGAGGTAACATAGTGCAGCAGAGGATTTAGGGTTTACTTTTGGAGTCAAACAGAAATCTCGTTTCTTTGACCTGTTAGTGCAGTGAACTTGGGAAAGTTATTTGGAGCCTCCATTTTTTTATTTATTAGATGAGGTTAATGATACCTTCCGAAGAGGGTTGTTTAAGGTTAAATGAGACAATGCATATGAATTGCTGTGTACATGCCAAACCGTAAGTTGTAATTGCTCTTACTATTATAGTTACTATTATTATTTTATTATTATTATTTCTCATAAATTAAGTGAGATATTCACAGGAATTAAACAAATGGAGCTTACAGTATCCTGGATAGAAGCTTATTGGAGGATGCAGTTTATACGTGCTTCCTAATATTTGATCCCTGACTGGGACAGATTTATTCACCTGGGCACTGGCGCCACTAGTAATGGGCCGTCCTCACAGAGGTGGACAGAGAGATAGGAGAGCCATCCCTCTGCCACACTCAAGACCGAGGTGGGGAGGGAGTGAGGAGGTACAAATGCTTTCTCAGGATGTGACCCTGGGGGTGAACCCTCCCTCCAGGCCACACCCTCCCCATCGGCCTCCTTCCCCTTTCTTGAGGGTTCAGTGTTTGTTCATTGATTCTGTTGAGTGTTTGAACAATAGATGGACAATATATCTTTTAATACAGAGATTGGTGTTTGGAAGAGTAAGAAGATGCCACACTATTGGGGCTTTATTTTAGATTTCTTATATTGCAAAACATTGCCATACATAGTGACTTGTTTTTTCCTGGATATTCAAAGTGTTAGACTCACACAGTAAATATTAACTGTTGAACTATTTAATTTGGAGTCTGCTGAACAAATGTTAAGTCTGTTTTCAGAGTTAGACTACCTGCAAAATCTTGGGTTTATAATAGATTTCTCTTTGTATATTTATGCATTTAACTAGAGACTTGCTGTTTATTCTCTGTATCTGAATGTTTTTTATGTTTTTCCAATTGTTTCAGATCTTAACTCTGTAAATGGTCTGAATGCAGTTGAGAAACAGTGACAGCTATAGTGAACCATCGTCGCTTTTTCCTTCTCCCTCTTCACCTTTGTCCCCACTCCCTTCTCCCCTCCTATTTGTAGTTTTCTTATCCTCTTTAAAAGTGTTTTTATTCTTCAGATAATATGGCTTAAAAGGGAATAAATGTGGGCGAATTGGCTGAAAGATAAACATACATCCTCATGTGATTGGGCTACCTATTAATAATTAGCTAAGCATCTCAGTTGGCAAGCTTTATTTTCATACTGCCAAAGCCAGATGATAATGAGAAAGGGAAAGTGAGACTTAAAGCTTGCAGGGTAAGGACTATACTTAGTTTATTTTTTCTTTAAAAACAAAAAATTCCCTTAAGAAACCCATTTCATCATGAAAAAACCCTGAAGATTCCTTTCATCATCCATGTTACAGAAGCTATGGTGGCAAGAAGTGGTCATAGGCCAGAGGGCAACAAGAAATATCTTCTCCTTTTTCTTTTTAATTAGCAAGAAGAATGCTTTCATTGCTGTTGGGAGTAGTATAAAATGATACCCCATGACCCAGTAATACCACTTCCACGTCCTTACCCAAGAGAAAGGAAAGTGTGTGTCCATATTTATTGACTTGCACAGGAGTATTCACAGCAGCTGAATTCAGAGTAACCTGAAACTGGAAGCAACCCAAACACCCATCAACAGATGAATGGAGAAACTAACTGCTGTATCTCCATACTGTGGAATCTTACTCAGCTATACAAAGAAAGGAACTGTATGAATGAGCCTCAGAGTCATTATGCTGAGTGAAAGAAGCTAGACACAAAAGAGTATGATTTCATTTGAAACTAAAATAGGCAAAACTCTTAACATCTATGGCCAAAGAAATTATCTTGCCTTGAGGAAGGCTAGAGGTTGACTGTGAAGCTCATAAATGAACTTCCTGAGGCAAATGAAGTGCTTTATATCCTGATAGGTGTGTGGGTAACATGGTGATATATGCATTTCTTAAAATTCAAATTTCCCCTTTCTTAGAAAATCAGGATAATGTCTGTTTTCTTCAGACACCAAAAAATATTGTGTTGCGTAGTAGAAAGGAAGGAAGGAAGGAAGGAAGGAAGGAAGGAAGGAAGGAAGGAAGGAAGGAAGGAAGGAAGAAAAAGAAAGGAAGAAAGGAAGGAAGGAAAGAAAGAAAATACACACTCTTTCAGAAGTCAGGAGATGGAAGTTTAGTCTAGCCTCTTTTGCTAATTATGCGGCCTTCCTCTTTCCTCATCTTCAACATGAAGATGATTTCTTCTTTTTGGGGTTATTAAAAGGCTCAGATGCATTACTATAGGAGTCAAAAGTTTTGCCATCTTCCAAACTGTTTCTTATTTTATCTATTCTAATGCCATTTAAAATTTTAAAAACATTTTTGAGGTTAGAACGTGTCTTATAATTGATGATATCTTAAAATTCATTGGCAGAATGTTTTTTTCTCCTTAGAAGTATATAAATGATTTTTTTCCCCCTTAAAGTTGATGGCATCTGAAGATGCAGTGGCATACGGATATATATTTTATGGTTTTTGACATTATAACAAATTCACAAGTAAATAAAATATCTGATTTTCCCTGAGCAGAATAATTTGTTATGACTCAAGTTTGCTTGAAATAATTAAATACATTCATAAACTCTCTCCCTGACTTGCGAATATCCTGTTTATATGCATGGCCCGCCCACGTCAGAGGGCTCTGTACCAGAAAGCACAGTGAGAAGTTGCCTAGGTGCTTCTCTTCTCCGTTGGCTCTGCCGCTCCAGTGTTGAGGTTCAAGACCCGTGGTAGCAGCTGACATGTCTTCCGCATATAGTCTGTAGCAGGCTGTGTAGAGCCAGTGTTGAAACCCAGCCCTACTTCCCACCCTTGTTCTCCGTACCCACATCTGCCTCTGACCGGGGTTTGGACCTCACTCCTATCTAGCCAGCACCCCAGCTTCTCATTTCTTCTCTCTTGCCCCATGAGGTATGTCCCTAAAATGTTGTGGTGGTTGTATTTCCAGCTAGCCTACCAAATCCTTTCTAACCCGTAATGTCTTTGTTTGTAATGGAAATAAAATGGAGAACAGTTTTGTTGAGAATGTGCTGTTTCAGCTACGCTGTTTAACTAGCCTTACAAGGCAACCAAATCACCATTTATACCAGGATTTCTGTGGGAAAATGCATTTTGAGCTCCTGAAGCTGACTTTAAAATGGAACTTTGGAATACATCCCATTTGTTAGCTCAGTACTTGGTATGTATGTGTGTGTGTTTGCATAGATCAAGAAGCTTTTATAATGTATTCTTCTGCAATGTACTTAATTTTAATATACAACTTTCCATTCTCCAGGATGCCCAGGGAGTAGAGGAACGAGAAACATTAGCAAGAATGGCAGCTAATGTTGAAAACACGGCGTCTGCTGACTCAGAGGCATATATCGAAAAATATCTCAGAAGCGTGCTGGCTGTGGAGAACCTCCTCACGTTAGACCGCCTGCGCCAGGTCAGCCAGCGGGGCTGGGGGCAGCGGTGCCCTGAGCCCGTGTCTGTGTGCGGCTTTCTGCAGTTCACAGCACTGCTGCACGTAAACTCAGCAAGCATCCGCTTAGGTTGAGCATAGCAATTTAGCTTAACCCTGCCAGTTTAGTCTTTGAAGATCCAAAAGCTACATTTAGAACGTTGCTTTTTCCTAGACACTAAGCGGTACCTAGTTGCCTTGAAGTAATGGGAGAAAACATTTAATTCTTGCTGGCTAAAGAATCATATTAAAAATTCCTTCATACAGGGAAATAATGTTGCTGAAGAAATATTCAGTAATGAGGTGCAGTGGGCCCTTCTTTGCTCAGCTGGGTAAGCCTGCTGTAGCATTAGAGCGGTTTCTAGAAGGGGTAACAGAAATGCCATCAGTAAACCTAATCCTTAGGGAAACCCTAAACCTCATTTTACCTAGCAATATTGAGACCTTTTTTTCATCCAACATACTAATGAAAAATAAAAATTAGTTATCCAATTTTCACGCTCTTTCTCCGGGATTGACTTTGGTCAGCTCCAGGGGGCATGTCGGTAGCCGGTAGCCGGAGGGGAGAACGGCCTCGCCGACCTGCCAGCTGTGTAACGAACTTTGAGTTTTCCACAGTGATTGTGATGGATCGTTAGTCCCGTGAAGATAGAGCCCTTGTTTACAGAACCAGGAATGTGTGTCTGAAGAAGGTAGCTGAAAGCTTGCTTTTGATAGTGTTACTTCTGGGGTGTGTCTCTAATATGTAGTATTCCTCTGTTTTCTGGCTGACAGGAAGTTGCAGTGAAGGAGCAGTTGACAGGAAGAGGGAAGCTGAGTAGGAGGAGCATTAGCTCTCCCAACGTGAACAGAGTGAGTGCGTGGAGTCCTTATGCTGTGCCCTGCTTCTGACCTCCCTGCTCTTCCCTCTTTCCTTGAGTAGCTGTTTGCCATCCTTTAAATCTCACCTCGGGTATCATTGTGTTTTCTGAACTGATCGAGGAGCTTCTGTTCTCTTCCTGGAGCACCTGTGCGTACCTCTGTCACGGTCCTTCCCAGTGTTAGGGGGGAAGTACCCATGTAAGTGCCTCTCTAATGTTTCTCGTTTATCTTTCTATCACCAGTGCCTAGCACAGTGACTGGGAGTTCGGTGTTTGAACTAAAACAAACCAGCCAAGTGCCTAGGGCAAGCCATCTGAATTTTCTGGGCTTAACTTAATTATTTTTAAATTGAGAAGTCTGGGCTAGGTTACAAACTCAATTGCTTACAGGGTAGTATAAATGATTAAAATAAGTGAGGTTTGTCTTAAGTGTGTTGCTCTTTTTGAAAATATAAATGTTTAATTTATATACATATTAAGCATACAAATAATTCTTCACAAAGAAATATGCTGTGGCCCTGTGATTTGTCTCTCCTTTTCTTACTTTTAATAAAGATATAGATATGAGGAACATTATACCTTTGTCTGAACCTTACACCAAGAAAAACCACAATACAAGCATTGTGATAAAGAACAGCTGGCCCTTAGTGTTAGCGTTTGAAAGACCGCAGTGACAGGTGGCCCCTGAGCGACCGAATGGCATCACTCATGCTCTCCGACTGAAAGGTGGGGAACATTCTCTGAGATGAAGAAATATCACTGTAACTCAACATTAGTGTCTTCTCATTCCTTCAGAAAAGGATACATTGAAATGTACTGATATTATGCAGAGACTGGGTATTAGAATCCTGTGGTTTAAAATAAATTGTTTGTATACCTTTGCTATGCATACCCAGGAAACGGACCTGTAAGATCAGGATACGGGAAGATAGCCAGTAACTTGGTATCTTTAAATGGAAGGGGAAAACAAACGAAGTCTCTCTTATTTAGACCCAGTTGGTTGTTGCCTCAGTGAGCACTGGATATCTGATCTTATATAAGTCCCCATCTTAAAATTGTTGATAACCAGTTCAGTTAAAAAAATGTGTGCCTCAGTGTTCCAGAGGCCACGAGTCCACGTGTGCAGCGCTGGTTGCGACAGCCTCGGTGCCCCGGTCTGACTGACATTCTGCTGGTTTGGCTTTCAAAGTCTTGAATCCCAGGGCCATGGCTGTGTGCACTTTCACACACACTAATCGCCCTCTCTTCCCTCCTCAGCTGTCCGGCAGCCGGCAAGACCTCATTCCGTCCTGCAGTCTAGGCAGCAACAAGGTAAGCGCGCACAGCCGCTTTCTGTCAGCCTCGGGCCTCTTTCCCGAGGGTCGCACCTGCGCTTTGCAGTCCAGAGGCGCTCCTGTGCCTCCAGACGTGTGAAATATAGGGGCGGGTGTTTAGGGTTCGTTTCTTTTTATCTGACAGTCAACACAAGTTTAGAGACCTTCTTGTTACTCTTAATTTATAGCGGTTAAGTTTGTTAGTAAGTTCATATTTCTATTTAAAATATTCTTCCTATTTGTGTCAGAAAAGGAACTTCAAGTAAGATTTTTCATAGTAAAATATGGATATAATGATCAAAAATGTATGCGGAATAAGAACCAGTATACCTTAAAAGTTAGTATTTTTTTGTTAGAAGAAAGAAAAATAAGGGAACAGAAATTCTGTTAGCTGGAATTTATTTGTTAATATAGCTTTCCCCAACTTAATTGAGTTTTAAGCACAGATAAATCATTGTTATTTACTTAAAGGGATCTCTTGAAATTGTTATAACTAAATGTCATTTTAATGGTTTTTTGTCTGTTATTTTTTGAGGGCCCTGGTTAGGTGTTGGTACTCTCAAATGTGTGTAACATGCTCTATATTGATATCTTAATCCTTGAGGAGGTCAAAAGTGAATGGTATTATATAAAATAGTCTGATATCAGACAGTCATTTCAAAATATAATTAAAAAAAATTTTTTTTACCAGTTTTGTAGGTAACATTTGAATGTTGACTTTGAAACATTCAGCATTCCTATATTATGCTATTATTACAAACTTTTCAGACATAATTGTTCAAAGGATGGATGTAGAATGAAGAAAATATAATATATATGAGTAAAATCTTTCAGAAATAAACTAGATGGAAAGTTTTTAAAGTTTCTTGAAAATTATGGCCAAAATTTCTTCATCTTTTCTATTCTCTTTTGTTTTCTTATGTGTAAATGAAGAAGATAATAGTATCTATTGGAAAGAAAATCACTATGCTTCACTTACACCAGATAAATAGAATAAAGGAGCATAGATGCTGTAATAGGAACATGACTGGGTAGAGTAGAGAGGGAGCGGGGTGGGGGGGGATCAAGCGGCGGTGGAGAGGAGACAGCTCCTGTAAGCTTCATGCAGAAAAGGAGATAAGGTCCACCCAAGGCAGGGGACGACCGAAGCGCAAGCGCTGTGCGTGGAGGGGTGAGAAGGCTTGCTACGCTGATGACAGTACATGCGTAGTGAGTCAAGTAGAGGGCGCACAGCAGGGTAGAGCCCAGAGGAAAGGGGCCTTATTGTAGAAGTTCTGACATTAGGTGCTAAGGAGTAATGGGGGAGTTGGGGCGCCACGGAAGCAGTAACAGGGCAGTACATGCTTACATTTGAACTGGAGGAGTGTTTTTTAACAGTTCATCTAAACGCCACTTGTGTTCCTGATTATGATCCATAAAATTACATTAGAATAATGAATGCAGTACAAATGTATGCCATTATCAATGCAAAGTGTGCAAAAGATTTTAATTGGAGGGTGGTGAGATAAGGTAAAGGAGGAGAGACTGATGATATATAAGGAGATAGAATCTCCAGAACTCAGTGGGCATGAAGAATGAGGTTGAGCAAGGGAGCAGACTAGGGTTACATCTGGGCTTCTCGGTGACTGTATACAGAGATGAACTGTGGGAGGGACAGGCTTGGGGAAGAAAATAATTTAGTTCAATTTTTGGCATTAAGGTATCCCTGTCAGTTGGAGCATGTGGAAGCCTGGGATGAAGTCAGATTTGGGAGTTCAGGGCACAGCTGAAATGGAGGGATTCTGTCACAAAGGGGAAGCCGTGAGGGCGAGTGCAGGGGCCGAGGCCAGCCAGCGGGGCTGGGAGGGTCCTCCCAGAGAAAAGAAGGCTGAGGAGAGCCAGTGGCTTGGAAACGAGAAGGATTTTGAGAAGGACTCCTTCCAGATTCTTCAGAGACCATAAGATGACTGAAAAGATTCTTGGTGTGACAGTTAAGAGTTTATTGGAGTCCTTTCCCAGGGCAATTTCTGTGAAGGATTGGGGAGAAGTTAGTTGGACATGTCATTTAAATAAGTAGATACAACATGGCACATTTTCATTCCTCTACCAGGACTTTATGCATTTGAGCCATCTTGATTTCTTATTTCTTGTTGTGCCCGGGAAGCTTAGTGAAGAGGAGGGAAGTCTGACTTCCTTTCTTCCTCTCAGACTTTCCTCATGTCTTCGTGTCCCCACTCTATTGCAATATGTAGTTTAAGTTGTCAGACACTTCAGAAGGGTTAAATACCCTTTCCTTCCCGGTTTGCAGTCTTTCTCAAAATTTGGCCTCTCTCGGCCTTCCCCATGCCCGCCCGGCAGTCCCACCGTCCGGCAAACAGGGGCCGGCGCCCCATTGCTGACTTTGCTCCCAGTTCCTCGTGGGCCTCTCCTTTTGTCTTCTTTTGAACTCTCGGCAGCCACAAGCCCTGAAAGGTTCGCTCCTGTAACTGAGCTTTAATCAGCATCTCGTCCTGTCCTGTGGGTGTCACTTCACTTCTTGCTCGTTTCCAGATCTGCAGGGTAAAAGGATGGTCACATAAAATTAGAGACTGTTTGCTTTTCGCTGGGGGAAAGGTAGAGGAAAACAGTTCTAAGACAGCTTTTTATGGGTGCACCTGTTTAATGAATAAGGAAATTCAGGTGATAGAGGATAATAGATGTTAGAAAACAAAGTGAAAGGAATACAAAGCAATGAAGCTTTGATTTCAGGCTCACTTCAGTGGGGAGTACAGTGTGGCGCCCTCATTTTCAGGTGAGGGGCCCCTCAGTAGTTTTACCATCCAAAGCAGAGCATCTTAAAAGATTTTTAAGGAAAATAAATATTCTTAAAATTATATTTTCTTGCTGGTGAGAAAAGAACCTCTCCCTATCCCATCACCATTAGCAGCGAGAACCAGAGTTCTCCTGTGGCCTTTTAAATGGAACAGTGAACAACATCTTCAAATATGGCATTGCCTTGAATTCAAAGTTTGTTCTTAACGCTACCCATAATAGAGTTCCTCAAGATTAGGTGGTGTTTAAACTAATTGACATACAAATTATCCAAATCCTATTAAATCCCTTCACACAGCAGCAGTGCTTATATACATACGGAATGGCCTGTATACAAGGGTGTCCACTGTAACATTGTTTTTAATTGCAGCAGATTAGAAACAAACTAAATGTCCCTTGGTTTAGTCTGGTTAAATACATTTTATCTGTACTTGGGTATGCACACACATGCACGACATGCACGACTAAATAAATGGGATGCTACGCAGCTGTAAAAATAATTAGGAGCCCCTCCAGGTACCAATATGGAAATTTAGTAAATAAATTAGTATATCACCAGGATATACTAAGTGAATAAAAATGAAATGCGGATATAGTATGCTGCCGTTGGTATTATTAAAGGAGGGGACAAGAGGGAAGTGTGTGTGACTGTTCATAAGATTTGCTTATATATCCTTAAGAAACTGTAGGAGGATAAGGAGAAACTAAAGTCACTTCCTGTCTGCCTGCGGGGAGACGGAATCTGGGGGGGACGGAATCTGGGGGAGACGGGGCAGGCAGGGGTAGCGGTGGGCCGCCTCTCGCTGTACGTGTGCCTTTTTGTATGATTTCATTTTGGATCATGTGACCACATTACCTCTTTAAAAATCAAATAAATTAAAATGTAAAAATTGTATTCTCTACCTTTCAAGTTATTAGAAGCTTTTGTTCTCTTGTATGTAGTGGTTTGAGAAGGCCTCTGGTTGGCTTATCCTTAACAACTTGTGCATAAAATCCTAAAGGAAAGATTACTGAAGAAATTGTTTTGGAAAATCTCAAAGACTCATGTTGTTTTTTCTTTTCTTTTGGGGACTTCCTGCATTCTTCAGTTTTCAGAGATCCAGGGAGAGGTAATTAATCCATTAGGTTTTCCTAATGAGTGGGGTACAAGTAGTATCCTACTACCTAAAGCTTATCACTCTTGCTTTTACCTTGGGACTAAGACTGTATTTTTAAAAGTGGTTTTTGTAAGATGACTAAATTTGACACTGTACTACGAATTCTTTTTGTTCTTACCCTTATGTGAAAATAATCTTGGTTGTCAGTACATATGATTCTTTTCAAATGTTCCTTGTTAACTGGGTCTAAGACTGTAAAAGTATCTGTCAAAGGGACCAGGAGTTAATGCATCATATTGAATTTAGAAGGCTCTGGGATGGGAGGAGATGGAGTTAATTTGTATTAAGCAAATAGTACAAATAAATATTTGAGAACTTGTAAGATGTTCTTTTCTTAAGTATGGGACGGGGAGGGGGTGAAAAAATGGCAGAAGTGCTTTGAGCATTCTTTTGACATCACAGAACTTTGCTCAGCTGGACTGACTTGGGTTTTTTTTGCATGAAAAGTATGTAATATTCAAGAGAATTGAGTCATAAATGTAATTTTACCCTGGACTTGATGATGTTTAAAATACTAGAAAGTTTGTTTTTGAAATAATTTAAAATGATAATTATATTAGTTACATCTACCTTGCAAACTTGCATACCCTTTTTTCTGGGTTCTTTGTTTACATTAATCTATGTGTCCACCCCCCGATCTTGATGGCTGCCATCAGGATTATAAGGAAGAGTCTGATGTGCCGTGTCTTCCCTGTATGATGTTGGAACACTCAGCTTAGCTGGAATAATGTGTAAAATTGGGGAATGGCCACAGAGTAGGTTCAGGGCTCCCTTTCTCTCCTAATTTTCAGTTTTAATGTCATGGCAAAGATTAATCATTTGGAAGCTGGTGTGGCAGGGGGGCAGGAACAGAGAGTTTGATAGGATTGGGGAGGTGGAAGGAAGTAGTGAGGGTACTGAAAACCACCTCAGTGTGACCTGCAACACTTGGATTCTAGCCAGTCATATTTTGCATTCCCTTATTTACTGATGCTTGACACATACTAAAATTGGAGTTGTTTCACTGAGCTCCATCAAAATTGAATTATATTAACTACCCCCAACTTTTAAATTCACCTTAGGGCCTACAAGAAATCACTCTTAATAAGCTTTTCAATTAAAAATATAAAATATCCCTAATTGCAGTGATGTTGTTTACTATTACTGGATATTTCTTCATGATTGTTAAGGCAATGTTTTTAATAGATCAAATGAAAACTTAGCAAACTTTTTTTAAAAAAGATTTTATTTATTCTTATTTTTATAGAGAGAGGGAAGGAGGGAGAAAGAGAGGGAGAGAAACATTGATGTGTGAGAGAAACATCAATTGGTAGCGTCTTGCACACCCCCATCTGGGGACCTGGCCTACACCCCAGCTGTGTGCCCTGACTGGGAATTGAACTGGCAACCTTTTGGTCCACAGGCCAGCCCAGTACTCAGTCCGCTGAGCCACACAAGCCAGGGAAGCAGCAAATGTTTTATGGCCAGTCTACCAAGATGGGCTCATATTTAGGTGCAGAGTTAATTTCAGCAGATTGTTTCTTCATCTAAAAACTGGCTGTGCAGTGAAATCTTTTACAATGTATGGGACACTGTCAACATTAAAATACTGGTATTTCTAAAGCCATTTGAGATGGAATTATATTTTTAATAAGTTAGTAAGATAGTGTATTTGTCATCTTCTGCTTGGTGTTTTTGAAGCAATTAAAAGCAACCAGAAGCTTTAATGAGTATCTGGTTAACAAAACTGAATTATGTGTTTTGGACATGTTACCTTCCTGAAAACTGCCATTAGTTAGTTAGTTAATTGGTAAAGGCTGATGCCAAATGTGAGCACTTCTTTAGTTGCATGAGAAGCCACCTTTGGATCTGGAATGTCATTTCTCTTTATTTACATCTTTGTCATTTTCCCAATGAAAGACAGACCTCTTTTCAGAAAACCCAAAGAATCTCTGTCAGAGAAGCTGTAATAGGGAAAGAGAGGGTGTGCAGGGGACCAAGCCACATTCTCGAGTCGGCTGAGACTCCCGTGTTGTTCCTGCTTCAGCGTCGCCTTTCAGCGCAGTGCTTCCACAGATAGCGGCTGCCTTGAAGAGGCTTTATTCCCTGAATTCAGCCTGGGAGCACAAATAATCCCTAAAATGTGCAAAGCTTGAGTAGGGATTCAAACTGAAGCCAGAGCTTTTCTCTCTCGTCTCCTCATCTAGGCCGATTCTGAAGTTTGATAGACAGGCAGGCAGAACGTTAGAAACAGATCACACATTTATCTTTTTAGATTCAAAGTGGCAGCGTGTAGATTACAATGGTAGAAGTTAAGGCGGGGTTGTGGGGGACACCAACTCTTTTACTTTGAGAACGGAGCTCAAAGGAAAAGAGCAGAGCAATCCAGTGGTCCATTGTCGGGCCAAGGGCTTTCTATTCGTTGTCCTGAGTTCATCTCCCTGTGAAGCACCTTTAACTGGGATGCTTCCGTCCCCACCCCTCCACAGCCCTGGCGTATCAGTGAAGGGAGGATAACTCTAGAAGAGCAGGCAGGCACAATTTATTGGAAAGACACAAACTGCCTTGTCCCCAGGAGGCAGCGTGTATAACCAGACCCTGAACCACAGGTTTCATTTCTGGCAAGAGGATGGGCCAGGGACTGCAGGGGACAGAGAATGGAGCAAGTCATGCCAGCAGAGGGCTTCCCCAGAGGCCTGCCCGTGTCCGAGAGGAGGGAGGGCTGTTGTACCCAGTTTATCATCCAAATTTGTTGTTCCCTCGGAAGCAGAGCTCCTTCTATTCCAGAGTGATTTGAGACGCTCTGTGTCCTTGGGTCTGGTCGGCGAGACCTGGGAACAGTTAGCATTTGAGATTGCTCAAGGGTAAGGTGACAGTTAAGGTAGATGGATGAAGTGAAATGTGTCTCCGTTTTTCATTATCCGATAGGGCTAGCAATATGGCTAAGGCGGTATTAATTAAGGTACTGTGTGCATCCTTTCAAATGTTCTCACTTGAGATATTTGAATATATGAGACAGTAAGAGCTATTGCTTTCATTCTGATTTGGTAGTAGCATTGTGTGTGGGAATGCCAACTGGGAAAAATTACTCGGGAAGCTAGCAGAGCCCTGAGAGCGCTTCGGGAAGGGGTGACACCTACGTTATTTGTCATTGGACCGTTACACACCAAACAGCCAAGGTGCTGATTCCAGATCAGCTACTTAGCTTTCCGAGGGGACAGAGTACCACTCTGTCAGCTGCCAAAGAAGGCAGACAAATCTAAAACATGATAATAAATTTATTCTCAAATTTAGTTGTCTTCAAAACAGTCTTGCATGAGCTTTAACATTGTAAACAAAGCATGAAGCTTCTTTCATCTGCAAAGCTCCAAAGAGTATTAACCTTAGTGTTCAGCCACCTGATTGTAATGTCCCGGAATACACAGAGCTGTAGCTTCCCAGACAGGTAATTAAATTTAAGTGCAAAAAATATTAATGAAGCATTAACGTATGTAAATCAGTGTGTGATTCATAGTAACACAACTGCTCCTGTCGTGAAGTATTTCAGAAGTTATGGTTTCCCGAATCGTCCCTTCATGTCTATTTTGTTTCCTTGCCTTCTAATGGTAAACATTATACCATTTTTTAAAATATCAAGTGCTGAGAGAGTTCCTAAGGAAAAGTGTTCTCTAAGGTAAACAGAATCCAGATCACTTAGGGCTTATTGATTTTATGATCAGTACTTACGTTGCTGCTAAAAGCAGATAGGTTTCCAATATGTATCTGAAACTTAAGAGGTCTTTCCCCCTCAATCCATCTTCAGGAGCAGTGAGGAACTGGCTTTGCAGGCAATTACTAATGAAAGCTCAAGTGGTCATTAGGGTCACTCGTCTGTGAAATACTGGCCTAAATTAATATAAAATACCATTATTTAACTCTAGTGAAAGAGAAGTCAGAGTGATTATCAGAGGATCAAAAGGGAACTTAAAGCATTTAAAAGATTTGCATCTCATCTCCATTACTGGTTTTTGTACCTGTAATATTTGGTTGGGGTTTACTTCTTTCCTAGATGGGACTGATGTTAAAAGTGCTTTGATGGTATCACCATTTTTATAGCTCACCACAAGTGTTATAATGGCAAATGAATCCACTGCCTGGCAGGCATTGTACTAGTATTATGCAACGAAATCTCTCTAATGAGAATTTATATAATAAGCTGAGAGTACAATAAAACTTGTTCATTCAGAGACTTCCATTACTGGGAACTTGTGATGATTTGGGCTTAACTGGAACTTATCTTTTTTTTTTAATTTTTAAAAATATTTTATTTCTTTTTAGAGAGAGGGAAAGGGAGGGAGAAAGGGGGAGGGAAACATCAGTGTGTGGTTGCCTCTTCTGCGCCCCCAACTGGGGACCTGGCCCAGTTCGCAGGCTGCATACTCAATCAGCTGAGCCACACCAGCCAGGGCGAAGAACTTATCTTTAATGTCTCCTTAAAATGAGAAGTGTAGTAATGCACCGTTCTAGAGTTTTTACTCCTTTGAATGATACATGCGTGGGTGGAAAGAGACACTCCCAGAAAGGAGAGACACCTGCCACCACTAGAGCTGTTGCTGGGTTTCAGCAAAGAATCTGCAATGAAAAAGGGTATCTCGAGGCAGAAGAGCAAGAAGCAGAACATAAGGGAGGATTTCAGAAGGAAAGTGTCAATATATCCATATTTTGTGGGAAGCAACATGGTGTAATTGGAAGAATGTTAGGATGGAACTGAGGAGACTACATGTGGTAAACTGGAGGGAAATCCAAATGTGAGGTGTCACTATTATTAGAGAAATTAATACTCTAAAGAAGATGCAAAGTACAAGAGGAAAAATACATATGTAATCAAATTGATCATGTCCTGTCAGGGGAATAAAACTTTAGTAATGAATAACAATTTTTTTCCTTAAATATCATCAGATTTTTGTTGTTGTTAAATGATTGATTTGAATCAAAATTATGGATTGTGTCCTTAATAGGGCCGGTGGGAAAGTCAACAGGATGTATCACAAATCCCAGTTTCCAGAGGAGCAGCTCCCGCTGCCCCAGCCCTTCCTCGTGGTCCCCAAAATAACCATTCTCCTGATCCAGGTAAGTTTTGTTTTCATTTGTCAATCACTATCATGAAATTTGAATAGCTTTCAGAAATAGTTTAAATCAGGGTTTCCTACCGTGTAACCACTATCCTACTAGTTCATACCCATTTGGGTTTTCCCCTTTGTCTTAACATGTTGAATTACATTGCGTTCTGAGTGTTGAATTTGTCTTGCATTCCTATGCTAAATGCCCCTTGATCCTTATGTGGTATCCTTTATACTTGCTTTTCCTTTCACTAACATTTTAAGGATTTTTGTATATATATTCTACAGTGAATATCTGTCGGTACTTTTCTCATAATGTCTTTGTTAGCTTTAGGTATCACGATTATGTTGGCCTCATAAAATGACTTTGGAAATATTTTCCTATCATTTTTTTTATTTCTGAAAGAATTTTTATAAGCTTGGTGCTACTTCTTCCCTAATGTTTGACAGGCTACACCAATGAAACCATCCGGGCCTGAAATTTTCTCTGTGGGAAGATTTGAAATTATGACTTCAATTTCTTTAATATAGGATTAACTTTTTGTAATTTTCTTCTGAGTCAATTTTCATAAGTTACATTTTTCAAGGATTTTTCTATGTCATCTAAATTATTAAATATATGTTAATAAATGTTGCAATGTTCCTTTATTACCCCTTTAATATTTATAAGATCTGTGATATTTTTATTCTCATATAGATAATTTTTGTTTTCTTTTTGTTTTTCTTGAATACTTTGATACAGGTTTATCAGTTTTCATAGTCTTCTCACAGAACCAGCATTTGGTTTTATTTTCTGTTTCATTGATTTCTGTTATTTCTTCATTTCACAAATTTTGGCATGCTGTGCTTTTATTATCATTATATTCAGAATATTTTATGATTTCCCTCTGACTTATTTTTTTGAACCATGGATTATTGAGCATGTTCATTTATTTTCATATATCGGAGGGGGTCTTATTCATTTCTTACTTAATTTCATTATAATTAGAGAATAAACTCTTTAATATTTCAGTCTTTTGAAATTTTTTGAGACTGTGTTCTATCTTATGAACATTCTATTTGTACTTGAAAAGAATGTTCTGTTTCAGGGCATCATGTTCTGGATATAGCACTTAGGTCAAGCTAGTTGATAATCTCAAATCTCCATCCTTATTGATTTTTTTTCTATTTCTTCTATCAATCACTAAGGGAAAGCATTGAATCTCCAAATATGATTGTGGAAATTGTCTGTTTTTCCCTTTAATTTTATCAGTTTTTACATCATTCACTCAGAAACTTTGTTATTAGGTATATACTCATTAAGGATTGTTATTCTTTTCCTTGAAGAAGCATTATTTCTCATTATGAAATGTCCCTTTATATCTCCGGTAGTAGATACTTTGAAATATGGCTTACTTGATATTGATACAGCCACATCAACTTTCTTTTGTTTGTTGTTAGCATGGTCTATCTTTTTCTCAGTTTGTAAAATTTTAGCCTATACTGTCTTTAAATTAAAAGTGATTTGTTTGTAGAGAGTATAGTTGGGGCTAGCTTTTGTTTTAAATATGCTCTGACAATTTCTGTCTTTTAATTGGCATGTTTAGTATTTTACATCTAATATTATTATATCTACCATGTTGCTATTGGTTCCTATTTGGCCTTTTGTGTGTGTGTGTGTGACTTCCTTTTTGCCTTTTTGTTTAACTGAAAAATATATTTTAGACAATCACTCTAACCACTAATGCGTACACCTGAAACTAATACAAAATAATATTAAATGTAAACTGTAATTGAAAAATAAAAAGAAAGAAAGAAACCTAGTGGGGAAGGATGGAGCTTTGTACAGGATCTCATAGCTGTAAGTAAAACAGTTATTCCCAGGAAAAGAAAAGAAAAATATATTTTAGTGTTTGATTTTATTTCCTCTTTTGGCTTTTGGGTGTGCCTATATTTGTTCACTTATGAGGATACAGTGTTTTATCAGGTATGACTTGGATTAGATTTTCCTAAAATTTAGTTTTATTCAGTAAGGAGAAGGAAATCTTATATCATAGGTCATTATCTGCACATTTGATCCCAGCCTTTGGTAGTTACGAGCAGGTGAGAACAAAGTTGGTTCAGGGCCTCTGTTCGTCCTTTGTAAAAACAACTTGAACACTACTCTCTTCTTCAGAGCTCAGTTCCATCATTCTCATGCAGTAAAAAGCGTGAAAAATTAAAGCTGAATAAGACACAGTCCCTGACTTTGAAGAGTTTAAAGTCTAAATGGTGGAGTGCTACACATGTCTGTCATCAGTTATGTGATTTAAAAATAAAAAACCCCATTTTATTCTCGGGCAGACAAGCGCTGGGGTCGGGTTACCCTTTGCGTGCTAACAGGGACACCAGAGATTAGAAAATTTTAGAAGTTACCCCAATTGCTTCTATTTAATTGGAAAAGGAAACCCCAATGTGTTTGAGGGTAACTATAATAATACTGGTTTTTTAATATTAATTTTTAAAGGATCCCTTTTTTGATTCATATTGTTAGATTTGCCTACAAATGATATTTGTCAAGTCAACAATAAAAAAAAAGTCTATGTAATTGTTTTTGCCGTATCTCTTTTCCTTCCAATATTTTTGACAGGACTTAGTAGCCTAGCGGCCTCCTACTTGAACCCAGTAAAATCCTTCGTGCCGCAGATGCCAAAGCTGCTGAAGTCTCTCTTCCCCGTTCGCGATGAGAAAAGGGGCAAACAGCCGCCTCCCCGCGCACATCAGGTAAGGCCCACGGAAGCGGCAGTGAGCCTTCCCTGCAGTGGGCTGCTGGCCGAGGGGCGCTCGGGCCGCGCTGCGGCTGCGGGGGGCGTGATGGCAGTGCCGGGGGCACTAGAACTGGGCTTTTAGACCTGGTAAAAGCTTGTGATCATTTCTCTTCCACTCTCTTCAGAGATAACAGAGCTGTTTTAACTTATTGACACTCTCAATCCTTTTTGCTTTTAAAAAATGCCAAGTACGCTACTAATGTGATTTATGGTAATATCACTTAGAGCAACAATAGTAAAATTTATGAAGTGCACTTAGTGTTGCTTGTGTATTGCCAAACAGAAAATGTAATTCTATTTTTAATTCTTGGTTTCATTTCTTATATCAAACAATTTCGTATCATTACTGTCCTTGCCACTCAACCTCTTTTTCCTCTACTGTGGTTTACCTGTTCTTTCACTTAAAATATTAAAAGTGATCATTTGTCTTATTTCCCCTTTTTCTGTAAAACTCAGCCCAGCCTTGAAATAAGTTTTAGAGAAAACGTTAAAGGGCTTTCCAAATAATCAGGAAACTGTTCTTCTGAGATGGTGAATAGGAAGCCTGTTGGAAATGCAATTTCTATACTTACATAGGTGTGAATTCAGCAGAAAATGATAAATGAGGATTTATTTATACTCATTCAAAACACATACAGAGCAAGTTCAGTTGTTGAAATAGGTCTTTTGACATCAGCTCCTCCACAGTCACTTAAACATTCCAAGTTACAGAAATGCAGCAGAGTCCTTGCCTGAGACCTTCACTGTTGAAAAGAATTTTCCAAGTTTGTAAATGCATGTGCAGGGCGATGGTGTTAGTTTTGTAAGGCAGCTGTGCAGGTATATAAGTTTTCAGTCTAGCACTGTATAAGCATGTATATATAAGCATACACGTTCACATATTGGGTGAAAAAAATTAAACACTGAGATTTTGGAAATGTTTAAATTTAGGCATACAACAGGTGCTTGACAAATATCAAAGTGAATCTATGACCAAGAGAGCGAAAAGAAATAGTAAGTTTAATACTTGGTGGGGTTGGGTAGGCAAAAATGGTTTTTTCCAAGTGTTTGTCATTACCAACGTTGCTCTTTTCTAAACTCCTACATCATTATTTTGCAAAGAATGGTTCATGGGCTGTTTGAGAATTTCCATAGTAACTTTTTTAAAAAGATCTTATTTATTTTTAGAGAAAGGGAAAGGGAGGGAGAGAAACATTGATGTGTGAGAGAAACATGGAGCCTCTTGCATACCCCCAGTTGGGAACCTGGCCTGCAACCCAGGAATGTGCCCTGACTGGGACTTGAACCAGTAACCTTTTGGTTTGCAGGACTGTGCCCAACCCACTGAGCCACACCAGTCAGGGCTCCATGGTAACTTTTTTTAAAAAGGTAACTAAGAAAAAAAATACAGCTTTATCTCATCCCATACCTCACCTGGGGCACCTTAAAATCCGCCCTTGTAAGCAGCTAAGGTGATTCTTATTCACATTAAATTTTGATAACTACTGTTTTTCAATTGCTATTTGGTGAAGACAGAGTTATATGCATTAAAGGAAATTGGAATGGCATTAGAAGTCATTGAATCAGCCTACTATAGTTATAATTATTTTTTTAAGCTACTTTGAATTTTTTTTTCCTGAGTTTTTGGTGTAACAAGTCAAATCACCTACAATAAGTAATTATTTTTACTGTTTGACAATAAGTGATTGTTTCTTCTGGAAGAACAATGATGTGTTAGAAACATTAAGAACAATCTAGTGATTGGAGGATAACTGTAATTTGTAATGTCCAATTTCAGAGAGTTAATCTTGCACTGTTTTAGGCTATCTTAGAGCAGCATTTGCTCTTTGAGTTTACTGTTTTTGAGCACATATGAGCAAAGCTGTTGGGGAAAGGGGTCCTAAGTGTTTTATATTTTATAAATAAATGAAAAGATAAATATAAAACTGGACCATACGAAGATGCCCAATAGTGGAGCTAAAATGTTCCCACTGGTTTGTGAACCACCCACTCCACTGAAGGACTTTTTTTAAGGTCACCAGAGAGCCACATCTTCCCTGCACTGCCTCTGTCCCCATCTGACATGACCACACAGCAACAACATTCTCGAAACACTTGCATCTCTAGGCTTCATTCAGTGCCACGGTGCGTCCCGGCTCTCCTCCTGCCGATGTGCGGCCTTCCTGGTTGCCTTCCCAGGCCCACGTGTTCCGTCAGGCTGTAATAAGTGCCCTGGAGCTCTGTCCTGGGCCCTCTCTTTCTTTTTCTTTTTAAACCTAATTCTTTGCTTGGGGAATGTCACCCAGTTCCATGGCTTTAACACTGACAATGCTCACTCTTCCATCTCCAGCCCAGACTTCGCCCCTGACCTCCGTCTTTGTGGGTCTCACTGTGCGTTCCACTGCTCTACGTATGTATCGGTTAGGCACTCACATTTCACAAGTCCAAACATTACTGTTTGTTTCAGCTCACAAGTGTTACTCCCAACACACAAAATCCTTACTAAAAGACATGCCTCTCTCAGTATGTAGTGTAAACATCCACCTAGTTGCTTACCTCTTATAAACGGCGCATCAGTAAAAATTGTGTAGGTACCGCTTCCTGTCACTCACCCACACCACGACCATCTCTTGACTGTTGTAGCTGCCTGCCACTCGGTCTGTCTGACCCTTGTTTTTGCCTCACGACAGTCTGTCAGTTGCAAAGTAGCCAGCATGATCATCCAAAGCCTCACAGTCCTTACAGTCCATCGCTTGGCACTGTTGTTTCTCACTGAAACTGAATAAAATCTAAATTCCTTACTGTGCCTGACAGCAACCTTTATGATGTGGTCTCTTGATCTTTACTGTTTCTCCCTTTATTCTCTTCACTCACCATACTGAACCATATTGGCCATTTTTTGTTTGTTTTTCATCTCAGTAACACATAAAGCTTCTTTTAATCTTGAGAGTTTTCCCCTCCCATTTGGACTGCCCTTTCCCAAGCCTTTGTATGGCTTCTAGGTCTCTTGTAGAGTCGTTCCCTACCCAAGTGGCCAAGAAAGGCTACTGTGAGGAAGTATGATTGCATTAAGAGTGGCCCCGGCAAACCAAACTAAACCAACAGCCTCTCCCACGCACAGTGCACTGTGTGACCGTACTTCCTGTTTTCCTTGAGAGTCACTGTTATGTCTCTATGTTTATTGATTATCTCCCCTCTAGAATGTAATCCTTGAGGGCAGGGGCGTATTGACAACAAAAATGTGTGTTGGTTAACGGACCATGACATGTATACAGGTTATAATAGTAGATAGTTAGCATGTGCCAAGTGTCATACAGTGGTACAACGGTCTCTGTTTATAGTTAGAGGTGAGAGTATCACATCTGAGTGGTGATTTGAGATGTCAAGACATACTGATGAACTTTCCTAGACTGATGTTGAGTTCCATTAAAAAAAACATTCCTAAAGGAGGGAAAAACTGTGGCTTATTGTTTCTGATTTAGTTGATCAAAGGTGCTTATGTTCATCTCAGTTCCTGACTATCTCTGCTGAAACTCTAAGAGAAGTAAATTATAATTTTATATGACAATATTAATATAGAGGTTCCATTACTTAGGCCACTTTAAATATGCTTTAAGTTGTTAAACCTGAATGGTATTTTGTTCTTGGAAATATAACACTTTAGTGCCAATAAATTTCAAAATAACAGCAACCAGAAGGGTGTGGTATTGTCTACTTTAGTATTCCTCAATTTTTTACTCTGATGGAATCCCATTCACTTGGAAATCAGATTTGAAACCTAAAAGTTGAGATTCTTACTTTTTTTGGTAATCCAGCCCTCTCCTCTTTGTGGAACCTCCAACTCTTCTAGAGAAAACATTGACTTTTTTCCAACAAATTCTGCCTCAGAGTTTCCTCTGCTATTACTCAGTAGGTAAAGGGAGGGGCGGAGGAGGTTCGGTGTCCCCTAGGTTTACCTCAGACTTCGCAGCTCCAGAGTAATCATCTCTACCTCATAATAACTCTCTGTCATTCTTCAGTTGTCTTGCCAGGGTCTTGCTTAAAGTGGGGAGCCCAGAAGTGACACAGTAACCACTGTGTTGGGAAATAGTGCAACTATTATTTCCCTCTTCTAAATAGTGTACTTCTACCAACATAGCATATGTCACATACTCTCCCTCTCTTTTTAAAGGCAACAATTATTGAGTCCTGGCCGGGTAGCTCAGTTAGTAGCTAAAGCTTGTAGGCTTTAGAATAACATTAAAGACAGAACCCAGAAAAATAGAAATCAGTGCATAAACCTAAAAATAGAAATTAGAATCTGGATAGATTTTACAGTATAGAAAGGGATAAATATTGATACTAATATGGTGAAAGATAATAAATAAAATCATAAATAATATCCCTTAAGATTTGTAATGTGAAACAACACATACACAAAACTAAAAACCCCAAAGTGGTTGGACAGAGACATGACATGGTAACCAATGTTTGTCCAAGGAACATGTTTGGAGCATGTTTGATAGCATGTTCTCATTTCTCCCCTGCCCCCAACTTTCTCTTTTCATAGATTTTAAAACCATCTCTCTCTCCCATTTCCCACCTAACTGTGATAAGAGCTGTTAAAACTTCTTCCTTTTTCTGTTTCTGTTCAAGTTTAGTGTGGAAACTTAAAACTCCTCTGAAACAGTCACAATAATGAAAAACTCACTCAAACCCACTGAAACACTACCTATGGGTTCTCTTCGGCATAATCAGACCACACTTAGACTATTGCACTTGGTTCTGGATATGTTACTACCAAACATATGTTGACCAATTGAAGTGATTTCAGAGAATAACATCAGAAATTATTTATGGGGAAAGATTAAAAGAGTTATTTATAGTTGGACCAAACAGTGACTGAGAGAGCTGACTGTGTAGGCCTTCACGGCAGAGCCACACGAAGGCAGCGAGGAACCACGCAAGGCCGGCGCCTAAAGCCAAGGCATGAGAGGC